GAATTACCATGAAAAAAAAATGTGATTTGTAGAAATACTAAGTTTAAATATGTTTGCTTGATATTTAACAATGGGTTACGTTTTTCAAAAAATTAAAGCCTGATAACTGAATTATTTAATTCTTGAAATTTATATTGGAGGGACAAGATACTTGTTCACCGTAATATTATATATATATTAATAGGGGAAAAAGCACCTGCGATATTCATATTCTTTAATTATTTTAACTGAGTATTTTGACATACACTAATTTTCCATTGAAAAAAAAAACAATTTCTACCTGAGAAGTTAATGCTCAAAATAACTAATACCCACACTAATAATTGCTCACATTGGCAATTCGCTCAAACTTTGCTTTTGGTCTTCTGTCTACCGAGACCAAAGACAACTCAATTGCTCGTTTAATTTTTTAATCTTTAATATAACAAAATTGGTAAGTTTATGGGATTGTATAGCCGTCCTCATGCTAGTTAACGAATGCAAATTTACAATCAAGCGGCATTTAACGAATCGCTTTCTTTTATGCAGATATTAATCTTGGCTGTAATTGGTCCCACTTGTGTAATTCAAGCTTTTATTTCTTTTAAAATTGTTACTAGAAATAAAACGGACAAAAACATAGCTTTTTTTTTCTTCAAATAAAATATTGCTGAACTAGGAGTTAAACGCAGTTGAGTTGAGATATTGCTTCTGGGTAAGTTCCCTTAATCCTGAAAACCCTCCACAAATGGAATGTTTTCATTTCATGACAAACTCAAAATATTTGTGAATCGAATGTTGAACTCATACCTGCCAACTCTTCCGGAAGATTTTATTTTCATATTTCAAGTGGTGGCAATACTCAGGTTATTCCAATTAACTTTTTGAATTATAATGATAATTATAAATGAGTTTGACCACCACTACATATAAATAATTACAATAAATATATCAAAGCATAATGATACTTGAAGTGAATTTCAACAGGATCAAAATATAAATATAGTTTTGAGTCAGATCGTTTTTCGTTTATTGTTTTACAACCATTCTGAAAATCCATTCTCGGAAAGAGTTAAAGTTGGCAGCAGGTATGTAGTCTCTTGGACGTTTAACAGTAGTACTTTTTGTTTATTAATAAAAATTTTAAGTTAAAAGTGGTAGATATAATTTATCTCTAATAAGATATTTCGATAATTTTAATTAAAATGGAATCGATAGAATAAAAGTTTTGAGCATTACCGAAACCAGAATTTACACGACTATCAACATAAAAAGAAGTCTATTCTGTAACGAAAAACAGTTAAATAAAATCTGGGTAAGAGAAAGCTATTTGTGATGAGAACAAATTACCCAAGAAATTTTTTAGCTAATTTTAAAAATGCTTTAAAGTATCAAAAAAAAAAAAAAGCTCTCTATATACTGTAGTGCCATCAAAATCATATTTCCACACTTAAAAAAACTATTCATGGGGGGGGGGATTTCGTTCTGCAGAATTTTACTGTAAAAGAATGTGACACAGAAGACCAGAGCCAAAATTTCTAGAAGGGGTATCATCTTCGCTAGAAACGCCCTCCATAAATGGGGAGCACGCATATGTTTTTAATTGATACATTATTCGTTTAGAATTGTTTATATACTTGATATATCATCTATAATTGTTTATTAAATTTTAAAATTAAAAGCATTAATAACATCTAAGGTATGCGTAGATCATATTGATTAGTACAAATAATAATTTTATATAGAAATAAAATTTATTTTATTTATTTATTTATTTTTAACTTTTCAAAGAGCAACTTGGCAAATGACACTGAAATCGAGATGGAGCTATTAGCTTTTATACGAGCCTAATGCGAAAGAATAAAAACTGAGTTTTTAGCGTTTCGTTAAATCACAATTTTAAGAATAAAAAATCGATCCCCCTCCCTTTCTCTTTGAAACATTAATGGCAAAAGATGCATTTTTTTACTTAATTGTTACTTAATATTTGACTTTTTATCTCTAAACGCTTACAAGATGAATTTCTGTTTCTTAGTGTCGGCTTAGTTACTTAAATGTATCCTACTTTACTTTGGAACATGAGAAATGACAATTATGATTAATGATGATGAAAAAATGATGAAAAATGGCAAGCCCAATGAGGCCCCGGGTTCAAATCCAACGATGGACTGTCGATGCGAATCCGCATCCAGCTTGCACCTACCACAGTGCTGACTTGAAATATCCTCAGTGGTAGACGGATCATGGGTTAGAGTCCCTTTGTCGTTAGCCCCATAGTTCTTCCTCTCCATGTAAATCAAATGCGGGTTAGTTCCATCAAAAAGTCCTCCACGAANGGCAAGCCCAATGAATCCCCGGGTTCAAATCCAACGATGGACTGTCGATACGAATCCGCATCCAGCTTGCACCGACCACAGTGCTGACTTGAAATATCCTCAGTGGTAGACGGATCATGGATTAGAGTCCCTTTGTCGTTAGGCCCATAGTTCTTCCTCTCCATGTAAATCAAATGCGGGTTAGTTCCATCAAAAAGTCCTCCACGAAAGCAAATTTCTCCCAATACTTGATCCAGGAGTTCCTTTGTTTTCTGTATTGGGTCCTAAATTACAAGGCTACGGAGTTGAACATTTGTAGACGTAAACTATTTTCTGGATTTCATATACTGCTGTATACTATAGTAACGCTGTTTTCTGGATTTCATATTTAATATTCTACCAGTTGGTTAAAACTCTAATTTGAAAATTTCGAATATGTTTGCTTATATGATTGAACTGCTGCGCGCACTTCGAACTTTTGGAGTGTTCCCGTATGCCCCCTTGTGGAAGCGGGGAGGGGTTAAGCTAGTTATTTGTAGACGCAAACGCTAAATTGCTTTGGCTGTTCAACGACGGTTATAAAATAAAATGAGAAATGGCAACTATGAATAATAATGATTATGAGAAATGGCAACTATGAATAATAATGATGAGAAATGGCAACTATGAATAATAATGATGATGAGAAATGGCGACGATGAATAACGATGAGGGTATATGGCGACTTTTATTGTTTTTTGGCGACAATTTGCTTTAATCTGATGTATTATTTTTCCTTTAAAAAAAATTCATTAAAAAAAATTTTTAATCTCTTAATGCATTTTTTTCAGCTGCAGTACGTACATCCACACGAACTTGAATCTGGTGATAGAACAGCAACACTTATGTTTTATGTAAGCATATACGATTTTAATCAAGTTTATATATATATATATATATATATAGTAAAATAAAACTCTATATATTTTCTTGTTGATAACAGTATTTTTCTTTTGGATTTGTCTAAGAAGAATTTTCTATCCAACATTGGTAAACATCTAAGAGCTGTCGTTAGAAGTTGTATAGGTTGTCTAAACTAAAACGAAGTTTCGTGTTATTTATATGTTATATGTTATCGTGTTATTTATATTCGTGTTATTTATATGTTAATGCCCACCAACGAAAAATGGTATATATGAGAAAAAACACCAATTTAAACAAAGGGGTAATATTTTGTTACTCATATCCAGTGACTTTTTTACAGTTACCTATTGTTAAGGTTATTTATTTATTTTTTTAGAAAAAAAGCAGGATGCTTCGACTTTAGGTTCAAATATCAATTTATCAATATTTTATTTTCAATTTTGCCTTTTATGGTCGTATTACCGATGAAACTAGAAGAGTTCTTCTTGAAATGATGCAGAGATGCAAACTCCACTTCGTGAGAAAAAATATTTTTAATTGTTAGACGAACTTTTAATTATTTTNTGAGTGAAATAAAACTCTATATATTTTCTTGTTGATAACATTATTTTTCTTTTGGATTTGTCTAAGATGAGTTTTCTATCCAACATTGGTAAACATCAAAGAGCTGTCGTTAGAAGTTGTATAGGTTGTCTAAACTAAAACGAAATTTCTTATTTGTGTTATTTATATGTTAATGCCCAGCAACGAAAAATGGTATATATGAGAAAAACACCAATTTAAACAAAGGGGTAATACATTGTTATTCATATCCAGTGACTTTTTTACAGTTACCTATTGTTAAGGTTATTTATTTTTTTTATTTTTTTTTTTAGAAAAAAGCAGGATGCTTCGACTTTAGATTCAAATATCAATTTATCAATATTTTATTTTCAATTTTGCCTTTTACGGTCGTATTACCGATGAAACTAGAAGAGTTCTTCTTGGAATGATGCAGAGATGCAAACTCCACTTCGTGAGAAAAAATATTTTTAATTGTTAGACGAAATTTAATTATTTTTAGTTTAATAAAATTGATTTTGAATTATTTCTCCACAATATCGATAACAAGCATATAAAAACTGATATCAGGTTCATCTTTGCTGTAGTCTTCTCGTCATGAGACTTTTGAAGAGTTGGTGAAAATGTCCCTTATTTTGGAAGTTTTAATTTTAAATTCTCTACCAATTTATAAAAACTTTTACACTAAGTGGAGCAGTTGGCATTCTAACAATAAAAAATGAGCGAGACCGCTTTTTTCTTTCTTTGGAAAAAAGAACTTTCTTAAGATAATTCTCCCGTCGTTAAAAAGAGAGCGCGGCAAGGCAAATACAATTCTGCCAACTACTACGATTTTTGCAAAATATTTTGTGAAGTGGTAGACATTTAAAAACCAAAATGTTCATTATGTTTGGTAATTTTGCAAACATTTTAAAGGCCGAACCATAGTGACGTTGTATATGTACTTTTAAATCATTAATATGCTGTGGTGCGAAAAATAAGTTTTAAATTAGTAAAAATAATACATTAATATATAAACTTAGTTATAACTAGATTAAATTTTTACAAAAAGCGTAGAAAGTTGACAGCCCTGCAATTACCTTACACAAATGAGTTAAGGATCATCTTACAATGAAACAGTAGTTGCAATTTTGTTTCCTGCTGTAAGCAATTCTGTTAGAAAAATAGTTTAATAATTAATTAACTGGTTAAAACTTAAAAATTTTTCAAAATTATCTTATGTTGCAATAATATAGATTATTGCAATTTTGTTCCCTGTTGCAAACAATTCCGTTGAAGAAATAGTTAAATAATTAAATAGCTAGTTAAAAGTTAAACATTTTTCAAAATTACCTTTTGTAACACATTTATAAATTATTTTTTTATATATTTTAGCTCTCAGATGTAACTAGAGGTGGAGCCACAGTTTTTCCAAAAATTGGGGCCAGTGTTTGGCCAGAAAAAGTATGTTAAATAATGCTTAATTGGTTATGATTATACTTATGGTATTTTTCACTAGTGTTCGAATGAAAAATACTCTCACCCTATAACTCTACTTTAATCTAATTTATTGTTATTCCATTTTAGGGTTCAGCTGTGTTTTGGTATAATTTGAAGAAAAATGGTAAAGAGGATCCGATGACATTGCATGGTGCTTGTCCAGTTGCTGTCGGTAGCAAGTGGGGTATGTATATGGCGAACTAGTATGCATGGAGGCCGGGATAGCCTGGTCGGTAGGGCGCTGGGCCCATGTCCGTGAGTTCATGGGTTCGAACCCCGCCGGCTGAAGACTCCCCGTGTAGTAAAGTGACTGATGCACGTTAAATCTGTCGAGTCGCAAAAGTCCTCCATGTTCCCATAACAAATCAAGACCTCTGGGGCACTGGATTGGAGATCGATCGTTCTCTGATTCAGGTCAAAATTACGATCTGTGGATGAATGAATGGATGTATGAATGGGTCCGCCCTATAAACGGGTGCGACGTATGGTGTGGCAGAAGTCGAATTCATGGCCATACATGGCGCCATTGAAAAACAAGAAACGCACACTCTGCCTTAAATTTGCTCGGTTTCACCAAGCAGGCTTGCCCGTGTATTAAGTGGCATTAGAAACAACAACAGTAAACATGGGCTCTAATATGCAGATTAAAATAATGCTGTCTTATGTAAAATAGGGTTGACTTAAATAGGTTAAATGACGTTCGATGTTACATTTTTCGTTTTTGTGTGCCTACGATCTCCGGAGAAAAAATTTAAAATCAAAATTAAAGGGTATAAATAATAATCAATTTCAATGATAATCAATTCAATTCTCTTTCGCAAAAATATTAAACTAATTACCCTTAGCTGAACTGCATCGCCGATTCGCTATGCTCAGCAGCGTGGAGGTAATGCCAAATGTGAAATCCTAGTTCAAATCCTAGCGTAGCCTCGGATGTGATGTCCTCTAACTTATGATGATGCTTATTCCTCAAATTGACAATGCTTATTAGCCATTTCATTGTATTGAGTGGACAAGTCAGTGTGTATGTTTAAATAAATAAAATATTTGAAGTCTAATTTATTAATTTTCTAATTCCCGTGGATCTTCGAAAAAAGCAGAAATGTCAACTTGCTCCGGATTGCGGAAAAAATATTTTTAGTTGGTAATGTTTTAATGTATCATTCTTGTACAAGAAGTATTATTCTTGTATACAAGATATAATATATTATATCTTGTAATTATTAAATTCAATTTATAGGGTTTTTACTCATCACTATTTCTAAATAATTCATAGGATTATCTCAAATGCAACTTCGTGGCTATTTTGCCGTGTTCAGCTTTTTAAACAGTTAGCAATATTAACCGAAAAGTTTCAAATTTTAATTTATAGTTCTTTAAAATGTTTTGTAGAATTCGGAGTAGTTAACATCTCTGAAAATGTAATAATTATCTTTATGGATTTGAATTAATTCACATCGAGATTTTTTTCTCTTTTCATTTTAACGTTGGGAGGTCTGGATATAACCTATCCAGTTTCTATACAAATATTTTTTTCCCCAATGGCAGGCACTTAACTTTATTCGTTTCGCCTTGGAAGATGGCAGACTTGTTACTCATTTCGCGTTACCCAGTGGGCACCTGTGAGCCAAAGTCAAGGAGGCGAGTAACATTGCCCATGCCACACTGCCACAACCCGTTTATAGGGTGGGCCACATTCATACATCACACACAACAGTGGACAACACAAGAGAGGGAAACATCCATGCCCAGAGCGGGATTCGAACCCGCAGCCATTGGCTTCGCAGTCGCACTGACCGCTCTGCCACCTGGCCGTTTCTATACAAATATATTTCCTTTGAAAATGACCTTGTGATGAAGGTCTCAAATATATAAAATGATCGAGCTTTTCTTTTCGCTGTCGCTTTTTAAAACTAAATGAATGCATTGTATGTGTTTTCCGAAGTTGTATTAGATAACTAAACCGTTATAAAACTTTAAAAGCAGATAAAGCATTTAATAAAGATAAATTTCTAAATGAAAATATTGTAGATTTTCAAGAAATGTGAGAAAAATACATCTCAATAAACTTTTAAATACTTTCAGAATTGGTAGATTTTTAATTAGTTTTGGACCTTTTGTACAAGCTTTATTTACTTCTTGTGGACAGCCCGTGTTTGACAAAAAGCTCCTTTTTTGTATGCTATATTTACAATATATTTTCGAAATATATCATTTTTTAAATTTCTTTTCTTCCTCTAGTGGCTAATTTCTGGATTCGGGAGAAAGGACAAGCATTCCGAAGAAGGTGTGATTTAGATCCTAATCTATGACGTAAACAATTTGCAGACTGATCTTATTTATAAAAGAAAAAGAAGAATCGGAAAGAATGTAGATGTTCTGTATAAAAAGACAATTTAAAAAAATATGGGGATATTATAAAAAAAATAATTTGAGACTAGTCTTTTTTGATGCTAACGTAACGAAAATATGGTTTATTTTATAAGTAAATACTAAGAAAATCTGATTGTGGTGATGTAAATTGGTAAAATACAGTTTACAATATAGTTTATAATCTGATCTCCGTGTGTATGTATGCATTGTACAAAGTGTGTAAATAAATTGTAAAAGATAGCTTCTTTGTGTATTTTTAAAAAAAAATTAGAAGTGACTATTTCGTTTCTTTGTGACTTTTTATTTTTAATCAATCCGTCTCTAGAAAATGAAGTAGAGTAGTCGTTGTTGTTGTTGTTGTTAATTTACGTCGCACTAGAGCTGCACAATGGGCTATTGGCGACGGTCTGGGAAACATCCCGGAGGATGATCCGAAGACATGCCATCACAATTTTGATCCTCTGCGGAGGGGATGGCACCCCCGCTTCGGTAGCCCGACGACCTGCGCGCGAAGTCGAGCACTTTACGGTAGCACAGTTTAACGAGGACCAATACCGCACACCCTCGGTCCCTACGCAGACTGATCCAAGTGGTCACCCACACGCACACTGACCGCAGCCAGTGATGCTTGACTTCGGGGATCTGCTGGGAACCGTGTCTTAACGATCAGTTCACTGCGGGGCGAAGTAGAGTAGTCATTAAACAAGGAAAGAAAAAAAGAGTGACCATGAAAAAAAATTTTGAAAACTTGGTAGGTCGGCAGGCACTTTATTTACGTCACACTGGAGCTGTAGAATGCGCTATTGGCGACTGTCCGGGAGACATGCCTGAGGATGATTCGAAGACATGCCATCACAATTTTTGTGAGGCTACTTCCTCAATTTAGACATAGATCTGAAGGAGAAGGAAGTTTTCTCCAGATCCCTATAACCATGGTACTGCTCAGTTGTAAGAACTTGGAGAAGAAACTGTATAATATGAAAGAAATATAGAAAAGAAGAATTTATAAATGTGATGGATTGATATAAGGGAAAAATATAATAATATAAGGCAGAAATTAAATGAAAATTAAAAATAATGATAATCTGACGAGTCTTGTAAGCTTCATATAAAAACGGTTTGTAAGCCCTTGTCAAGTGAAAAAACAGATGCCACAAATTGGAGAAAGTTTTTTTCATTTCCAATGTCAGGGAATACAAACAATAACACAGAGGAACAATAAAAATGGAAAATAACAGAAGACCGAAGTCATCTTCCCATAAGCTCTCTCGCACCCCAATATCTTGCGGTCTCCGAGTCCGTGGAGCCTCCTACAGCAATGGAGCTGCTCTCTATTCATTGGTGCTCCAGAACCACACAGTTTGACACTGAGGGTGGTCATAAATACCTATACGATGCAGGTGTTCTCCTAGGCAATCATGTGCTGTTAGGATTCTAAAGGTGGCTACTGCATCTCGGCGAGGCTCATCTGGCACTGCCTTAATATCTGTCTCACTCCAGTTCTTATTCCTTATGCTTTCTCGTATGTCAGCAGAGGCATTCATTTTCATTATGTTTTTTATATATAGTTTTATGGAATGGTATGACAATCCAGAGCAACTTGGTTGAAGGATTGTGTTCCCTTGCGAGCAAGAAAGTCAGCTTGCTCGTTACCATAGATGTTACAATGGCTGGGCATCCACTGGATGACTACTCTTAATTGGAGAAAGTGGTGGTAATAAAATAAAAAATGAACTGGGCATATTGTTAACCATTTCACTAATTGTTACTGTATCACTTATGCATAAATAAAACAGTTTGAACCAAATGGATTTTACACTAGCAATCTCTCTAACGATGCTTCCCTTTTCCGATTAGATGAATAGACAACTTCTACCTGTCTTACAAATTTAAAGAAGCGTTTAGTGAAAATGAAATACATAAGCAATATTTTACTGAACTAAGTGGCTCCTCCGCCTCCTTGCTTCTCTCACCAGACCCCGTAATTGTTTCGCCTTCATCATTGTTTTTTCAAGTCGACATTTCAAAAAAGTTAAAATTAACACTTCGTTTATGAAATGTATTTTTACTATATTTTAATGTAAGCACATTTTTTGATTGTAAAGAAATAATGACAATTTGGATTTAAAAATAAATAAATAAACTTAGGGAAGGAGAAAGGAGGGATTAATAAGAAGACTACTATTTTTTCTATTTAACAATATATAAAGATAAACTTATGTAATTATATAAAAAACGGTATTTGCCTCTTGAATTTATGTTTTTAAAAATTTCAATAAATGTTTATGGTATACCTGATAGCATCTTTCTCTTATTATTATTATAAGTAGTAATTGCGCTTTTATTTCGATATCAAATCAAGCAATAGTATATAAAATAAAGATCACGAACAAAATGAATAAGCTTTCTTAAAATAATAGATAAGGAATCATTCTTTTGAGCAAAAAGAATAAAGAATATTTCGCATTTTTTTTAAAAAAGAATAGCATGTGTGTATATTGTTACAGTTATTAAAATCTAATTGGGCTTCTGAGGCAGCATCCGGAATTTTTTTTTCTCATTAATTCGGATGCCTGAGGTGGGTTTGAATGCTTAGAGTTTAATTTGGATATAAAATGAAGCGGCACATAACCCAGTAGCTTACACGAATGGAGGGAGATTAAAATACTTTCTAAAATTTAACTCTTAAAGACTATTTTTTCTAAAATAATTTTATGAATCATTTCTGGAAGTCCTATTAGAAAAGAGTTGTCTTGTTTAAAAAGAAGTTGATTGAGTTATCTATTCTCAAAAAAGTAGACATGCATTGTGCTTATCATGCATGTATGTATGACAAATATGTGGACATGCAAGAGTGCTTAGATAAGAATATCCGCCATTAAGATTTGAAAGAACTTAAGTAACTAACTTTGAATTTAGAATTGCGAATTTAATAACTCTAAAGCAGTGATTCTCAATCACTGTGCCGCGGCACTTTTGTGTGTCGCGGCACTTTTGTGTGTCGCCAAATTCTTAAAATGTGCCGCCAAATATAAGAAATAATTCAATAAAAATTATAATGCTCTTTTTATTATGAGTAAAGTTTAAATTAAAGAAAAGTGTATATATATATATATATTATAATTTTTCCACGCTTTAACCGCGTGAATATCTTTGTCAGCGATTGTCTTGTCTCTGACAATATTAAAATGAGTTAAAATAAGATGGAAGTGTTTAAATTGTCTTTGACGCACAATTTTAAAAAATTTTGAAATAAGTAGGAAATTTAACGACTATTAAAATTATTAATTAACAAATGAAAGCAAGCTATATATTAACTTTCAAACGGAAATAAAAGCAAATCATTAAAGTAAGCTATGCAATTAATAAACAAATTAACAATGGATGACTGAAAAACAAATTGACAAAGGATAACTAACAAAAAAATAAGCTAACAATTAATAATTAGCAAAAAGACTAGTTAACAAGAAATCACGAGTAAATAACAGTTAATGATAAAAAAAACTAACAGTTAAGACCTACATAAAACAAGCTAACAATTAATAACTAGCAAAAAAATAAGAAAATAACTGTTACTAACTAATAAGAAATTAGTTGAAAGAAATAATTAATCCCTTAATAAACGTGCTTTTGTAGTACATATTATTTTATTTCCCATTCTAAAAATTATTATCACAAACTATTTAACACAGTGTATTATAGATAAGTAAACAACTTTTAATCTAATTTTTTTCATTGTGTGCCGTCAAATTTCGAAATCGTTAAAAGTGTACCGCAACAAAAAAAAGGTTGAGAATCACTGCTCTAAAGGCTTCTTCGGAAGAAGTTACTGTGGTTGTTAATATTTCAGCTTGTGATGATTCAAAAGAATCAGAATTTCAACCAACCGTAAAATCAAATGTTAAAGTAAAGGAATAAATGCATATTTTTCAACTTTTAATGCTAGAACAGTTATTATTTTAAATGATTTTTGAAAATAATTGTTACTTTCAATATCTCAAGTTTTCGATTTTATGAAATATTTAGCTCCGATCCTCAAATGAGACTTTGAGATTTGGGATACTTATTTTATCAAAGTTCGACAGTATTTTAAACTCCGAAAAAAGCGCAAGTAAAATTTGTTTCAATGATTAGATAATGTTAAATTTTATTAGTATTATCATAGTCTAATACTTTAATATTTTTTAATGGAGCAATAATTTTGTTTTCAATCATAATTCTCTATGGAAGATCGAAGATTTAATTTATTAAGCCAATAATTGTTACACACGTATCGTGCCTATTTGACAGTTCTTATAAGTTATGAAAAATTAACTTTACAATTAAAAGGAATTTGTTTTACAGAAATATGCAACAAGATTAAGAATAACAGAAAGTGGTATTTTCTCAAAAAAAACTAGCATAAAGATTGAGATCTAATTTTAGAACAAACCAAAATAAATAAATTATAATAAAATAAATAATATTTAGCTCCTAATTTCTGAATTATTAATTTAAAAATTTACTCACAAAATGTTATTAATGTGAAGCAATGTACTGCTGACGGACTCCTTTTGGTATAATGAAGAACTACTTTCAAAAGTAGTTCAACAACTCCAAGAACATTAAATCCAACAGAATTCTCTGGAGGTTGTAGAACCTATACTTGCTTAAAAACTATTAACTCTCTGAGGGATGAACTATGTAAATATTACCTTTTAAACTTATTTAATACAGTTATGTATCTACTGAAGATTTAAGACATAGCTAACTATGTATTTAACTATATCTCAGAAATAAAGATAGGACAAAAAAAATCAGGTCGCATTTAATTCCAAAAATACTTACTAACTGACCTAATTTTTTATCAAACAAGAATTTTTTTGCCGAAATTTAATATCACAAAATAAGGATTTAATTAAAGAAATGAATTTTCATTTTACGGTTCACAACCAAAACGATATTTAAAAAAAAAACTTATTTAGTTTGACAAGTTAACCTCATTAATGACGCTGCACATTTTTATCTATTTTAATGACAAATTAAACCCAAATTTTACCATAACCACCTGCTTGGTGAGTAGTAAGGTAACAAATTACACTAACTTGTATTGTACTGACCGGGAAAAAAATATTTTTGAATTTGTTCTGATCAATATTTTGATTCAAGTAGACATACCACTTTAATTGCAAGTATACAAATTATTACATGTCATATGAGCATACCATATACTGCAGATGTTAGAAATTTTACGTCTATCCTTGACTAAGTATATGGGGATAAAGTTTACTCAAAGATTGATCATTTTACAGGTATCCTGGATTTATCCAAAGATTTGGAAAAAAATGTATTTCTTGCTAAAACCATACTCCCTAACAATTTGAAGTCTCTTTTTAACGCCTAGAAATATTTCAAGTTTTAACAAGAGTTATAAAACTAACAATAATTAAGAAGCGTAATTAATTAAGAAATGAGTTAATTTAATGTCTATGTAGACTTTGACAAATATACTTCATCTATCAGGTTCTCATTTGCATCTCCAAATTCACTTTGCATGCGCGAATTTTTCGTGAGCTGAATGAAAGTTCTTTCAGGTTTTCATTCCCACTGCGAGGATCGGAAAAATGAGAATCGCCTCTAAAATGAATGAGGAATGATTGCAATAGTTAAATTTAAAGGATAGTGAGCGATATTGGTGCTTATTAAAATGTTCTACTGTAAAGTGCTGTACATCATATATAAGGGCCGGGATAGCCTGGTTGGTAGGGCACTGGGCCCATGTCCAAGAGGTGGTGGGTTCGATCCCCTCCGGCCGAAGACTCCCCGTGTAGTAAATGGTGACTGATGCGTGCTAAACCTGTCGAGTCGCAAAGTCCTCCATGTTCCCATAACAAATCAATACTTCTGGGGGTACTGATCCAGGAGTTTCCTTGTTTTCTGGATTGGTTCAAAATTACAAGGCTACGGAGTTGAAAATGAGCAGTCGTGAACCCAAAATTGGGTCTGCTGTTCAACGACGGTTGTAAAATTATAAAATATACATCAGATGTAGGTTATCGGGCTATCAAAGTGAGGGAACCCTCACCTCTGCAAAGATCAAAATTGCGATGGCGTCTCAGAGATGTTCCCCAGACTGTTGCCAATCACCAATGCGGAGCTTAAATGCGGTGTAAATAAAGTACTACAACTGTTAAATTTAAATTACTAATTTTCGTTAGGACTTGTTTGTTATTATGTCTAAACTGCGTCACAGTATATTTCTGGGTATCACAGTATATTTCTTTCTTTCAATGAAAAAATTATTCATGACTTACTCAACCAAATATCTGTGGACATAATTTTGATATGAACGATGCTTCATTTAATTTTTAAGAAAAAAATACTTATTTATAAAAACTAGTTAAACTGAGAATTTACATGAAAATGTTTTACTCACTAGGTGACGCTGTCAGTTTAGCTTTAATTAGAAAATTTTGAATATTTCTTTAGACAGAAATAAACACTGAAAACGTTATAGTAAAATTGTTTAAACTATAACCGACTCAAATTTGATTTTGTTTGCAAACTCTGCTGCGCGCTCAGCTGTTAATGTGACGAAAAAACNGTTTTTGACACAAAAAGCTAGTTACAACCGTTAAAAACTGGTTAAAGTTGTCAAAAATATAATGCGCAGTATTTTATAAACATTTAAATTCAAATGTGCACTCATATGTATGTTTATATTTTATATTAATGTTTACATTTATCTACTGACAATTACTTACTTTTACCAACATTTATTTACAGTTATATACTAATATAAAAATATACAATCATGTTTAGGTCTTAATATATAATTAACAATAATTAAAGTAAAAATTATAGTTTTGGGCAAAATTTTTTTTTTTCTCTTTATCTTCATATTTTATTTTATTGCTTTGAGAGAAATTTTAAAATAGACTCCTTGAAATCTTTACATTATGCAGTTATTATTTCAGTTGTGCAGTTATTACTCTAAAATCTGAACAAAATTGCATCAAATTCCAATTATAAAACTGGATTGCTTCATAATCAGAATTGAAAGTTTTTTTAAATAAAAATATGATCCTTAATGTTATCAAATGACAAAAGATTATAATCATTTTTCACTTCTAGTGGTATAACTTTTAAAATAAAAGTTTCATAATACATGCTTTGTTTTTCATATAAGAATATATCAGCATAAATAATTACCTATTAGAAAAGTTGAAGCTTTTTTTCTGTTATTGAAATTTCTTCTTTAAAATTAATTTACAGCTTCTAGCAGATGTTTTGTTAGCATATAAAAGCTTATATTTCATGAAATAAAGAGGTTTTTTCTGAAGACATTTTCTATTCAACATGTGTTAATTTATATAAGTAAAATAATAATTATAATTTATCCCTAAGCTTTGTACGCAATATTTTAATTTAATTAGATTACAAACAACATCTACACTAATAATGCAAATCTTTAGGTTTTTAACAGTTTTTAAATCAGAATTTTTTTGTCCATTTTATCCATAATTAAAAATGTCAAAAATTTGCCATCCTTGATAACAATTGATTTGAATGTTACATAATGATATTACTTTGCAATATCGTTTTTAAATTCAAATATAATTTGTAATCAAGTTCTTTTGATTATTCTAGATATGTTAAAGGTAGAATCTGCATATTCACTTTTTTTACCTTTCTTAGTGTTGTAGAACTATACAGTTTTGTGCAAATTTGTGTTCTTTGTTATTGTATTAATTTGTGATTACACAGAATTTTACTACTATTAATTTTTCAAAAAAATTGCTATTTACTTATTTTTAAAATTTTTCAGATCAAACAAATACCAAGAGAGTTGTAGTTTGGTTAGTTTGAAATCAATAATTTTTAGTGCAAAATGTCATCATTATATCTTTTTTAATAATTTGCATTTTATTCAAATAATTTTTTTTTTTTTTTTTTTTGTGTGTGAAGGGAAATATTTTAATTTAAATGAGTTTTTATATTTTTATTTTACTGATTGTTTTACTAGCAATTTTCTTTCACCAACTTAAAACTGGTTGCCGTACAAGTTGGTTAAGATTTATTTTGTTTGAAAATTTTTAGTCATTCAATAATAACTTAAAAATGCTTTGCAAAGTTTAATAATTAAATTGATGCATGTTTTCTGATTGCTAATTTTTATCATGAAGGCAAATATAACTTTTTCTGAGACTCATATGCGGGAAGGGCTTCCGTATCAGTACCTGCATCAAAATGGAAGCTAAGTTTTGACAACAACTTGGCAGAGGCACATGAAAAATGATAATAATGAAGAAAAAAAAAACATTTTTGAGAAACTGAAATTAATAGGTAAAATACTAAGACACTCCTGGCATGCTACTATTTGTATTTTTTTTAAAAAAAAAATTGTGAGTACAGGAACTGGGCAATGAATTATAGCTAATACAGTTAGTGCAAACAGGTACCTACTACTATGGAATAACCACCAGTATATTGAGACAATTTAGAATATTTTGTAGCTGCTGATTCATGGAAAGGAGATTGAAAAATTGGTTGAAGATACAACAAAGCAACCAAATCCTTGCTTATTTTTGTTTATAACAAGTAAAATAAGCAATCCTCCCACAGGAATCTAAGTTCATTTTAATCAAACAAAAAAAGTATTTTTTTAACTGTAAAGCAAATAAAATTTAAGTGTAAAAAAAGTTAAGTAGGCATGAGATTTGCTGACTGGCAAATGGGATCTAAAATCATTTAAAATGTACCTAAAATGTAATTAATTAAATATTTAAGTGGAATTGAAGCTATCTACATGAAACATTATGAAAATAATAATTAATAGTTGCACTATAGGAAAGAATGTAATGTTTAGATAAATGTAAATAAAACATAGAGGTAAAAATATTAAGTGCTGAAGTAGCTGGATGAATTATAATTATAAAATAATTTGAAATGAAGTTTTGTTTATTTTATTTATTTATGTATATTGATTTTTATCTTTGTAGGAAATTTTTGGTTTGTTTCTGATTTTCATGTTGATCAAAATTATTCAAGAGAAGGTAATCCTACGAAGCTCTGTCATGAAGATGGATCTATACATCCTGATACTGGTCAATATGGCAATTTCTTGTGTGATTCCCCAATGACACTCATAAATGAAACTGTTGCATCCATGAAAAATATTCAACCAAATCCAGATTTTATAGTGTGGACTGGGTAAATTTTTTTTGATGATTTTATTATTTGTGATTTCATGCATTAGTTTGTTTGCTGTCTTTTAAAAAAAGACTGCAAATAGAACTATTGATAAATTCCTGTTGTTCTTATTCAAACAAGATGATGCTCTCCGTGCACAGTGAATGAAAATTATAAAGTTTTAACTTTATAATTTTCTTCGTAAACTTCATGTAATTAAACTTAGTGAAGGAGCTACATTAAATTCAAATTATAATATTGGGTTAATTTATGAACAGAGTTGGAAAAAAAAATATATCTGATGGATTTTAATAAAATAAATTTTTTTTGAGCAATCTGTATTTCTAGTAGTATAACTTTAGAACTAAAAGCTCCATAGTATGTTTTATTTAATTTTTATTTTATTTTATATAATTGTATGTTGATATAAATAATAATAAGAATGTTTCTGTTATAAGAATATCTTCTTTCAAATAAAATTAAGAGCTTCTAGGGGATTTTTTGTTTGCATGTAGTATTGTATATTTCAAAAGGAATTTTTGCTATGAAAAGTGTTTTTTTTTTCTTTTTTTTTTCTTCAAGATATTTTCTTTTTAACATGTGTAATTTGTGTAAGAAAATACTAATTTAATATTTAACCACAAGTATTGTTCTATTTTATGCTAAAACATGAATGCAAGTTTTTAGGTTTTTGATGCAGGCACAGGGTTTTTGACATGAGGGTTTTACCCAAGATCAAAGACATCAAAAGCTGACACATGACAAAAATTCTGCTGGCCCTGACATTATTAAGAAATAGACAATTATTAGGAAATAGACATTTCTTAATAATTTCTCGTGTTTTCATTTACATTCATTTACATTACAAGTCATTTACAATTTTTATCTATAATGTAATTAAAAATAAAAAATTAAACATTTATATTAAATGCATGTTTCATTTGGGATTAACTTTTGAAACACTATTTAATCTGATTATTCTAATATCTTTTTATGTTAGATGTATTGTGTAAAAATTAAATTTAAAAAAAAATAATTTAAGCGACATATAATTTTTTTTTGGAAAAGTGACTATCAATAAAATCAATATAAAAGAAATTGATTTTATTAATAGCTATTTATTCAAAAAATTTAGCTAAATGATAAACAGTTAAAATTTTATTTTTATATGATAGAAAATGAAGCTGATTAGAAACTTAAATTAATTTCCGAAGCATTTCTTGTTATCTATTTTTTTTTTAGCTTCTGTTTTGTGGGGATTGATTATTTTACAAATATTCTTTATCTTTATGTATTTTCAAAATTAAAAGCTTAAGTTTTAAATTTCTTGATATGGGCTTAAGAATTGTCAAGATTTTGGATTGGAAGAAACTTTTTTTTAGTAAGAGATATCAAAGGTTAAAATGATTTTTTTAATAGTTTATAATTGAAACCTAGTTTAAATATTAGTATTAAATTCTTGCTGCTTAAATTTCATTTTTAAATGTGTGAAATCTGAAAACGATAATTAGAACGAAAGGTATTTTTAATAATTTTCTTAATAAAATTAAAATAACTCAAGTACTTCAATATTTTATGTAAATGAGATTAGTAGAATCATTATCTATAAGTCTATTAAGAACTGTTAGAATATCATAATCATATTTTTTTTTAATAATACTAAATTAACAAATCTCATATTGAAATCAAAATTTACTCAGATTCTTAAATTTATGATTTATAGGTTATAAAATTCAATGTAAAACTAAAGTAAATAATAGTAAAAGAAGTATATGTTTTTTTTTAAAATTCTTTTTTTATAAAGAGCTGATGTGAAAAACTTTTAACTTTCTGACACAATATTAAATTTAATTTCTTTAAATTTAATTATAAATGAGCTGACAATTCTTAAAATTTAATAGTAATTATAATACTTATTTCTGAACAATTTTAATAATATTTTTATTTTCGTCCATTTTATCCAGTTTTTTTTTAATTTTTTTTCATTTTGTCCAATTTTTCCTTGTCTGGACAAAAAACCATCCCTGATCTTAGTATTTTAGTTATTATTATTTTTTTAATGTAATTGTTGTTTGATTGACTAATGTGAATGAGTTTTTTTTTTAAATATTCAGTTTTAATAATTTATCTTTTTTTTTTTCTTTCTTAATTTTAGAGATAATCTTCCACATACAGATGATTTTAACCCTGACTGGGATGTGACATTTGAAGCTATAAACAATATAACCGAGCTCCTTTACTCATCTTTTCCAAACGTACCCATCTACCCATGTATTGGTAATCATGACACTTTCCCACCTAACATCTTGCTTCCTGATGGAATATCTGACACTGTTTATAAAGGATACTTAGAAAAAGGAGGCTGGAATAAATTATTGTCCAAGAATGCTACTGTTACTTTTCATCAAGGTAAAAAGAAGAATTCCTGTAAATCAGTGATTCCCAAACGTTTGTTGCCCACCGCCCCCCTCTAGAAGTTAGCTGATGTTTATCGCCCCCTTTTTCTTTTTGATCGAAAGAAACGATACATTGTTGCATGTGAGCATCAATACATTTGAATATATGTTAACTTAACCTGATTTTAATTTAAATTAAAATGTAAATAGTGAAACAGTTTATTCCAGTCACTTCAGAAATTCGAAAAAAAAAAAAGTATCCACTTTTTTTTCTAAAAAGAGGTAATGTTTGAAGTGAAATAATTGAAACAAGAGTACATTTTTTAAAAATTTATTTTTTTAATATAATCTATAGAAATTGAAAACTTTAACAATTAAAGTGTGAGAAAAAAACTGAAAATTCGAAAACTCAATTGTTCATTTTTACCTCTTCAATGATTGCCTTGTGCTATGAGGATTTCAGTTAAAGATTGAATATCAGGCTTTTTGTTTGTCAAACTTAAGCATAGGTCTCCTTTGAAGCAAATGTCCAACCAACTTCTTTGTTTTGTGAAAAGCTGGACGACCGAACTAAATCTTTTTTCTACTAAATGTGTGGACGGTACCCAGATTAGTAATTCGCTGTTTTTTTTATTATTATTAATCGCAATTTTTTCTTCTGTTGAATACTGCTTGTCCACCTGAGGAGCCATATTGCCCCCCAGGTTGGAAACAATTGCTGTAAATAAGTAACTAAAATAGGAGTGAACCTCTTTTAAAAAAAAAGATGCAAAATAAAATAAACTTTTTTTAGCTGTTAGAGCCACAATAATTTTAGTTCTTATATCAATTGATAATAAATATTGTTAGAAACTACAGTAGGCTTTCTATTATCTGGCTTCAACACTATCCAGCGTAGGAAAAAATTCAAGAATAATCGAACCAACTATAAGTCAAAATTAATAATCTCCACAGATTAACAAACTATAGTAATTGGAGATTTAAAAATTGTCTGTCAATAGACACTTTTTTAATGTAAAATGCATGTGCATTTTATTATTAATAAATATGGTGTTATGAGAATTTTATAATATTCTGAAAATTACTCTGACAGGATAACTTAGGATTATGTTCTCTTCCAATAATTTGTTTGTGTTTTTATTTTTTAAAGTGTTTTTCAGCAATTGAAACTTCATGGCTTACTCTAGGTTTGCCTGAACTTAATTTTTATATACTTTAAATTAGTTATGGAGGAGAAACAGAAATTGCAAAAAGTTTCTACTGTGGTATAGCGATTAATCGAATTGTTCATTAAGATAATTTTAGTTACTTCTTTTTGAAAAAACTAAGAAGTGTAAGTGTTTGAAAAATAAACTAGAAGGTTCTTTATTATTATTTTTTTAGTTGAAATTATGCATGCTTCACAGTAGTGAAGATAACCTATGATATTTGCAACAAATTTATAAATACTATTTTTTTTAAATGTTTTAGTTTTGAAGATGCTTATAAAGGTTAATATATCATAATTACTTTTATTTTATTGAAATTAAGTAGCATTCTAATGTGAAAATGTAAAATAAACCAATTTTTACCCAATATATATATATATATATATATATATATATTAGGCATGAAAGATTATGAAGAGCAAGGATAACAGCTATGTAAACGTAACTTATGGGAAATCATAGTAATAGCAACATAAATCTCAACCAATATTTTCAACCATCAAACGAGTTGTTTTTCTTAGAAAAANATATATTTTCATATAGAGTTATTAATGAAGGAGAGTATCTAATTCTTGTGAATTGCCTAATTTTGTGATCAAAAATGTTATTTTAAGAAAGTTAACTTAATTAAATTAACTTCTTATTAAATATCTTCTTAGAGTTATTTAGTAACTTTGCACTTATGCCAAGTATTTTTATTAACATCTGCTGCCTGTTCAGATTGCGCTGCGGTTGCTATAATTGTAAATTAATTCTATATAATAATGTAGGGACAATATATATGTACGACTATGAATTTTCCGTAGTAGTAAAACAACCATTGAGTTTAAAAACGCAGAAATTTTATAAGTTTTTCCTGCTTATAAACATCACTACCTGATTGTTAGGTAATTTTTGTGTTATAATGGTCAAAATAAGTTTTTAATGAGTTTTATGAATCTGAGAATCGAATAATAAAGCATAAATTGTACTGCCAGTTAATATACATGCATGAAAAACCTTCCCTGTTATGATACTTGTTACTGTTAAATTTCTATATCTTTATCCTATTGTTGATGAATTGGGTAAAACATTGAATTGAATGCTTTTTTTCCACAATTTTAATTTACATATATATATTTTTTTAATCTCAGGTGGCTTTTATAGTGAAGTGATTAAGCCTGGTCTTCGATTGATTAGTTTGAATACAATTCTGTGGTATTTTCCAAACAACTATACAGTTGAAATTGAAGACCCTGCAAATCAGTTTAGTTGGCTCAAAAAAGTTTTAAATGAAAGTTCACAGCTGTCTGAAAAGGTGAAATATTTCATAGTTCAGGATTGTTATATATATTTAATTTTTTTTTGTAGATTTCATACTTTTCTGCAAAATATTTTTTATATAAATTTCAGCATAATTTTCTAACTAATTCATAATATAGTGCGTAAAAAATATAAATAAATAATAAAAGAACTTGGGAATAATTTATAATTAAGGGGTCAGATTTTTACATTTTAAGAGGCAGATTCAAGGTTTAAACATAAGTCAAAAAGTTTCTTAGTGATAAAACTTAAAAGTTTTATTTTTACACTTTTTTTCCTCAGAATTATTTGACTGTATTGTACTTATTTTGATTTGTGTTATTTAAAATTATATTGTATTGAACAATGTAAAATTTGTGGGTGTAAAATTTAAAAAAAATTAGTCCTTAGTAAATTAAATAATATTAAAATAATGAATGTTTATAACAACTTTTTTTTGTTTCAAGTTGTCTTCCACAAACAGTTTTTTTTTATTTTATTTATTTTTTTTTAAAATTTTTATAACCGGAATTGTAAAATCAGAATATGGGTAAAAAAATTTTAAGATCAGAAAATGTAAAAATTTTACTATATAGGTTATAATAAAGTCCAGAATAATCAGATTAATTGTAATAATGAATACACAAAAAGTTACTAAAAATGAAAAGTCTTCCCTTTATTATGGTTTGCATTTTGACCATGCATATGTGTATTTTCAATGCATTTTTAAGACAAAGTTTGAACTGAGATAATTTCTTATTTTACTGTGTTTTATTTCTTTCAATGTTTGGCTGATTAACAATAGAAATATAGTTTAAATTTTATGTTTGATTGAAACAAAACAACATTAATTACTTATATGTTATATTTTTATTTAATTTGGTTTGCTATTTTGAAAAGATATCTGTAGTCATTCTTATCCTTAAAGTGTGTAGTAGATACTTTTTCATCACCGAAGTACATTTTTGCTATTTTTTTGTTAAAACTATTACTTTATGTTGTATTTTATTTTAATTGTTTTTATTTAAATTTTTTTATCATGTGTGTAAGTGCTTCAGTTCTGTTCAATTTTCAATGCATATTTTGAAAAATTCATTTGTTTCAGTTCACTATTTAAACTACAGGCACTAATATTATTATAGGTAATTCTATAGTTTAATTTCGTAGGTCTATATAATTGGACATGTTTCTCCTGGATTTTATAGTAGAGGTCAACCTGGAAAGAAGTCAGATCCTACTTATCACTTGCATTTCCTAGAGAAATATTTAGATATTTTGCATCAGTATACAGAAATTATTATTGGTCAAATGTATGGCCATTTTCACCTGGACTTTTTTCAGCTTTTTCAATTTAATACAGGTAAGTCAATTTAATACAAGCATAATTTATTTTATTGTAAAAAAAAAACTGTAAACCTGTTTTGAAATTGAGAATTTTCTACATTTAATTTTTTACACAATTTTTCTATATTTTATAATTATACTTCGTCCAACTGTTATTTCGATATAAACATTGATCAAGCTTTTTGTAATGTAGAACTGCCAGTTTATAACTTTTTTTTATAACAAATTATAGAACATTCAGTTTATAAATGGACTTTTCAAATTTAATGCAGGTTAGCCTTATAACTTTTATTTAAAGAAAGCGCATACACTTTATGAAGCAGTTCCGAAAATATTGTTTTTTATTTTGGTAAATTTAATGGAAAAAAAATAACAAGCTATAAAATCTTATAACCTATATAACTATTAATATCAAAAATTGCTGAAGGTAAATTAAATTATGAATAATTTTTTTTCAAAGTAAGTAAAAAAATTTTAACATTAAAGAATAATTTTGTTTATATAAAAAATTAAAAAAAGAACTTTTTTTGTTAATAAATTTTTATTTTTTTAAATGTCTTAGTAGTTTATCTACAAATTCCTTACACTTACTTAATGGTAACAAAGCAGCACAAAGAAGTCAAAAGAATACCTGCATTTTTAAGATAAGTTTTAAATAAATATCTATGACAATTTTACATCAGTGGGGCAAGTGCTGTGCTCAACTACGCCAACTGCGAGAATCGTCTGCGATCCTGCTCTCTATCGAAATATTTGGCTAAATTAGTCCTGGTCTTTTCCAAAATAAGCATTCTTCTCACAAAAAATGCATATATTATGTTTTTCAAAGAATTTCAACACCATGAATTCTTTTGATTACCTGACCCAAAACAATAACTGATTCTTCTCATGAAAATGCAACCAACTACAAATGCAGTAAAGATTTCACAAATAGGCACATTGCAAGTTCCTCTGGTTAAACACGCTTTTCATTTCTGTTCGATCAGCTTTTATACTTATTTCTCAGAGTTATCGCTATACTGCATCAAATATCTAAAAATTGAAAAATGGAACAGTAAAGAATGACAGTTGCCCAACTGCTAGATGATCAACTGTGATTTTTGTCATCCTTGACCTACATCAATAAAAGAAAGAATTAAGTTTGAGCTTAAAAATCATTAAGGAATCTTGCTACTGACAGTTGAACTGTATACAATTAATAAATAGTTTTTTCAATGAAATTAAAAAAAAATTGTTCTGAAAAAAAATCTGTTCTTGTTCTAGAACTTATGTAAGGAACAGAACTGATACATTATATTTACATGAAGTTACTGTGGCGTAACTTCACTACGACTGTTAAAACATAAATTCTCTAGTATACAAGAAGTGTTAACTCGATTCTATCTTTAAGTATCTTTTCATAGATGAATGTTGGCATTGAAGATAACACTATCTCCACATTGATAACATGCAGACACACTGACCTTGACAGAACCGCTTCGATGGATTTTCTCAATTGAACAATTAATTTTCTATTTGTGACTGTGACATTATCCAGCTACTCATGAACTCAGTCTCAATAACACACCATCGGGACTTAACTGCTAATGGCAACACAGGAGCGACCACAACCGTGAAGCTCTCACCACTAGGGCTTAAAAAGCGAGTGAACTTAATCCAGCTCTCCGCGGCAGCTAGTGGTATCTGTAATTCTATCAATAAAATTCTTGTGAGGGAGTATTGTGGCGCAACTACCTATTAAACATATTCACTAGTATATAAGGCATGTTAACTCGATTCTATCTTGAAGTACCTTTAGATGCATGAAGGTTGGCATTGTCAATAACTACTCTTCCATAGTTATTATACATCAATTTTGAAAAAACAAAAAAAAACAATTTAATTTCATTATATTAGAATGTAGCTAAAGGAAAAATTATATTCTTTATGTTTTTATTTTCTAGACAATTTTCCTTCTATCTCAAAATTTTTATATCTCAAATTTATTTTTGGAATTCGATTTTTATCAGATTTATTTGATTTTTAAAAATCAAATTTAGAATCTTTAACCCACTTTTCATGAATATTGAAATGATTAAATAGCATTTACTTGTGACAAGTGTTTATTTCAAATTTTTTAAGCTTAAAAAAAAAATCAAGAATTTGATATTTTAAAAATTTATTTAATGGAATGTATATTAAAAATTAGATAGCAAAAAATTTTCTTCAAGCTTTCAATTTCAGTACTCCATCTTTTTTGCCGAAATGAAATATTGCATTTTTTATGTGTCTGTTTTTTAATTTTATTTAAAATTAAGAATTTTTTCTTGTCTTGATGCTTTGTATAATAGTTAAAATTAAATTTTTATAATTTCATTTTAATATATATCAATATATATATATATATTATTTCATCAACAGGTTCCTTTAAAAGTTCTTCAATTCTGGCGTCATCTGTAACGCCATGGCATTCCATTGATGAATTCAGTACTACTCTTCCAGTAAATCCTTCTTTTAAACTGATGAACTATTCTGACAGTGATTTCTCACTTTTAGACTTCGAACAGTTCTATATGAATTTATCAAAAGTAAATAGTTTGAAAGAAACACATTTGGTAAGTTTTTTTTTCTTCATAAAATTTGTGGTTGTTAATGTGCGCGGTGTAAATGTAACAGTGCGGAATGGTGTTAAATAAAATCTTTTGCATATTTATTTCAGAACATGAAAATCAAATTCTGAAATAAATAATAGCACTCTGGAACAATTTTTTTCTTCTCTGTTGCATTGAGATTTCTGGCAGATCTTAGATATTTTCATATAGCTGATTTCAAAATCTCTAATTGGTTTTTCTCCCCCTGTCCCTATGGCAGAATTTTTTCAAGCTATCAGCAACACAACTCTCTAGCACTAATGTTTTTCAGCGAGTTACTTTTAATAAAAAACGTATATGTTACTAGTTTAAAATAACAAAAGAGCTGTGTTTAAAAAAAAAACTATATAATTTTTTTTAATTGAACATGCAATAATTTTTATTCTAATGGGTGGTATTCTCATATTTTGTTAGGGGGGATGCACAAATTATTTCCTTCGCATTTTGTAAATAATTATCACAATTAAAAATCATGAAATCTGTACTAGTAATCGCTGAAAAAAAGATCGACGACGAAATCAAGCAAATAGGACTCCTCAAATGCGTGTTTTGTTTCGAGATTATCTGATTTAAAAACCATGGAGAAAGCAATAGCAATAATTGCCAAAAATTCAAAAGAATTATTGCCTTAAAAACTAAATGCTCAAATGCACAATTCGAATTTTCCATATTGTTTGAAATATATCGGGATATTTAAAATTCATGTGTAAATCAATATCAATAACTGCCGAAAATGCAGTTGAAATATTACATCTATTTACAATACTATCAGTGTTAATTGAGCACATCAAAAAGTGATTACTTAAATGTATGATTCAAATATTACTTGTAAATTTCAGAAGAAAGATTTTTTTTTAATTTTTTAAACTTTTCAAAAGAGAAATTTTTCTGCAAGAACTCTGTAACGTTCTGCGACAATGTTGCCATGTCGCTGCAATTCGGCTACGGGGCGAATCACCTGCTACAATTTTATTTTAAAATATATTTTTTGTAAGTCTATTTTTTTGTTGAAATGTATGGGTTTAAAAAAGTTAAACATAGCAGGGGTTGCATAAATGTTACAAAAAACTTCTTGGGGAGTTAAAGCACATTATCAGGATTAAAATTGCACAGGAACCCATGTCTAGAACTGTCATATGCTGCTAGGGCCACTTCCCTATGATGAACTGTTCCTTTGTGTGCTTCTGAACAGGACTCGCATATGGCATTTCCGAATGTGGCTTACTATGTAATTTGAATTCCCTTAGAAGTTTTTCTCAACATTTAAACCCCCTGGTATATATATATGCTCAGGGTGCGTAAAGTTTTTAAAAAGTTCTTATTTTTGATTTATGTTTTTTAAAAGCCCTTAAAGGTACAGTTTTTATTCGGTGTTTGTAAAAAGTGCTTAATTTTCTCTCTTTTAAAAAGAGATTTTTTCTTGCCATATCGATTGTTGTTCTAAATTACAAAAAATGTATTATTTTCACAATTTTCTCTGCAATATTTATCAGAAACTAGTTATATCATCATGATTATATCAAGTTATTGAATTTTATTGATTTTATGTTTATAAATTAAGTACTTTAAACGATAGAAAATTGGTCATTGTACAACACTCTTGAGACGAGATGGCTCAGTGGTTAAGACACTGGTCTGTAATTGTTAAGAGCTGGGGTTTGATCTCAGTTGCGGCTTGAAGTACACCCAGCTTCAGATCGATGGGTACCATCTTGTTTGGGAAGTAAAAGCAGTCTGTGCGCAGTGCTGACCGCATTGCCACAATTATGCCATTGGTCACGAAATTTTGGAGCCTTATCCTCCATGACCCTTCTGGCCCACAAAGGGCTGTTGCAGGAATTTACTTATTACTTATAACACCCTCAGCGCAAAATTCTGGAACCTCAAATATTTCGCCTGGAACATAGATGTTGAATTCCATGCCAACTGAAATCAGCAGTAGAATTCCAAGCGTAACAGAGGGGAAATCACACAGGTATTTTATCATAAAAAAATGTATTAAATATATGTGAAAACGAAAAATTGTGCTATAATGTGCTACTTTAAGGTGCAATGTTTAATTAAATGGCATGATATTTCCCTGTAACTATTTGTCAAGTTTGCAAAATGTCCCCTCTGTTACATTACATTTTTTTGAAGTTAATAAAAATGTGTAAGCAATTTAAAAAATCTTGTAATAATTTATTTTACCTTGAAATGTGATAATTAAAAAAAAAAAAAAAATACAATTAATGTTTAGGATGTTCCAAATCACAGAATATTGCAGAAATAACAGTGCATGTCAAAAATGTGGGATTTTCTTTGTCCCCTCTGTTACGCATACTTTCAATTACCTGACAATTAAATTATGAGGTTCTTTTATTATTTTATGCAATTAAATTAAACATTGCACCTTAAAGTAGCATATTATTGCACAATTTTTTGTTTTCCCATATATTTAATACATTTTTTAGAATAAAATACCTGTGTGATTTCCAATCTGTTACGCTTGGAATTCTACAGATGCATAAGCAACAAGATGATTTTATTTAATATTCTGTATGGAAACATCGTTTGTTAGTCATTGTGATGACCAATTTCTCATTCATCTTTTTGCCGCCCTATATCCTCACTGCTCAATTATCTGCATGAGAGAATTCACATTGTTTATATGCATACAAATTTTAAATAATTTGAACCAGTAGTAAGCTTATAAACACTTCTAAAAAAATTAATATTCAAATAAATTATCAGGATCAGATATTTTTTCTAACAGTTTGAATAAAATAATTTTCAAGAAGTTTTTGAACATTTTCTAGTTAAATCTGAATTATACTAGTAAAAACAGACTTTTATATAGCTTTTTTTTAACATTAAAATTATTATTATTTAATTTTTTTTTGCTACACTTGAGACCTTGATAAATCCGGACTTGCAATAAAGTAGTTCAACTGTAAATATATTTCAAAAATAATTTAAAATAAAACTTGAATTAGTTGAAAGTATTAGGGGTTGTTTATGATCACATTGTTAAAATTAAAAAAAAGTTGATTGAGCTAATTGTAAAACTGCTTTTTTTTTAAACATGGTTATTGAAGAATAAAACCATATATTTTATCTTTAGGATCCTGGACATCTGTATGAGCCCCTTTATCAATTTACTACTTTTTATGGTGTTTCTGATTTATCTACAAATTCACTTGTTAAAGTTTATGAAAATTTGAAGAAAAATGATAACAGGTTTCAAGATTTCTTTTTACTCTTAACTGCTGGAAAACACAGTGCAGAGTGCGGAAGGGATTGTAAAATTGCTCAGTTGTGTGCCATGTCTGGCACCAGTAATGAAGAATACGACCAGTGCATGAAAACAATTGATGAATCTATCATATCTAAATCTACTTATTCAGCAAATGTAACTACAAATATTTTAATAGCTGTGTTTGTTTCTCTTTTAATTTTGTGCTTACTTGTTACTTTCATATTGTACTTAAAATATTTTAAACGAGCTAATCCAGAAGAATATCAACCATTCCTAGAGTTCTAATAAATTATTTTATTTTAATCTTGCTTTTGTTTATTTATACCTTCTGTTTTTATTATAGTTATTTTGCATTGAAATATAGGCTACAAAAGTATGTGGTGATTGAGGTGTGGGGAAACATTTCTCTAAATCTTGCATGAAATCAATTTACAAAATTTGTTTAAATTAAAATTTCAATTAGATGTTTGTCTTATATTGGTACTATATCTTATTTATTCAAAAGTTATTATCTTTTACCATTTTATAGAAAGTTACTACTTTGAAAGGTTACATTATATACTCCAGAGATATGCCTCTACAATCTTCTTATTTTGCTGTTGCTGATACATTTTGTTTAGATTTCTTATTTGCATTAATTACAACTTAAAACACTATAGAATGTTTATGTTTCCTATGCTTAACATGAGAAATGATCAATCTAGGTTCTATTATAATAATGAGCTAATAAGACATAATTAAAAACATCATTAGTCAAGATGGAACAATTTATTTTAATTTAAAGATAAAACAGCGAGTCAAATATGAGGGGGAAGAAAACAATGATATAAAAAAATTCCTTAATGATTGATCCAAGTATGTAACAAATGAATATGACTGTACAAATATCACAGGTTTCATTCCTTTTGTCTGTATTAAACATTTTTATTGGGAAGCGAATGAAATCGAGTCTCCAATCTGGTCGTCTGATCCAGATTCGATATCGTCGTCTGTGTCAGTTAGATTCTCGTAAGGACCGGGTTGGAAATATTCTGCGTTAGAAGGGTTCATGACCACTCTAGCGTAGTCGTCTGTGTCGATGGACCTGCAGAAGTGAATGGCGTATTTCAATTTTTCTCTTAGAACCGCCTTGCAAGAGTAACGAGGCATCTTCAGTAAAAAGAAGCAGGTGTAGCTCTCTGGTAGGAAATAGTCTGGAGGATTATATTTGTCCAAGACCTAAAAACAATTGGCCAATTAATTACTAATAACAAACAACATTTAGACAAAAAAGAACTATATATAAAAAATAGTTCAGTTTAAATATAAAACTAAATTATTTTCATTTATTTGCAGAGATTCCAACTTGCTCTGGACTGCAAATATATATTTTAAAGTGGTAGTTTATCAATTGTGATTCTTGGTTTAATAAATTTAATTTAGTAGATTTTTATCCACCACTATTTCTAAACAATTCGTAGGCTTATAAAATCCACCACTTTATAGAACTTTTGTCATGCTGTACCTTTTAGAAAGCAAGCAAAAATAGTCAAATATTTGAAAAATTTACTTTGTAGTTATCTATTGTTTTTTTAAAAATTATTTTGGCATGTCCGGAGCAGCTGGCATCTCTGTATTTGCTAAAACTAGGCTTAAACCTGAATTAAAATCTAATTTTAATCGTACTGCTAATTGGAATCAGCCTAACAGGGATGCCACTTTGCTCGTATCTATGGGTAAAACTTTTTTTGTGGTAGTTAAAGTTTATGTTTTAATATTTAATAAATTTGATTTTGGGAAATTTTGCCTACCACTATTTAACTTATCTGAAATATACATATAAAAATACCCAATTAATGCAGCAATCATGTGGTGAAGCCTTAAAATGTACTTCTAGAATCAACCAACATGCTCAAAAATTTTATATCTATTATTTTACCACTTCCTAGACATTTCCCATTCCCCTCTAACTGGAGCAGTTAAGCTTAATTACTTTGGTTCTTTTTTAATTCTATTATAATTCATTTTCTTAAATAAATAGATTTTCTGCTGCTAATTTGTAGCTACTAAAACTAATAACATATTAGAATTTAGTGTTAGTGACGAAAAAAAGAAATAATATGTAGAACAAGTACCCAGTTATTGCTACTTTTTTTAAAATTCATTTTCTACTTTTTCTGTTTATAAATAAAATCCCCCTCCCCAAGTTTTGTAGCATATAAAAACTTTATACTTTGTCCTGTTCTATTAACTCATCATCATGCATTGCTAATAAAAGGCATTAATAGACCACAAATTGCACATTAAATTAGGTTTATGTATTTCATTTGAATTTTTGTAGCCAAGAGTACATAAAATTACTCGAGTTTCTATTTTTAAGCGAAAGGTTTAGAGTGAGCCTTTGATAAGCTGCATTTTCAATGTTTTTATTAACTATGAAAAAATACAAAAGTGGTTAAAAAAATATTACAAATGCCGCTTATCACTGACTCACATGAAATTTTTCACTTAAAAATAAAAACTTAGTGAAATTTTATCTACTTTCATCTTCAAAAATTTTGTGGAAGGTTGCACAATGGCATAATTATGTTAAACACTACAACACTGGTACACATCCTGCGATTTTCAACTTGAAAATATAACCTATATTTTATCCTCTGACACCAATAACAATTGTAATTTTTTTTTATATATATAGGTGAACAAAATAAAACTGTTTATAATTCGAGGTGTTAAGAAGAGGCTATTTTATTACCTGAAGAACAAAGTCTCTGCCTCTAAAATCCGCAATGGTTCTGGGCAATCTCGTTCGACCCCAGACGAAGCGTAAAAATAGAGATCTTTCAGCGGTACTAAATTCCTCCATGACTTCCCAAAATGCTTGTATTAAGGGGGCATCCGGTTCTACCCCTTTATAAGTCACAACAGCTTTTAACAATTGGATAGGAATTTCTGGACTCCCACAAACCTGTGGAAATATAAAAAAAAGAAATTTCAGTCAACAATAGTACAACAATCTTCAGAAATTCTTTATTTAAAAATTGTACTATGTTTTGAAGACGTGATATCATCAATATTTTTAGTAGTATCGGATACAATTTTTCTAACAAGAGTTCTTAGACTTTTACAGCTTCGATTATTTTAATTTATTACTAAAGATAATATATAGATACCTGGAGTGTGAACATAATTTCTTCCGAGCTTTTGTAACTCAATGACAGTGCATTCTTTTTTTCATAAATTTTAAAGATAATTTACTCAAATTTACTTACTCAAGTTTAATGTTGAAATTAACTTGATAATTTGGCACAACTTAGTTATTGCTAAAAAATAATACCTGATAACAATAGGATTGTAAATCAATTTTATTAAAAAATGATGCTTACAAACTATGTATTCATTACCCACCAGAATTTCATAATCATTTTCTAGGTTTCAAAATCTAATTTTTATCTAAATAAATTAGTTACTGCTGAAAAATAATAGCCTATAACATTAGGATTGTAAATCGATTTTATTAAAAATGATACTTTCAAACTATGTATTCATTACCAACCAGAATTTAATAATCATTTTCTAGGTTTCAAAATCTAGTTTTTATTTAAATAAATCTAGTTTTTATCTAAATAAATTAGTTACTGCTGAAAAATAATAGACAATAACATTAGGATTGTAAATCAATTTTATTAAAAAGGATACTTTCGAACTACGTATTCATTATCAACCAGAACTTCAGAATCATTTTCTAGGTTTCAAAATCTAGTTTTTATTCAAACAAATCTAGTTTTCATTTAAACAAATCTAGTTTTTATCTAAATAAATTAGTTATTGCTGAAAAATAATAGTCTATAATAATAGAATTTTAAATCAATTTTATTAAAAATGATACTTTCAAGCTATATGTTCATTACCCACCAGAGTATCCAACTCATTTTCTAGGTTTCAAAATCTAGTTATTTAAAATAATAATATTATTAATATATGTTGTTAAGTATGCATAGTAAACTATTTCAAAGCAATATGAATAAGAAATAGTAATTTTTTATTTCTTTAAATTTAGAGAATAACAAGCATAAAATAACATTTACGACAGGAAATATAATAATAAAAATATTTTACCATAGTTTGTAACTCAGCACCAGTAAACAATGAAAGTAGAGGAACCGGTATGACTTTTGACATTCCTTCACGTACAGCTGCTATTTGCTCATCAAATTCATGAATCCTAGTTAAAACAAAAAATAATTTTATAATTTGGTTGTACTAAGTTAATTACTCTCAGTATAAACATAAACTATTCTTCATATAGAAAAATATTAAGCAAATAAGTCTTATTATAAAGATAAATTATTCCTCATGTCTAAAAAAAAATACTAAGCTAATCGGTTTTATTATAAACATAAACATGTCGAAAAATACTAAGCTCATTAGTCTTATTATAAATATAAACTATTCCTCATGTCTAAAAAATATAGTTTTTAATTAAATGGGTTCTAAAAGAAACTAAGCTAACATAATATTTATAGATAATGCAATTATTTATGAGCATCATAAGAATAGTTATTTAAAATTAGTGTTTCGTTTCTCATGTCAAAATTTTAAATGTATAAGTTTCTTTTTCCTTAAAAAAAAAGCAGTATATATATACTTGAAAAACACAGATGTTATAATTAACATATTTGCCAGCTTGTAGAGACACTGTGAAACATTTTACAGATGAAGATATTAAAACATAAATGTTGCTACAAAAAAAAAATTTTTTTTTTCCCAATGACCTTACAAGATATGCATTCTTCTTGTAGTGTCTCTCTCTGGGTTCTTTTTTATACACTGTTTCATAATCCAACACAAAAAAAAAATGGTTTTTCTACGCAGAGAAGAATACTGTATAGCCGGCCAGGTGGCCGAGCGGTTAGCGTGCCTGACTGCGAAGCCAATGGCTGCGGGTCCGAATCCCGCTCTGGGCATGGCATGGATGTTTCTCTCTATGTGTTGTCACCTGTTGTGTGTGATGTGTGCATGTGGCCCACCCTATGAATGGGTATTTGTGGCAGTGTGGCGTGAGTAATGTTGCTCGCCTCCGTGACTTAGGTTCACAGGTGCCCACTGGGTAACGTTAAATGAGCAACACTTGCGGCATCTTCCAAGGTGAAGAAGGAAAAGTTCAGCACCTGCCGTTATGAAAAAAAAAATATATGGTGGTAGAATCTTCACCTACAATGGCTTGAGTAAGTGTTTGATTTCTCATGGAAGTTTGATAGCATTGCATTTTCTATGATCATGTCTTAGTGGTCCAAAATCCAATCTGATGTTCCTGGTGGTTTAACAGCTGGAAACGTACGTGCACATGGTTGGGAAGTTGGCGAGCACTGTATAAAAACCAAACTAATACTATATAATCTCTAATCTAAATTGTTCAGACATGAACCAGTATTGTCTTCAGTTTAGCACTAAAGATGAATCAGAGATCGCCACCAATAACCTATTAGAGTAGCCTTAATACTACAATGTAGAGTTCCAAGCATATCCTCATAAAATATCCTCAGTGGTAGACAGATCATAGGTTAGAGTCCCCTTGCCGTCAGGCTAACAGCAGAAGTTTTACCTCTGCATGTATGCAAATGCGAGTTAGTTCCATCTAAAAGTCCTCCACGAAAGCAAAATTTCTCCCAATACTTGATCCAGGAGTTCCCTTGTCTTCTGGAATGGGTTTAAAATTACAAGGCTATGGAGTTGAATATTGGTAGCCGTAAGAGCAGAATCGGGTCGGCTGTTCAATGGTGGTTATAAAATAAAATTGTGAGTCCAATATCCAGAATTGTCACGACTAAGGCAAATATTTAGGTTTTTCCGAATAATAGGTTTTTAAGGTAAACAGAGAACATTATTCAGTCAAAAGAAAAAGATAATTAATATACGTTTTTATGTAATAATAATTTTTTTTTCTTAATTAAATCACATTGTATTAGCTGAAAAATATTTAGTGCGTGCAAAGAAATGTCACTAATAAATTATGTGTAAAAGATGAAAAAGTAAGCCGACTTCGAGAATAAAGACAAATTTTTTCCTTTGATCGGAAGAATTAATAATGTTATAAAACAAGGAAGAGAACTGAGTAGATTTTTTAATGAAAACATTTCCAATTCAAACCAAAACAAAGCATATTTGCAGGCGTTTCTTCCAAATATTATCAACATTCAGTTTAATTGATTTTTATACATTATTCTTTTCACCGAAGTTGATTTTCTTTAATGAGGAAATATCAGGGCTCGAAAAAACTCAGAAATTTTACCCGTCCCCGGGGACGGCTCGTCCAACTATGTACCCGTCCTCCTTTGAAACTAACCCGTAGCTTCTAAATAAATAAAAATATAATTTTCTCTTATTTATTACAAACATTTATATAAATTGCACAATGAATTAGTAGTTACTAGGATTACAAATACTAGGATTACATTATACAGTAATAAAATAAATACTAGGTTACTAATAGTAGCCTAGTATTTCTGTTATGAAATAATGCATTTCTTTTATGAAATAATTTAAATGACGAAGGTCAAGTTATCTGGAATGTCAATTTATCCGAGGGTANTTGCCAAATTTTGGACGTTTTGTCTCAGAATGGCGCAGCTTTGGCAGAAACTGAGCTGAATGTCGCAAAATGGCGCAGTTATGCCGTTTTGTCTCAGTTTGTCGCAAATGGCGCAGGCGTAGCATCCCTGATAATGCTATAAAACAAAGAAGAGAATTGATTAGATTTTTTAATGAAAACATTTATAATTTAAACTAAAAAAAGACTACCTACAAGTGTTTTTAACATTATTAATATTAAACTTTATAAATATATTCATAGTTTATACTTTTTACTCAAATTTGTTTTCTTTTAACTGCTCTCGTCTTTTCAACAACTCTAAGCATGCTCATTAAAGCAGCATAAATGTTTAGTTATTCTAAGCACAGTAAGGAGAAATACGAAAGGATTTTTAGACATAAGCTTTTCGTACAGATTGTGAATGTAATAATAATAAATAATTGATAAAAATGGATTTTTTTGGCGGGGGAGTGGCAGAGATTTGTTTATTTTAATTGTTTAAAAAAGTTTGGTAAATAAACGTCCAGATATGGGACTAAGTTAAAAATCAAATAAAATGTGTTACTGTCAGAAGGTTGAAATTTAGAATGCAGCAATAATCTAGAACTGATTCAACATGAGGATAAATAATTACCTGTAACTAAGAGATAATTTAATGTATTCCACGTGATTTTCAGGAGTAACAAAGGAGTATTTGGAGCTTAGGAATATCTCTTCCCCACTGGCACTGTGAGTGTTGAATGGCAAATCAAACTTCCTCAGACTTGATGGATCCATGTAATGAACACTGAATAGTCCTAGAAATCCATAATTATATAATATAAAATAAGAAGAAAATAACTATAATACAATATATTTTAATAAAATAAAATTTACATCAGGGAACTACATTAATAGTGCTGGGTGTTATTGGAATTTTAATATCATCTAGAAATATTGATATTTTACCATTTATAACTTGAGTTTTCAAAATGAATTAATTTACATTATTTTTGAATCCTTCAATATTTACATACATGAATGTTGTCGCGACTGTATTTGATAATAATCAGTATAAATAACATTCAGAATATTATAGTATTCAAGTATAGTATTTAAGTTATAGTATTCAAGGTATGTTGTTGTAAATATGCAAAACAATTTTGGTAGAATTAATTCTGCCAAAAATGGTTTGCATGTTTTTCGTTTTTCTCAGAGATCGTAGATTCACATTTGTTCTCAGAGGGCAATTTCTATAGGAGTAGAATAAATACAGAAATTTATAAGGACATTGTAATAAAATTTATAAACTTAGACAGAATGAGATGGCAGGACACATTTGCCATTTAGATAAAACAAGCTCACACGAAATATTTTCAAACATAAACTAATTGGTAACAGAGCCTGAGAGAATCCAGAAATTCGATGGTTGGAATACAGATTTCAAAACAATTAATGAATTGAACTGGCAAAATCTGGTAACAAAGAAAACTGGGTGAAAAAGTATTCAGCTAAAGGTTAAGGTTCACCACAGGCTGTTGTGCCAATGACGACGATGAATAATAATCAGGATATCATTCTTATCATTAATACTCATAATGTCATTATAGCCGTTATGTATCGTTCTGCCTGTAAACTGTTTATCTTTAATGACAGCTTCATTATCATTATTGTGATTGTTAAAAAATATTGATTTTCCGGATATATAAAGCAAGCTCTTAATCGTTTAACTGTCAAGTTATTCTGATGATTTGGGTACATAAATTATCAATTTTTTTATTGCAAAAATCAAATGTTTAGTACAAAATAAAATATACTTAGTCATTAAAATATACTGCTACTCAGCATGGCAGTAGTAAAGTTCGCTTCTAATAGAGCATTATTTTTTAAAAATTAAAAATAATAATTAATTTAACTATTTTCTAATAGAATAAATCATTCTTATAAGGTTTCAAAAAACTGGATGCTATTTTGCACCAAAAAATGCTGTGCAACTTAGAACATAAATTTATATCCTTTGAAACCTTCAATAAAGTGCTGCCATCTATTGTTCTAAATTGCATTTAAGTGAACTTTTCCCGAGATAGATTCAGGTTTGGCAAAGAGATGAAGCCATAATAAACTTCTCCCAATATATATTCGGGTATAACAGTACGATGCACTAAAAAAAAAAAAAAAAATTACCCTGAGTAATACTCGGGTGTGACATTTTGGGACACCAGTGTTGTGCCTGAGATTATTTTGGACATGACAATTAAAAGGTTAATATCCACGTCTATAAAGCTCACCTGAAACATAATCTCTGTCTATTTCTGTTAAATCAGATGAAGTGAGTGACATCCCAGTCAGTTGCTTCCATACTGGTTCAGCCAAATTTAAACTTAAGGGACTTCCTGTTCTCATGGCAATGCCCATAAGCATGCCTAAAAGAATAAAGGTAAAAATTATGCCAACAGAAAAAAAAATGTTTTAGAGAAAATGAAATGCTATCTATAGTATTAAACAGTATTAAATAATTTAAAAATAAATTTAAAAAAAGCAATAAGCTTCAAAAATTCAAATACCTACGTAAATTTAGTCGGGAATTTTTCTTTAAGTATACAAATTTTTTATTGTCTAACTATATAAAATGATTTAATTTTCCTTGAGGTTGTTCTTCAAAATCTCTGTTGTCATTAAGGCATTTTAGGGGATAACATAATTTATATAAATGCTACGAGTTTTTAATGGCTATATATGTCAGTTAAGTTTTTCCCATCTGTCTTGTTATCAGTATTCTTTGATCTCTTAAAATTAGGAAAAATTAATCACTGATTTTATGCCTAGATGGAAACAATCATGCCAAACTGGGGATTTCTTTAAAAAAGGTTTAATCATTCTTTGTGTATTTAAAATATTTGTAAATTATTGCGAAACATTTGTAAAATATTTTTAAAATCCATCTATTCTACTCAAAACGAAAATATGTGTAGCTTAAAATTGAAGCTTTGCACAGAATTTAAGGCAGTTACAGCTTTCTTTGCCAAAAAAAGCTTTTAAAAACATCCTTAAAGTTTAAGAGATTCAAAAAATTGTATGTTTTCTCGTGGTGAATAATAACACAGGAAGAAACTGGCTTGAATTGTTAGGAAGTAAGAAGATTGAATGCAATATCAGGTACTTTTTAGTTGTCATTAATAAAATCTGCAAATTTGAAACAAAATTACAGGCACTCTCACAATTCCTTTTAACCCCTTAACGATCGGTTAATTTTCAAGAAAACGGTCCTAAAAGAGCCGATTTTTTTATACGCGTATTTGATTAGTGCTGACATCTAGCTTAAAATAAACGAACTACCTACAATTACTTTAAAAATATCTTGGTACTGTCATCTGGTGTGTAAAATGAGAAATAAAATTTTTCCGGTCAAAAGAAATGAATTAGTTTTACTCTTATTGGCACATTACTACTGAACACTCCAGCCCGGGAATATCACAGGAGCAAGAAATAGCGGGCGAAACCTCACCCCGTCATTTTCACGGGAGCGAGAAGGAAGGGGTTAAGACATACTGGACAGTAACAACATGATTAATTCCTATAAGACCAATTTTAAAATTCAAATAAGTGTAATCAAAGAAAGAAGAAAATTTCAAATAAAAAAAATTAAGGTTTACAGCGAAACTTTTTCTGTAAAATTAGGGAATTTCGCACACAATCCAATTTTTAATGATTTGGGTAACTCAAGATGTTTTCTTTGAAATTAAAAAAAATATTTTAAATAAATACATAGACAAATACATAAATTTTATAAGTGTATTGAATGTAGATAAGGTTTGATTTCTGAACAATCTATAATTCTAAAACAATATAGATTGTTCAGAAATCAAACTATGACAAGAAAACACATTTATATAAATTACAGTTCAATTAGTTACAATCATTACTATTTTAATATTAATAGAAGAAAAATGGGAACTACAAACCTAAAAACTTAAACATGTCAAGATGCAGTGCTGATTTTGCTGAAGGATTTAATAAGAAACAGTCTCTGTTAGTTCCAGAATCATCTCTACCATTAGGAGTCAATATTAACAATGGTAAAGAACCATTTTGTAATTCGTCACACATTTCAGCAATTGATTCACTATAGCCACCACCACAATCATCAACACTTTCACCTAAAAAGCATGTTACAGAATGAAACAATAAGTGTTGAAAATAAGAAGTATTTTGACTATAATAATTGAAGTAATAATAATTTCATACTTTTATTAAAATGAGATATTAAAAAATATATATATATATATATAAGAAACATGATTAAAATTCAAAAAGTGAAACGGCTTTGAAGTGTTTGACATGCTTAAATACTGATGTGCACAGCTATGCTGTATGGCTCCATATCTATTTGTTAAACTCACTCATAAGACAATAAAACTTCCGAATTCATTATCAGGACGAATTCGTCTTCCTGACAGATCTTTTTTAATGCAATTAACCTGCAATTATATCAATTGATAAGAAACCATCATGAAAAAAATCTCATATTTAGCCTGACTATTATGATTAAAATTTCATTTGCATTTTTTTTAAAACTCTTTTCATCTATTGGGACATTTCTTTGAGATCATTATTTTTTATCACTTTATAAAAGTGAATTAAATAATAAGTGAGAAAATTTTCGTTACACAAATCTTTGACAGTATCCATTTTGTGTAAATTTAAATGACAAAAATTAAAATTTTATATCGAAACAATCAACTAGTTCTTGAGAAAAGAAAATTTTACAACACAACTTTTTAAATTTCATTATTCAGAAATCATTTCACGGGTTTTGCTTAAATTTTGGACTTCGTCATTTAAAATTATGTAGTTAAAACTGATTAACAATTCGGATATACTGCAATTCAAATCTTTATGCTCATTCTTAAATAGGGTGAGTAGCCAAATTATTTAACAAAAAATAAACACCTTTTAGCACTTTTCAAGCACTCAAAAAATATTTTTAAGCACTTTAAAGAAAATATCATAATCAGGCAGGGTTGGAAAGTTTTTGACAATTTAATGTTTTATCTTGTTTTAACCATCATGTCAAAAAAAAAAACTTATGGCATTGTTTTTGACAATTGACAAAAATCATGAAATTTTGAATCAAGTAAAACAAATAGAGTTTTCATATTCTACGGACTGACAATACACCGAAATAGATTGGGGTTAAATTAAGTGAGAAAACGTTGAATAGAACAATGTGAACTGTGTCTTTTTGCATAATTCGTAGCGAAAATCAACATGGTAAAGGAATAATCTCATTTTGAAAAAGGGAAAATTAAGCACTTTTTAAAAACCTCTAAGGGCTTTTAAAAAACGAAAAAGCACTTTTCGATAACGCTACGCACCCTGTTAAAACAAATAACAATAAATAATCTTTAAAAATAATATTTTACATGAAATTATTTTTGCATAAGTGAGTTTTACAATTCTTTGCAAATTTTTTTAATTTGATTAAATAATTATATGTTGTAAGATACGCTCTCTTGATTTAACTATCTGGACCAGATTACTGCTATCCCCATATTTTGAAGTTCCAGAAGCGCAATCTGCCAAAAAAAAGTATATTTATTCAGAGAAAGTATGTTTTAGTGCCTGATTATGAATTTAAAATACCGGCTACACTAGCAAACATATTTAAAGTTATCTCTTCAAATCATTAGGATAGCNGAATTGCCACGAGGCGGCGCTCATATCATATGACACATTATTATTCAGTTGCCATTCAACTCTAGAACAGAGAACATCTCCTGTCACTCAATGTGATCTTGTAAATTTTATGTTATTAAGTTTCAAAATAAATGTTTATGTTTGTTACAGTCCGCTACTTAATAGCTCAATATATCACGAACACTAAACAAGTGCTATCCCCATATTTTGAAGTTCCAGAAGCACAATCTGCCAAAAAAAAGTACATTTATTCAGACAAAGTATGTTTTAGAGTCTGATTATGGAATTTAAAATACCGGCTACACTAGAAACCTTTTAAAGTTATCCCTTCAAATCATTAGGATAGCATGTCAAGCGATAATCTAATCATTAGATAAAAAGTTATTGAAAAGATCGAAAGTTATTCAGGTTCACAATATATATTTTATTTATTATTTTTTTAAAAAAAATTCTCATACCAACAAATTTCACTTTCCAAACTCGATGAGGAAGAAGTAAAGTTTCTTGACAAAAGATACTAATCTTGGATGTCATTTGGCCGAAAACCGATTTAGTACCATCAACCCCAGCGAAACCACCTTTTAATCTTGATTTCTTCACCTTAATAAAAAATGGATATTAATGTAAGATTTTTCTAAATACCATAAAGATAAACAATCAAAAAGTAATTTACTATATGTATAGAAACAAAATATGCAGAGAATTATTACACTTCTATAAGTGAACCTGTCATTAAAATGATGTATGTCTTTGGAATATGTAATCAAATTGATTAACAGCAAGCTTTTGTTAAAGAATGAATGCCATATTAACAAAATATAAAGTAATATCGTAAGTAACAAAATGCATAAACAAATACTTATATTTTAATTTTTCATGGAAGTTAATTGTTAAATAAAAATAATTAGAAACAATAATTATTCTTTTTTGTTACATGATTAAATATTGCCTTTGAATAGAAAAAAATTTATTCAATAATGTTACACTTTATGTGCCAATTTTAAATTATATTAAACAGATCTTTACTGAAAGACAAGATAAAGTTTTTTTTTTAAGCAGGAAAACAAAAGTTTTGTAATGTTGGAACTAATGCTCCCTGAGTTAACAGTGTTCAAAATATGAAATAATTGACATTTCATTTTAACGAAAAGTTTAACAAAAAATAAAATTGAAAATATTTATAATGTAAAGTGACAGAAAATAGAATTAAATAAATTTAACAGAAAAAATTTATACTTTTATTGAAATGAGTAAACTGATACAGAGCATAGTTTATATGCCATCAAGATTTTATAATCAATGAATACCCAACTTTATTACTGGTGTATAAGTTGACAGCTTCATTTTTGCAAAATTTTATGGGTTCGAAAAGTCAATTTCTACACAGTGATATTTAGTATAAGATATTTCTGTTCATCGTGTATAAACTAGAGATCATAAAAAATAAAAACATTGGTTGTTAAGAAAACTTTTAATAAATGTTGTCTGCAACAAGTAGACTTCAAAAGAGAAAATAATTACTTTCAAACATTAATTAAAAACAAAAACAACGATGTTCATACCTGCATCCGGTTTAGTTCAATTATAGGACCATGTTGTCTTTCTCTAACCATAGTAGCCTGAAGAACTTTACGAAATGCAGCTTCCTGTAAAATATAAACAAATTAGTATTTGAGATAAAACATAGTTTTATTATTTGCACAGTTTTATAAATAAAACATAGTTTTATTACTTGCACAGTTTTATAAATAAAACATAGTATTATTATTTGCACAGTTTTATAAATAAAACATAGTTTTATTATTTGCATAAAAATAAATCTAAGATCATTACATATTATGATCTGTTTACAAATTTTAAAAGAAAGTTTTATGAAACTGAAAATTTCACCAAAGAAATAAGCTAAAAATATTTATTACAATCGATTTCTAAATTTTTTGCAAACTAAAATGCATTTTTCATTAAGTAGTTAATAAAGTATGTTGAATTATATAAACATAGATAAAAAGTCAAAATTTTTTTAATTCTAAATCAAACTTATTATTAAAGCTGAACCTGCAAAAGCATAGAAATGTTGATTTTAAAAAAAACTTTTTTTTTACAATTTCGAAAATAAACTACTGTAGATCTTATATTCTATTAATGAAGATGTTACAATATTGCGTGGAGTTTCTAGTTAGGACTTATGTGCAACTTAAGTCCCAAATAACTACACTAAACACAATTTTTGAACTTAATGAATATTAACTTCAGTTAATTTATACAGTGTAACCTCCAGGAAAGAACACCTCTATGTAACGACCACCCCTATTTACGACAACTTTCGGAAGGCATGGATTTTTTTCCATAAACTTTGTGTTGAAGAAAACATTTAGAAGAGACCATTAAAACCTCTCCCAGCGACAGGGCAAACTTCTGCACCAAATGCAGAAAAGGTCAAATAAGGAAACATGAAAAAATATCAAAACAATAAATTTAACAAATCAAATAAGTAGATTAAAATGTATTCAAATATTTATGTGAGGCTCTTATTTAGAGAGCTCTTTTTGGCGATACAATCTCATGTTGTAGTTAGAACACACTGAAGATGATGCTACCAATGATTTACTTTTAGAGTTGGAAAGTTGAATTAGAAAAAAAAAGGATTTTAGAAAAAACAAGCATCTGAAACAAACAAATCTCTTATTTTTTTAAAGCTAACCAATTTTTATGATTTAAAGCTAAATGCAAACTTAAACAAAAAGGTAATTGTTTATTCATTTAAAATAACTTTATCATTCATAATTGGTAACACATAATTATATCAATTGAATTGAGATCATTTTTTAAAGATACTAAATTGTATTCATAAATCTGCCTTCTCATAACGCCAACAGAAGTGGCATTTCTGCACCAAAAAAGTTACACTGTCTAAAAGTAATATCTTCTGCAAAAAATCGTGTACCATCAATAACAATTTTGAAGTAAATGGAGGTAACCTCTTAGAACGACCAACCTTCATCAACAAACATTTTACTGTGGAACTGAGAGTGGTTGCTCTCGAGAGGTTTTACCGTATTAACTAACTTTTACCAAAAAATTCATGAAATATGAAAACCAAAAAATGTGATAGCTTTTGATAATTTGATTTATTGTAAAATTTTTGTGAACAAAACGAAATTTAATAGTTCTTAAAATGGACTCAAAATAAATTAAGCAGTTGTATACAAGTGAGCTTCTTTCCAGAAACTTTACATATTACTAACCAAATTAGAATATAACTCAATTAGATTGAATGTAGGCAAAAGAGATGGAAGACATCACACTGTGCAAAATAGTATATATACAGTAAAATTGTAACAAAAAATTAATACTAATAATTCAGTTTTATTAACCAAATTTTTTTTTTTTGATTTTTTGAAAAAAAGAGGAAATGAGTAAAATAAAAAGAAATAGGTTGCTTGGAGTCATGCATTAAGTCTTTACCATGGGCTGAAGCTATTTGTTGTAAGAGTTGGTTCTGATAGATAAGGGGCAACTTTTCTTTTAATTTGCTAAAAATCTTTAGAATTACTTTAGCACTCAGAATTTAAAATTCCACAGTTGCACATTATTTCAAATGCTTGTTAAAAATGTACAAACTCTTTTGTTATCAGCCATACAACTATAATTTTTGGTTATCCAATAGGGCTATTCGTTTTCTAAATTAAATGTGCTCTTTTTGAGAAACACTGTCCTCATCATTTTATGTTTGTTAACAAATATGTCAAACGGCCATTCTTACTTTTAATTTCTTAAGAATTATAAAATGAATTTCAAAAATTAAATTTCTGAGCTATAAGCACATTTACGAAGAGATTTACGTAATTTTACTGAGTTAGATTTCTGTCAGAATGATTGTGCTTGTCACTGTACACCTAACTAATAACTAAAACAGAGCAGGGATCTTTTTATGATTATACTTTTTCGTGCAACATTCATGGATGGCAATTTTTAAATTCATGTTGCATCCAATAAAAATGATTAGTTTATGAACATTTTAAATTGTTCCCATGTGATAAAAAAACCTTTTATTATAATTTTGAGTTTTCTGCCCATATCCTACAAAATCAAAGAAGGTCACTCGCACACTACCGTAACAATACAAACATAACTCTAAACAATAAAATAAAACAATTAAAAAATAATTGAAACAGTGAAAAAGAACTAACCTTTCCTGAAGAAACTAAAAGTCCCCTGAAACTATCATTTTGTAGATCAAACATTGTCACTGATGCACAGAAAAGTTCCGAGAAGTGGTACAACAAGCAATATCGATTTCGTAGCACAGATATTGGAATATCTTTCAAATGATCATATTCCATAGGAACGGAAGAGGGCAATCGTCCAGTATGACTAATTTTACAAGTGGACCAGGCAACACTGTGTGCTGACCCACAGGCAACTTTATTAATTTTTTTACCTGGAATGGATTAAAATAAATTAATAAGTAAATTAAAGATTGCTTCAACAAAACATTATCATTTTAAAGGAAATAAACTGGTGTTAGCTAAACATATAATCAATACAGGGTTGCCACTCAAATCTGGAAAAAAAATTGCCTGTGTTTTCCCTGTACATGTCATACACAATATATTAAGAGGAACATAGCAATTACTGTACTCTTGTGTGAGCTATATTGGGCTAACTATATTTATTAGTTTTAGTTGCTGGAAAAACAGCTGAACATACTTTAATAAAGCTATAGTAAATGAAATAGTTTAGTAAAGCTGAAATATCATGATTAAATATCGCATAGATTACGCTTTGAGTGGTCCCCATTTTTTAAAAGGCAAAAATAAGAAACAAAATTCTCTGTATTTTCCCGGTTTGTAAAGAAAAAAAAATCAAAATTTCCTGCATTTTAGGTGATTTTTAACTTCCCTGTATTTGCCATGTTTTCCCTGTGGAGTGGCAACCCTGCAATATTTAATATGAATTTCTCGAACAAAAAAAACAAAACAAAAAAACTCAGAATTAAACTCTAATGAAAATCAATTTTTTATTAGTATTGAAAAATTTGTGATATTGAAGTTTGCCTAAATAAGAGTATAGACTAGAAATTTAAACATATTTTTAAGGGACAACACTGTGTGCTCTCTGTCCTGTTGTTTTAATTAGCTAGTAAATCATGATAAATTGCACAAAAAAATTAAAGAGCATTATTTTAATTTTAAAATAATATGCATTTCAATTAAAGGTAGTGTGCAAAAAAAAAAAACAAATGACCCTGAATAACTTTGATCTAATGAGCGGATCGTCACGTTCAAGGACTCAATCTTAATGGTTTGAGGGGGTGACCTCAAATATGTTAATTAAGTAGCGCAGGCGATAATTCAAGTAATGAAATCAAACACAAAAACATACTTTCTTTGAAGAAACATAACTTTTTAATGATGAATTTGGATTTCTGACCTCTTGGAAGTATGGTTCTTATAGTTTCATCAGGAGTGCGATCCAAAGTTTGGACCCCTTAATGCTAATTTTACTTATTGCATATTTCGACATAGCTTGAGAACTTTTTAAGTGGATCGAAAAAGTTTTGCACACAATTATAAAATTCGTTTATCCAAAGGTAATTCCATGTAAAAAATATCTTATAAAAAATATTTACTATTATTTTATTTAATAATTAACTATTTCTTCCATCATTTCAAAGACTGTAATTTTATGTGGCAAAATACAAACTTTTTGCGAAATTGATCGAATAGTTCCTGATAAATCGAATTTTAAATCTAAGCCTTTTTTTAAAGTTCGATTTCTCATGAGCTATTCGTTCAGTTTCATTCAAATTTTGTATTTTACCACATAAAATTACATTCTTTAGAATGATGTAAAAAATTGTATACCTTACAATTCAAAAAGTTTTCGACTATTATTAAATAAAATAATAAATAACTATTATAAGTTATTTTTTGCACCGATATTCTTTGGATAAACAAATTTTCAATTGTGTGCAAACATTTTTCATTTCTCTTAAAAAGTTCTCAAGCTATGGCAAAAAATAAGATTAACATTTAGGGGTTCAAACTTTGGATCACTCTCCTGATCAAAATATGAGAACCATATTTCTCAGATTGTACCCCTATATTTTGGGGATCCAAAATCTGAATCCTTCATAAAAAAGGAATGTTAATTCTCAGAATGTATGTTTTTGTGTCTGATTCGTAACTTAAAGTATTGTCTGCACTAATTAATTAGCATTTTTGAGGTCACTCCCTCAAACCATTGAAATTGAGTTCTCAAACCTGAAAATTCAATCCTTAAATCAAAAGTTATTCAAGGTGGCCCGATTATTTTTTTACGCACTGTACATTGAATAAGTATAAGAAACTTAAGAGGAAAATTGCACTCAGACCTGATAAAGCTTGCACCAATCGTGGTCTTTGAATGGCATTGGTAGAACCATCACCAAGCTGGCCTTCATCATTATCACCCCAAGTATAAACTTCTCCTAAATTAAAAATAAAGTTAGCAAGATAAATGAATATAAAATTATCATTTTCCAGCTATTTATTTACAAGAAGCTTCTTTTTAAGCAGAAAAACACTATATTTAAGACCTATACATATTTTACAAACTATACCGTCTCTTGTTAGTGAAGCCCCCCTTTTTCTTGTATTTTAATTTTTTATCTTCATGTCATATTTTTTAAAAATTAATTACTTCTAAATCTTTTAAAAACTTAAAACAGTACAAAATGAAATTTTTTTTTGATAAACTAGTGGTATACAGTTAAAAATTAAAAACTAGATAAAAAATTTATAATAAAAGAATCAAAATTAATATTTTACCTTTAAAATAGTATAAAATTAAAAAATAAAGTATAATAATCTAGTGGTATACAAATACAGCTTAAAAATTATGAGAACTCAGAAAATAATCTAAAATAATATTTCACCTGAATCAGTGGCAACAACGCAATGCAAAGATCCCACAGCTATAGCAATCACTTTTTTATTATGAAGGGATGATACTTTTCGAGGTCTGCGTACATGGTCATCGGTTCCATGCCCTAAACGATGATAATCTCCTTTGCCCCTATTAAAAAAATTCATAATATAATAGAGCAAAAACTTTTTTTTTCATATAAAAGAATAACGCAATCATTTTGTGAAAGGATTGCTGATATTTTAAAATAAAATGTGCCATAATATTCCCTACCAATCATCATTCATATTAGAAAAAAACATTCTGTTTTGTATAAATTGCAATCTATGATAAGTATAATATATGATAAGTACAATATATGATAAGTACAATATATGATAAGTATAATATATGATAAGTATTTACAATACATGATAAATGAATCTTTTAACACCCAAATAATTATTCTAAGAAAACTAAATACATTTAAAAGAAAATATAAACATCAAATTACTTCAGGAACAATTAAATTTCAGAAAAAATTTAGAATAGACAATGGTTTTTAAATTACTTAGTAATTATTAAAATCAATAAAATTGCAACAGTCAGCTGTTTAAATCTATTTGCAAAACACGTGTAAATGTCTCACTTGATAAATAAATTAACTTAATTAATTAATTAACTTGATAAATTACTTAAATTAAGTTACTTAATAAATTACTTAATAAATTAACTTAATTCATAATTAATTAATAAATACTTCTGAGATATATTATATACTATTAAAAGGTGAAATTTTTTGCTATTTAGTAGAACTTATTTTCATAACAAAATTTGTTTTGAATAAATACGATTATATATTAACTACTCTGAAATTAAAATGAAAAATAGAAAAAAATTGTTAATCTATATGGCAAGTAAAGCTTTCATGCATATGCTGTTTTTACTTGGGAATTAATGCACTAATGTATTGATATCTCTAACTATAAAAGAATGCGTTAAAGTGAACTCTAACTATAGTGTGTTAGAGTAATGAAAGTTGTCATTTAAGAGAGACATAGTCATCAAAACTGCTTATTTGCAAAATAGTGCCTGCAAAACACATTATTAGGTACAGTTTCTATTAAATTATGCAAATACAGTGGAACCTCGATTTTTCGTCGCACTAGCGTTAAAAAACGTACGAAGCGGGATAACGTAAAATCAGGGTAAAAAAGAACCAAGAATATGTTTCAAAAATTGATACTTACAAGATGAATTACAAGAAAAAATGCGTAATCTTCACATTTTTTTTAGATACAATTTCAACAAGTTTACATCTGCTATTGCTTTAGAGTTTTTATGCTTTCTAACTCTTGATCAGTTATGGGTGGGTTCTTGCTCATCAGTATTGGAGGGAGCAGACATTAAATCAGATACTGAAGGAATCGAAAAATGATGGAATTTGTTTTGCAATTGATATACACGTCATGTTCTTCGGAAGACCAGATTTTATTTCGAAGGGCCAATATTTCTGTGGGAAACCAAAAGCCTGTGAAGCTTCGTTAAATTTAATGTAATACATTTAAGTTGACACTGTCTAATGCTGTTGAAATAAAATTCAGAGTTTTCAGGACCTTCATTTTTGCATTAAAAGCATCTTGCAATCACTGGTATCAAGAAAAAGATTACCCAACTAGTTGTTTAATGCTACATTCTTTAAATGGCCGAATAATTCCAAGATTTTCAAAGGTTGAAGTCTGCTATAAAAATCCCCCCACCTCCACAAATTTTACAATTTAAGCCCTCCTACTTCATTAAACCAACCACCCTATGCTTTTCCCATCCCAAGATTCTTATTTTGACTCAAGGGTGAAACCCCCTCTTACAGACAAAAGGGACAATAAGGTATAATAGAAAGAATCTCAGAAAAGCTACAAACAGTCTCGTTTTTTTTTTTTTTTTTTTTAAAAAAAAAAAAAAAAAAAAANTTTTTTTTTTTTTTAAGAAAAAAGAAGAAAGAAAAAGAAAACATAGAAAAAGTTCATGCTTTGTAGAGAAAAAATTATTTTGATCAATAAGAAAATTGTATAAAACAGGATATTCTTAAAAATGGCAACATAAAATCCAGGATAATTTAACATTATCTGTATAGACAATTTTAACAGACCAGCAAAAAACCATGTACGAAGTGGGATAACGTTCCAAGCGGACAATCTAAAACCGGGATTCCATTGTATTGCTAAAATAAAGAAAGAGCTGTATTACCAATATTAATAAAAACATAAGGCTTTAATAAATTTACCATGTATAAACACTTCCTGATTTTGTTAGGGCAACAGAAAATTGGGATCCACATTCAACTTTAATGACTCCCATGCCTGTTAGAGTATCGATTTTGACAGGAATTTTACAGCCATCACTGCCACCTCTTCCGAGTTTACCGTAATCACCATCTCCCCAAGACCAGACACAGTCATTGTCTGTTATACACAATGTTTGAGCGTCGCCAGAACCGCAAGCCACATCGACAACATCATAATTCGCAAGAAGCTCAACCTGGAAACATTTATTTTTTACTTATAAAATACATTTTACTAAGAAACATACTAAAACGATAATGGTGTGTACACTATTCTTTTCATTGAAAATTATTGCTATTACTCATTGTTTCATTGAAATTATTGCTATTGAAAATTAATTAAATTAAATATAACTGTTTAAACTCAGAATTAAAAAAAATCCATTGAATCAAAAGAGTACTTCACAAAATTTTCAGAACAACATTGTGAATAATATATAATATTCAACTTAAATTATATCCAATCTAGTAAAAGCACTGGTTTTTGCAGAAATGTTAAAGTCCCATTCACAAATTTTATGAAAGCAAAGTTAAGCTAAAGAGAAGAAATGCTTCAGGTAATTAGGATTACCTTGTAAAGCAGTACATTGGTAACTTCATTCAGAATAAAATACAAACCTGAATACCAAGTACCCAAAATTTTAATTATTTTTTAAAATTTTTGATAGCCATTCTAATAACTATGCGCAACTATATTTTGCAAAAGAAAAACAACTATTATCTCTTATTTGCTAATGTGGTGATACTTCTTAAAAGTTTCATTGCTGAAGAGTTTAGTCAGTTATTTGGTGAGTGCAATTGATAAACATTTTTATTGAATAAAGCTAAAACAATATGAAAATAAATTATAATAATGTCTCATAAAGAGATATACAATTGTTTTAGTACTGTGGTGGAATCAACTGAACTGAATACTTATTACAAATGAAGTAAATTTAATAGAATATGTATATTTAATTCCTGCAAAAATGTTTCTCTTTGCCATTTTTCTCTTTCTTTATTTCTCAAGAGAATTTATTTAGTTTTAATTAAATGTTAAGTTTTAAATCTGAAATGGAATCTAAATGTGAGAACAAAAGGATTGAATTTCGTGTCTTCTCTCATGCTCGAAATTCAAATTGGCTTTAATTGGTGCAACCCATAGCTTTGGATTATTTTTCCAAAGAGATGGAGGTTCCACTCAAGATATTTGTAACACTGGTGTTGTTTCTGAACTATTATCTTTCTGCAATGGCATGCTTCCTTAAAGTACAATGATTAATTTTTAAGAGTTTAATACAGATCCTTCCAAATAGAAAAAATATTGATTGAATAGTAATTGTTCTTTTCAAGACTGGCCACAAGACATTAAAGAAATCACACTTAATCCTGATTAAAGCATAAGTAAAGTAATCAACCAGAACTTAGTACAAAAAATAAAAGAAGTCATATTTACTCTTTTCGGCTTCAGTTCATCTCCACTATCTCCATGGCCCAATCTCCCATAACGACCTTTACCCCAAGTGAAAAGATCACCATTTGCTGTAATGCAAGCACTGTGAGCACCACCACATGCTATTTCAATCACTTTTTCACCACTGAGGCTCTCGATTTTTTTGGGTCTATCACAAGAACTGTAAAGATTAAAGATATGCTTCTTGAAATTCTATGAAAACACCAAGTAGTGAAGAAGTAACAGTTTTTTTATTTCATTAACATGAATGCATAAAGAAAAAAAGGATACAGAACATGCATGTTAACCTTTTTCTTATAACCAACACAACAAATGGACCAGAATGACATGTTTTAGCAAGCAAACCCTGTGTGAAAAGGGTTAAAATGCCAATTTTTCAAAAAAACGATGTTTTGGAGAAATAAATAGAATTTATAGTAGTAAAGTAGTATATTTTTCAAAAAAATTGCTTTAATGAAGGGAGAAAGGGTATGAAAGTTAGGAATGTAATGAAAATTAACCACCACTAATTTTTACTTTTCCATACTAGTTTCATAGAAATAAATTTAGTTATAAATCATTTTCTATTAAACTTGAATGAATCTTAATATGTGAATTTTTCTTTAAAAAATGTCATGTAGATATATAGAAACTGTATATTGTGTAACAAAATTTTACAACAGCTTCCATGATTAAATGATTAAAACTGATGCCTCACGATGACTGTTTTATAGTAAAAAAAAAGATTTTTAAGCCATTTTTCTCCTAGACTAATAATTTTTTAAATAAAACATATGAATACTGATTTTATTATATAGATAAAATATGCCTAGCCCCCATTTTTACAGAGATGCCAACTGCTCCAGATACGCCAAAATAATTTTTAAAAAAACGGTAAATAACTGCAAAGTAAATTTTGCAATTATTAGAGTATTTTTGCTTGCTTTTTAAAAGGTATAGCATGACATAAGTACTATAAAGTGGTGGATTATATAAGCTTACGAATTATTTAGAAATAGTTGAGGATAAAAATCTACTAAGTTGAATTTATTAAACCAAGAATCCCAATTGATAAACTACCACTTTAAAATATATATTTGCTGTCCGAAACAAGTTGGCATATCTGTTTTTACATTTTATTGATATGGTAACTAAAAGTGTTAGCATGCATATTCTAATTATGCACATTATAATTCTTAATGCAGTTTATTATGAATAGATCACTGAAGATAAGAGGTTTTAATAGGGGGTAACTATATGAAGACAATGTATAATATAATATTTTGAAAAATACATAAACCATTAAAAATAAAATTAAACATAGACAGACAAACATAAAATTTATAAATAAAGAAACATTTTCCAAACTAATCATATTTGATACCAAGTTTTTTGCGTAGTAAAGCAGAAAATATTCCGGACACAAATAAATACAAAATATACCTTCTATTTCCATGTCCAAGCTTTCCATCATCACCTTCACCCCAGGAGTACACATCACCTAAACCTGTAAGTGCCAGGCAATGTTTTCCACCTGAATTAACAGCAACTTTCTTTATGGCGATGCCCTGAATACTTTCCAATAAAGTGGGTGATGACACAGAATCTGATCCTCCAATACCCAATCGCCCCCCAGCTCCATAGCCAGTAGCATAAACCTTCAATAAAAGAAATTCAATAAGTGATGATTTTCTTATAAAAAGAATGACCATAAAAACAGCAAGCGAACAAACAATTAAACAATGCAAGTTTTTCTTTCCATCAAATGCACATTTAACAAACATCTACACAAAATGGATACACTCAAGTCTTACAAAAAATTAAAATGTGAATCAATTTGTGTTCAAAGTACTGATTANCATCTAATCTATTAATGCAATTCAAGAAAAAAAAATCAGTTCATTAATAAAATAATAATTTTGAAACAAAGTTTGCGTAACTATTAATAGTCAGAATAAAAGAATTTTGTCCCCATCTCTTTCTCTAAAACTTTTTTTTAAACTTAATGATTTAATGGCTAAGTGGTTTACATCTAATCTATTAATGCAATTCAAGAAAAATAATCAGTTCATTAATAAAATAATAATTTTTAATTTTTTTGGTTTACATCTAATCTATTAATGCAATTCAAGAAAAAANCCCCGGGACAGCCTAGTTCATTAATAAAATAATAATTTTTAAACAAAGTTTGAGTAACTATTAATAGTCAGAATAAAAGAATTTTGCCCCATCTCTTTCTCTGAAACTTTTTTTTAAACTTAATGATTTAATAACATTTTAAAAAAATGCAATTGGAAAACTATGTTTGTAATAATGAACTGAATCATCTGGAGTGGTTTATTTAAAACATCATTATCTACGGTTTGTTTTTAAACTTCATTTCAGTAAAATAGAAAAATCTCATGTTAGATGCTAACACTCAAACTTTCAAACTTTTACTACACATTAACATAAGTCTTTTACTTATAACAGGGGTTTCCAACTTCCATGAGGCCAGGGCCACAATGAAAAACAACAGGCAAATTGCGGGCCGCAGCGCTGTCAAAATTTTACAGAAGACTCTTTTATGTTTGAAGGAACATTAAATATTACTATCAGATTTTCTCAAGTTGTTCATAACAAAAGTATTGAATTACAAATATTAATAAATATTTTCTTCAATAGATATTTTCCAGGATGCAAAACCTGAGAAATAAATTTTTTTGTACCGTTGGTTATGTTAAATTTCACAGAAATGGAGAAATTAGACTTTTTTAACGAAAGAAAAGTATTTTAAACCATATAAATTTTTTACGAAAATTGTTAGCAAAAAAATGACAATATATTTTAGTTCGCGGGCCACAAAAAAAGGCTTCATGGGCCGGATGCGGCCCGTGGCCTGCCAGTTGGTAACCACTGATTTATAATAAACATCTAATAAATAAAAGAGAATATAAGTGATTATAATCATTAAAATAGTAAAGAATTCATTATTTTCGAATTATTTGGTTTAATCATACAAACGTACTCCATACAGTTTAAAAAGAAAAATTAAATATTTAATAAAAAATAATATATATATATAAGACATTTATTTCAAGTGAAACATTCTAATAAATAAAAAATTAACTAACAAAATATAATCCCATAAACAATCTGAAAAAGTATTTGCTAACAGAATACCTAAATAAAGTACCACAATAGTATACTTTTATTTTGTTTTTGTTTTATTATACTTTCCTTTAAATCATAAATTTTTTTTTAAAAAATTAAATTAAAAAATAAAAACTTTTGTCTTTAAAACTAAATCATAAAAGAACCTTACTTTCATATCTGTTGTAACAATAAACAAAGTTTGTTCACCACCAACTATATGGAGAGGTCTTAAGTTAGTGATCGATTCACAGGGAGTAGGTAGTTTGACTTTAGCACCTTCTACCCCACCGAGCTGACCACGGTGGTTATGACCCCAACCATAAATGGTGCCACTTCCACCCCAAGATACTGCCCAATCTTCAGGTCTCCTGAAATAGCGAATAACACTTTAAGATTTCAAATATTTAAATCAAACTTTTTATAACATAAAACATAATATTTAGGAAGCTTCATGGTTTATAAATTGAAATAAATTTTTGTGTGACTTAATTAAGCTTATTTTAGAAAAAAAAACTATTATTTTCTACTTTTTGACTCAAAATAAAAGATACTTGGAAAAGAAATCACCTCACTTCAAACTTTCGAATAAATAAATAAAAAAATTAAAATTAAATAAATAAAATAACTAAAAATAAAAAAACAAATAATAAATAACTAAATAAAATAAATTGTAGTAAAATTATACAAACCACAAAAATAGCATCAAAAAAGTTATTTAACCCACTGGCGGTTATGCACATAAAAAATCTCATTTTAACCTGCAGTGTTCTCTGCATAGCAAAACCGGTTTTTCCATGTTAATGGATAGGAGAATTGTGTATAGGGGAGAAACATTCTCTCAATTTTGCCCATTTCCTTAACCGCCAGTGGGTTAAAAATCATTAAGTAATTTAGGAATTCATTTTGAAGATACATTTGAAGAAAAAAAAAGAGAATATTACGTTATATTAATTCTAAGTTTAATGTGAGTTTTATTTTCAAAAGCTGGTATTTTCATTACCCATATTTTAGTACCAAATTTAAATAGAAGTAAAACAAACTTAAAATCTTTGTAAAAAAATATTTTTTTCACAACAATATACATCTTATTAAAATTTACCAGAATAACAGAATTTTACAAAGCAGCACAGTATTAGATTTAAATTCTACAAGATTTTTATTTGAACAAATTACCACTCACTGTAGTTTCTTTGTAATAAACTTAACGTACAATACAATTAAAAAACAATTTGGTCACTTTACCCAAAATATAATTCTCTGACTTTTTTTTTAAATTATCAAAATATACAATTTATATTTTGCCATTAGATTAGCTAACAAAATGCAAAGAAAATAAAAAATACCTGTTCACCCAAAGAACTAGCTGTTCATCATGCTGCTGTTTAAATTGAGCATGATCTTCATGCTCATAAGAAACACTTTCTTCCTCATCAGCCATTTCCCAAATTTTCTTCCGAACCTCTTCGCAAAATGGTTGAGGCAGAGCGGCACGTTCAGTTAATGAGGCGCAGACACGAGAGGCGATGCAGTACCTTCTGAACCACAACCATTTATGACTGTCATTGCATAAAGGGAAACTATCTAGCTTCAAATCACAGGCCAAAGCAACCAAAACCTAAAATTAACACAATATGTTCAAATTTAAGAAACATACAAAATATAAGCTTGCAATTTCGATTCAAATTATTACCAATTTATTAAATAATAATTATCCCCCGGGACAGCCTGGTTGGTAAGGCGCTGGACTCACATTCGTGAGAATGGGAGTTCGTATCCAGCCAGTCAAAGACTACCTGTTTAGTAAATGGTGACTGGTACACGCTAAATCTGTCAATACATAAAGTCCTCCATGTTCCTTTAACAAATTATACCTCTCTTGGAGATTGATTGTTCTGTGGTTCATGTCGAAATTAAAATCTGTGGGTGAATGAATGGGTCTGCCCAATAAAGGGGTGTGATGTATGGGTGCGGCAGAATTCAAATTCTTGGCCATAGATGGCACTGTTGAGAAAACAAGAACAATTGCACCCCTAGTGCCTTAATGGCCAACAACAATAATTATGACGAAAAATATTATTTACCTTGAAATAATTAACATGCATTAGATATTTTCCAGCTCTTAATTTGGTATCTTCCTTTACTAAGTCATATTATACACTATAATTAAAGTATTACTATTATTTACCTTAAAATAATCACTATGCATTAGATGTTTTCCAGCTCTTAATTCAGCCTCTTCATATTCATACTGACGAAGTAATATCATTGGTAAATCCTTCACTAATTCCATAAGAGAAGGTCCAAAGGGCAACTGCAAAAAATATGATTTGTTCTCAAATTTAAAGGTCAATCATTTATTACAAAATAAAGCTTTGGAATCTATTCATTAATGAAGAACAAGTGGATGAAGGGTTTATGTGACATTTCAATGAATGCAAATTTGTATAAATTCCCTATAAAAAAATGAAGTTTATGAAGCCAAGTGCACTTGAATCCTTCTTCTACTTTAAAAACATTCTTAAACTGCCACTCAGTACCTTCATCCACTGAAAATTTCAAATTAAGAAACACAGCAAAATAAATTAATATCGTATAGTTAAGTAAAACTAAATTAATAGTTTTACCTGTGAAATCTCACTTAGTTTATAAATGTCACTTAAACCCTTTTCACACTCAGCTCTTCAAATTAAGGCTCCTATACTATCAGAGCTGACCTATCAAGCAATATTGGAGCAAACAAGTTCGCAAGTTAACGTTATGTTAGTATTGTGCTTATGTTAGCTTTTAGCTCCAAAAATAGATGATAAGTCGGCCTGTCTAATTCAGGGGCTCTACTTCAAATATATTGCAATCTTTACATCATAGTTTGTCATGATGGCTCAGTAGTTAAGGCACTGAACTGTCATTGTGACAGGGTTTCGATCCCCAGTGGTGGCTTAAAGTACATCTAGCTTCAGATAGATGCAATGCAATGACACTATGTGGCCTGCATGCAATGACACTATCATGCCAAGTTGTGGGGTCTGGTTCAGGGTTACGTTTTTTTTTTTTTTTTTTTTTTTTTTTTTTTTTNTTTTTTTTTTTTTTTTTTTTAACAAAGGATTACATTTTTTAACATTAACTTAATATGATTTTTAATTATTTAAATACAATAGCATAATTATATTTCCTTTTTTTTTAGAATTTTAAAGTCACGTTTAGAAGCTATGTGTTACAAAAATTACATTGCTGGCATTAGTTCCCTCAAATTCAAATAGAACATACACATTAAAGTAATAATAACAATTGGGAAACTTCCTTATATGACACATATTATGAAAAAGATTTTTATTAAAAAACAAAATTTACCAAATTTTTCGGTTATAATTGACTCTTTCCTTTTTTTAATCTAAGTCTTATTTATTGTATAAATAAAGAATTTTGCTTTACTACCGATCTAATCACAAAGTGTTTTAAATGTGACAAATATTGAAACTCAAAAGGAAAAAGTACTTTTATTTTATGAAATGAAAATACATACATTGAAAAAAAAAAGCAATACTTTACATACCTGTACTTCAAAAGATGAGTTCGCGTAAGTTTCAACAATAAACATGTCTGAGTTTTCTACATTACTCACTGAACAAATTAATTGGCGAAGTTTATGTAGAGCCCACATTCTTTGACAAGGATCTAAAATATAAATTATGATGAAATATTTAAAAAATAATCCAAGAAAATAGAATAATAATATATATAGTTGAAATAAAAGTAAAAAATAAACACCATTACTTCTAGAGACATTTATTCTTAAGCACAAAGATCTAAATAAATGAATAAGTGACCGTAGTTCATTGAAAAATATTTTAGAGTAAATGACAGTTATATTTGAAATTTTCTGTAATCACTTTCAAGTCTATATAATTTAAAATATCATATAATTATAAATTTCAATGAAGAAAAGATTTAAATTTATAATATATCATGCTATTTTTTATGTTTTTTTCTATCAGCATAAGAAAAGTAGCAAATAATTATTGAATATTATTAATTATTAATAACTACTTGACACTTACTAATTGTCATCGTACTACATAATTCTCTTTTTTAAAATTACAGTTAAGTATTATTACCTACAGAGTTTCTAGAGAATTTTTTTTAATTTGTATGATGTAAATTTTTTTAATCGTACTTAACATTCTGATAGAATAAAAGTATGATTCTACCAATAATTTAATCAAAATTTTTTTCTAACTTTAGAGAATAATAAATTTTGTTAAGAATAAAACATTGTATACAAAATAATAAATTGTCATATTTGTAGTTCATTTCAAAATAATCTAAATGCATAAGAATGATAAAGAAATTTTATAGTTGTTTGCAACTCTATAGAGCAAAGAATAATTATAAAAATTTCGAACAAAAATGTCCTATTTTATTACTGTTTGTAATATTTATTGAAACTAAAAATAAAACAGACAATTATTTGAAAACTATTCATTACAACCAAAATTAATGCAAGGAGCACTTCTATTTTCACACAACTTTAAGTTCAATAAAGAAATTATGTTTTTGATCTACAACAAATAGAATACACAAAGCAATAAAATATGCACAAATGAAATTTATGCAGATATTTGAATGCTATAAACAAGTATGATCATTATCATTAATGTAAAGAAATAGAAATTTTTGTGTGTCCTAAGATTTCTGTTTGACGCCCGGTGGTTGAGTGGTAGCGCTTTGCGCTCCCGTGCCACAGGTCCTGGGTTCGGTCCTCGGGCCGGGCAAGGTTGACTCAGCCTTTCATCCCTTCGGTGGGTCGTTAAATGAGTACCAAGCATGCTTGGGAACTAAACACAGGGGGTTTCACGTTCGGCTGACCACCTAACCGGTTTAGTTTAGCTTAAGGTTGTTCTTTAAAGGCTTTGTTGTGGTATAATACTAACTACACTTTTTAGTAAAAAATAAGCCATTTTTATAACTGTTGCTAGTATGAAAGAGTTACCTGACAGTCAAATTAAATTTCATCTATCTTTAGCCAATATTTTATATTATAATTCAGAAAATGGAAAGGAATGTCAATATGAAAAGCCACAGTTTCGAGAAAATAAAAAAATCATTTGTGATATAATTTTTTTAATACTTGAAAAAATACCTAACCCCATTATTTAGCATAAAAAAAGCAAAAATTAAGATTCATTGAATTATTTTTTTTTTGTTGAAAGATCACACCAAGTCAGCAATTTTTCTGAAATTTTAATATTCTTTTAAATATATAAGCGTTTTGTCCACTTATTTTTCTTTAAATCAATTTCAATATTTTTTTTAGCAATTAGAATAAATAATTTAAAATTAAAGAGTTGGTTTAAGCTTATTTTTCTTTACAAATAAGCTTTTAAAAATGCTCTTAATCAATTTAACAAGTACTTAATACAGTGCCTTCTACTTCGTTGATGACAAACATTTGACCCTGTAATTATTATAAACACTAGTCTAAATGAAAGAAATTTCAAAGGTAAAAACATTACTCAGTGAGCCCAGTTGTGCACAAGAAGCCAGAGAAGATGCAAGCCGAGATAACACTTTCCCATCAGAAGATAAAAAGATTTGTTTCTCCAGAAGAGATTGTACTAATTCAATGGATGGGCTTGACATGATAGATCTATCGGATATGTCTTCGTTTAAACACTGAGGAAGAACTGGATATACAGTAAACCGGAATCCCCAGCCATTTACAGATCCGTCAGTATCAAATTTCCAGCGTAACTCATTTCCAGGAATGTGTAAATTACTACACCAATCAGCCCAATCTCTACCTAAACAATGAAAAATAAAATTAATTGCTTATAATTCATGTAAATAAAATTAATCAGCACAAAGTGAAACATGTCCAAACCAATCAGGGAAACACTTATTCAAATCTAACCTGATCTAATAGCAATAAGTTTAGACTTTTCATCAAATATTTTCAAGGCATCATGTCGACGCTCGGTAGAACATTGTCGATCAAATTCTACTCTCAAATACACAGCATCTAGAATAAAAGATTCAAATAAATATTAATTTTGCTTATCATTCAATTGTGTACAATAAACTTTTAAATAAAAAGCAAACAATATGAAAGTTAATAAAAAATTACAAGACCAAAATTTGATTAAATTTAACTTGTGGTTATTAGTTGATACCTCGTTAAAATTTTAAAAATGACTTAACATGAGAAAGTAGTTTAAATATCATCTAATATTAGTGAAATATTCAACAAAGATAATTGATTTGCTTTGAACTCAGGGTTTCGCAAAATAATCAATATACATGAAATGTCTAAGGAATAAATAGACATTTTTATCAGCAAATTTTCCTTTTATACAGCCCAAAGTTCCATATCCTGAAGTACGTTTTCAGGAAAGGGCGATATTTTGGACATTCTAATTTAATCTCCTTTCCATGTTCAAAATAATAATTATAAATAAATAGAAATATAATACAACTAAATAATAAAATGAAATAAATAAAATAGAAATACAAAATAAATAAATTAGAAATACAAAATAAATAAATAGAAATACAAAATTAATAAATAGAAATATACAATGAAATAAATAAAATTATAAAAGAAAGAAACAAAGTAATAAATAAATAAAAAATAATAAATAAGTAAAAATTGTAAATTTTCTTTAAACCATGAATATTAATGACACTGAATATCAATAATAATAAAAAATCACAGCAGATAGACAATATTTCCGGATGAAAGAGTTTTTTTTTAATTGTAAAATGTAGATGTGGTAGTTAACTAACTCGAGCATTTTTATTTTGGCAATCGTTAATACTGATTGCTTTCATTGATGTAAAAACAATTCACAAAAAGAAAGTCTTACCAGGAATTTTAACAGTGCCATGTAACATAGCATTGTCAGGGTATGGATGTGGAGATTCTTGAACAACAGGATTGGGCATCTTGCGTCTCGTTGAAAGATCTTCGGTAACATCTTCAAGTTCGGTAACACAAGCTTCTAAAATCATTTCTCGAATCTAAAGATTAAAAGTTTGTTTGCTAAAATGCACACACAAATTATTAGAATTTTTCAATAAATACACTTTATAGCAAAAATAAATTAACGGATTACAAAACTACATATAAAAAACCGTTTAGATGATACAGCATGTATAAAACATCGGAAATGGTACATCCAGAGATTATACTGTTACTAATAGAAAATTATATGAAATACTTACAGGACTACAGGTTTTGCTCAGATTCCCCAGCACAGTTGAAAGAACATCCTTTGCATTTTCATTCATCCTTCCAGCTACGGCCAACTTCAACAAATCTATCAAGACGCGAACCTCATCTAGTGAAAGAATGTTTGCAAAATCTTCTGTATCTATTTCAGGGGCAACCATTAGAGGACAGACCTATTTAAACAGAATAAAAGTTAAAATTAAGTTGTAAGACATAAGACAGGAAGTTTAGAAGAGTGGAAGAAATGGTACAAGCAAAAATAAAATTTAAGATAAAAAATATCTTTAAGAAAGACAAGGAATACATACTAGGATTTAATTATTAACATTGTAACACATAAGAATATTAATCAATACTAATCTTTGTTTATCTTACTAGGAGACTCTGCCCCTTATTGGCATCAGTTACAAATATATATTGATTGCTTTGCAAAAATTTTTGCATCTTGACAAAAATCAGATTGTTATATCAAATTTAAAAGACCTTTCTTTATTGTATTAACACAAATTTAGTTTCAGATTTTACTGCAATAAAAAACCTTACAAACCTAATCATATTGCTTGGTTACTTTAGCAATTTCATCTGCAAAACTTATTTTTTTTAAATTTTTATTTAAATTTTGTTTATTTTTAAAACTGGTTTGTCAAAGTGATTATTTAACAATAGTGCAGAAAGTTAACTCCTTCTACTTCTTTACAATTTCATAAATGTTAATTGTAAAAGAGAAACTAAATTTGTTTACAATAAAATGCTGCATAGATATATGCACGTATCAACTATAAATAATACTAAGAAGGGATACAAAATGAATGGTACAGACAAACATTGTTAAATAAGGAAAGACATAATAATTAATTTACCCTTAAATGTTCAGATAATTTTTATTAATATTTTCATAATTATAGACAAAGATATCTGAATCTTTTATTTTTATTAATGGTCATATTGTATGATGTTTTGATACAGTAAGAATACACTAGAAACAATCAGATATAATTAAACAACATTCTAAAAAATTATCTCTTAGTTTGTTGGCTTAAAAACATAGTTTATGAAAGTAATTTTTTTAAATTTTATTTCTTGTTTTTTTCGATATTAAATTTAGAATGTTTCTATGAGAGAAAACTATATGATTTTATTTTAATAAAAAAATAAAGTTTAAAAATTGAAGGGAAACAGAGTTTTATGGTTGACAAGCAACTATTTTCTCCAGAGACCATTCTGTACAAATAAGAGCCAGAAAATTTCTATACCTTCTATAGTTATTAATTTATTAGCACTTATCTGGAAGACACAAGACATTACATTAATGCAAAATACATAAATAATATAAGAATTTATTTTTGAATAAGAAATGTAGTCATTGTTATTTCATTCAAAGACATGTATTAGCTTGTTAGCAGATGAAAATACCCACTTAAGTAAAATGCACAGCTAATTCTTTTGTTAAGATGCTTTTTTTTACTACTAAAAAAATTAAGGTAGCACACATACTTTATTTACGCCACACTAGAGCTGCACAATTATGGCTATTGGCGATGGTCTAGGGAACATCACCGAGATGATCCGAAGACATACCATCGCAATTTTGATCCTCTGCTGAGGGGATGGCTCCCCCGCTTCGGTAGCCTGACGACCTGCATGCGAAATGAGCATTTCACGGTAGAAGAGTTCAATGAGAACTGATACCGAAAATCCTCGGTCCCTACACAGGCTGATCAAAGTGGTCACCCACCCGCTTACTGACGGCAGCAAGTGATTGAATTCGGTGTTTTATTGGGACTATCAGTCCACTGTGGGACGTAAAAAACTGACAAGTAATTGGTAAGTGGCAATACATCATTACATGTCATACATATCTTTCCATGAAGATACAGACTACCAATCAATTTTATTTAGAAATAATAAAAACTTACAGGTTCATAATTTGATATTTTGCTTGCAACACTTCTCAAAATAGATGTTGGTGAAGCTTTCAATGAAGAACCTCCAGAGCTTGACATAGAGTTAAATGAAAACCTAGACAAGCGTTCTTCATCATCGCTTGGAGTCTGAAATAGAAGATCCAATAAGCCATAACATCTCTAACTCTCATATTCATATACAACTTCAAATATAAGGTGATAACAGTTTTATGGGCTTTGGCTGAGTTTGAATTTATATGTTTAATGATACTTTTCATAGGCTTAAAAAAAGAGCCATGATATAAATTTGCAACACTATCTGCATTAAAAATGATTTTCCTCAAAAAAAAAATTAAATTTCATTATTTAAGAAAACAAATAAGTGAGCTCACTTTAGAACCTTTGATGAGAGAGTTGTTTTCATTAGCCAGTACATGACTTACTCTGCTTATGTCAGAAATATCTGAAAAGAGTGATTCTATATCCTGTTTAAAAGATACTGAATTCTCTTTATTCAGTGACAATGCAAGGCCTGCATGAGGTGTAAATGCAGACACCACTGCTTCCCTGCAAAATTAACAAACAAATAAAATAAAAATTACATGAACCATCTTTTAAAAAATTTTTTGAAGTAACAAAATGGGTGATTTTAAAATTTAAGGCATTTTTGGAATTGAAATTGTTTAAAATTAAAAATGATCATGCTGGTGATTAATATTCTAGTATATGTCCTGCACTGGAATGAACTTGCACAAACTGAATTAAAATTTAGATCTGTGGAGATATTATAAGTCATCTTTAACTAAAAAATACATTAACAGGTAACAGCTTGGACAATTTTGATATTTTTTCAATACCACACGTTAATTTTTTAGGCTTAAAAAATTTTAGCTTAAATATGGTTCACAGACTTACTTTGCAAATGATAAGCAGTTACTAAAGCTTCACTAACTTTAAAAACTAATTAACTTTAAAAAGTTAGTAACAGACCGAACAACATTAAAAAAAAAAACTTTTGAAAATCCAAAAAATTTTAAAAGTAATCTTTCATCACAAGATTTCTTTAAAAATGATTATTCCTACATACTAAATCACAAAAGCAATATTAAAAATGGTAATATCATCTACCGATTAATTTTAAAAGTTATTATATTTGGTAACAGATCTGACAGTAACAGACTGGACACTACTTTTGGATAACAAAAAACAACAAATATCTACCAGAAAATTTAAAAAAAAAAAATCAAAGATATCTGCTAGATATATTTAAAATTAATTTTTCAAAATATTTAAATGTTTTAAAGTTATTTTACATATTAAAAATTGGTAAACTGTAACAAAGAAATTTGATGTTGTTATTTTGGACAGTCTATTTTCTAGAATTGATCTCTATTAAAAATTTATAGAAAGTAAAGCGTTTGACAAATTCATATAATATTACACATAATAAATTTTTGGCAATCACAAACATCTAAGCCAATTCTATCTAAGCTAAGCCATATTCACCAAACTATTAAATTCCATAATAAAAAATATTCTTTTCTATCAGACATCAAAAATGCCATAAAAAAATCATAAATCAAAAATTTCTCAAATTTGAAATCCACCCATAAAACTAATATTGCAAATCATGCTTTATTTATTAGTTACAATTAATAACAACAGTTCAAGATTTTTCCTTCGTGCATTGTTTTACAAAATTTTGACAAACTGCATTATTTCAGATTTTTTTTTAAAAAAAAAATCACTTAAATTTTCAGTTATACATTAAATATTAGTTTATAACATCGTATTTTTATGAACTTGGTTTTACAGTGACAAAATAAGTAACTTTTTTAATGAAAAGCTAACTCTAATTAAAACTTTTAGAAACTCTATGAATGCTTCTCTTTCAAATAAATAAATAAAAAATATGTCATTACATGCACAGCTTTTACTTTTAAAAAGTTTTTATATTATTAAGATTACAGCAATAATTTGCATAGTAAAACAATGGTAATAGATTTTTTATATATATTTATATATTGCTTTTACAAGATCCAGTTTTAATAAAATTATTTTGGAATTTTAAACGAAATTTGAATTTTTAGAATAAAATTTTATTCATACGATAGTTTTCATGAATTGGTATGGAATTTTTAATAGTAAAATAAGTAACTTTTATAGACAAAAAACTACTTCTATTGATAAATTTAAGAGGCACTCGTGAATAGATCATAAGTCAAAGCTGTATAAAGAAGTTTAATGTTTTTTTATTAATCAGTTAACATATAATATTCAATGTATAATTGATATTCAGAATGAATAAATTGAGATAATTTTAGAAGATGTTTACCTTGCAATATGAATCTGTAACGCATGCAAGAGATTTTGGAGGCCTTGTTGTTTTTCCACATCAGACAAAGAAGATAAAATAATTCTCGACAAAGAAGGTCGAGTCGATTCTTTTTGATTTGATAGAAACGCTTTACATTTGATAGGTGATTCTTTCGTTTCTTGAATTTCAGAATCATTTTTCTTAACTGGAAAAATATATATAAATACTAAAAATTAGAAAAAAATAATGAAAAAATTTTTTTTATAAAGAATATCAGGTTAACTATGGACCTGGGCACTGCTCTTGAAAGAAAAATTGCATTTTCGACACTATTTTTTTGTGTGCATATAACAATATAGCATTAGTGTTATACATATTGAGCAAAAAGCAGTTATTGAGAGAGATATATGCTAAGATAGCTTTTTCAGATTAAATAGAATGTGGTTTGTTGGGACTTAAATAACAACATTATAAACATTCAACATAAATGTTACATACAAGTATCTTAAAAGTTAAAAGAAATATGCGTGTAATGTATCTACCACTACAAAAATATAATTTCAATTCACTAGTATATAAGACATGTTAACTCATTTCTATGGTGGTTGATAGATGAAGGATGACATTGTCGATAGCCACTCTCCCACAATGTGATACTATTACATAAAAAAGTGCTAAATATAAAAGTATCTTCCCAATTAAATACTCAAATTTTTCTGGGCAAGTACATCAAAAAATATTTCTTAAAATAATTTTACCTGATGACACAGCTCCTAAAGGATCGTGAGACACAGGGAAAAATACAAGTTCATTGGCTTTCGGATTTTTCATTTCATATGTTATCCAGGCAACACTATGTGAAGAGCCACAGGCTACTTTGGTGATCTTCACATTGTCCAATCCCTGGACCAGTGAGGGTTTGCGGTTGACTGTGGTTGTCCCATTACCTTGCTGACCATGATCATTGTCTCCCCAAGCATATACCTGAAAGAGCATGAATAAGAAATACCTTTCAGGTATTTTCTAAAATCAATACATCATCCTGTTTTATATTTTTTAAATGTATCTTTGTTTTCGGATAATTGATAATTAAGATGAAAAAAAAATTTAATATAGTCAAACCCCGCTATAGTGAACACTGTTTATAGTGAACTCCCGGATAGTGTGAACGAAATGTTCGGTCCCGTGCCTTGCTATACACGTACGTTATTTTTTGTGGATATAGTGAACTAAAAAAGTGAGGAAGTTGGATATAATGAACTTTTTTCTGTCTTCGACTGAATTTTTTCTTCATTTTTTAAAAATAATTTTGAAATGTCTACTTCAAAATAAATATTCATACTGATTTTTAAGACCATCCATAAGAGTGAAATGTAGCGATAAGCATTTTCCCTTGTTTTCTTCTTTTATCTCCCTTTTCCATCCCTAAGCAAAGGCGAACCCAGCCAGATGTATGGACAAATTTTTCCCTGCATCAGCTAAAGATCACTAACTTTTTTTGTACGCAAAACGAAGAGTAATAAAAATAAAAGCAAGTTATCAAATTTTTTGTTACTATGCATTATTTTTCAGTCATTTTTGTATTTAATTTTGCTGGTTATTTATTTAAATAATGTATAATAAAAAGGAGTACGGAACTATTAGTTAAAATTGTTTGCGGAACGGATATAGTGAACCAAAATTTCGGTCCTTTGAAGGTTCACTGTATTAACAACACATTAATTCTCGCCAGTTTAAACAAAAATAAACGTTAATCTTAAAAAAAATATTAAACAGGAAAACAAGCAGTAAACTATTGAACCGAAGTTACATACAATAGCATGGATTTCTACCTTCAAATTTGTGAGGAAATCTTAAAGTCATTAAACATTATTTTATAAAACTAGGTTTTTATTTTCTAGTCTTAAAAATTATTCGTACAATGAGAATCCATGAGACAAAGTTGTTGTAACAGGGGGAGTAGCCAAATTATTCAACAAAAAATAAGCATTTTTAAGCACTTTTCAAGCACCCAAAAGATATTTTTAAGCACCTTAAAAAAATATCATAATTGTGCAGGGTTGGAAACTTTTTGACAATTGGCTGTTTTATCTTGTTTCAAACATCATGTCAAAAAAAGAGAAATTTTAGCATTGTTTTTGACAATTGTTAAAAATCATGACGTTTTAAATCATATAAAACAAATGGCGTTTTCATACGCTACAATAAGCTGAAATAGATTGGGGTAGAATGAATTGAGAAAACATTGAATAGAAAAATGTGAACTGTGTCTTTTTGCATAATTCTCAGCTAAAATCAACGCAGTAAAGGAAAAATCTCATTTTGAAAAAGGAAAAATTAAGCACTTTAAAAAACACCCAATGAAAAAAGCACCTTTAAGGGCTTTTAAAAAACGAACATCGAAAATAAGCACCTTTAAGCATTTCTTAAAAATGCTACGCATCCTGTGTAATGTTATAATTAATGAAACATACTTGTCCGGTATCTGTAACAGCCAAGCAATGAAGAGCACCAACAGCAACGTGTACAATTTTTTTCCCCTTCAAGGGTTCCATCACCTGAGGTTTCCTAACATGATTTTCATCACCATGCCCCAATCTAAAATAGTCACCTTTACCCCTATGAATATATAATTATGAGAGAATAGATAAATATTCGTTACCTTATTTATAATAAAAAATAAACATAAAATATTTTGATTTTGAAGTTTTTATGTTCTAAATTGCAAAATCTAAAGTAAAGTTTGTACAGCAAAAATTCTTGCATTTACGCAAGAATACATATTTATTTACTGATAGTATAAAAAAATTACACTAAAAGGTAGACACATAATGATTTACATTTCATAAAATATGCCATGTCGATACAAACTGTTCTAAATATAACTTACATGTATGCAGTAAAAGTACATTATAACCACAATTCAAAATAGTAGACGGAATTGCTGTTACAAACAGCTTGTCTCTATAAGCTAATACCGATATTTAAAGTTGAAATAGTTATATAAAAAGGACTTGAGTGTTTATAGCATGCTAAAGGCCTGTTTATGCGGTCCAAGTTCTTGAATCCGAAAAATTGGAGGAATTTCTCTGTCCAAGAAATTGGATTATTTGTCGACACTATCCTAGTTATTGAATACAAGAAACAAATGAAATAAAATAAAAATATGACCACCGAAGCCGACGTCTTCAGGGGGTACTGGCCTCGGTAGCCATTAAAAACAAAACCATTTCTATTTGAGGGAGAAGCAAAAGCTTAAAATATCTCCCTCAGTACCCCGATGGTTTTGTATAGAGGTCCAGGAAAAACAAGATACATTCAAAATAATTAATAATACTTACAAAAGTTTAAAATAACTAAATAAATTCATAATAACATAAATAAACCGTAACAGATCAATTTATTTGGACTAAAATATATGAAAACAGACAACAAAATGACTTAATCTGATGCTTGTTTGTTGGCATCATAAGACCTAAGACGCTGATTGGTGAAGGGAGGAAAAACCTGGATGGAAAGTAGAACATGCTCTACTATCGTCCAAGGACTTGAACCAAGTACTTGGATGATCGTTTACACAAGCAAAACAAGCAAAACAAGTTTCCATGAATATCAATCAATCTTTGTCCAAGAACTTGGATCGTCTAAACAGGACTTCAGTGATATATGCAAAACGTTAAGCAAAATCATGTGTCACTTAAAGATATAAGACAAAAGGAAATGAGAAACCAACCATGTCCATATTTGACCAGCACTTGTGAGAGCCAATGAGAACTGAGCACCGCACTCAATTTGGACAACACCAAGACCGTTTAAGGACTCAATATTCATGGGTTCGAGGCAACCTTCACTTCCACCTCGACCCAGCTTCCCAAAATCTCCATCTCCCCAAGAGTAAACCATGTCATCATCGGTCAAAGCAAGAGTCTGAGCATCTCTACTTCCACAAGACACTTGCTTCACTCTTTTATCAGCTAATTTAGCAACCTAAAAAATATAATGAACAGGTAAGTAACAAACATCAGAGAGGTTTAATTCAAAAGAACAATTGCATTTTTAAGGATAAGTTGATTCAGTGGGTCAACTGGACTAATGTACATAAAGAAAGTACACATAATGTACATAACACATAATGTACATGTACACATAATGTGTGAAAGGAAAGTTCTCACTCATGTTGATGTAAAATGAGCTATTGGGACTTAGAACCACAAGCCTTGCAGGGAAAACAACTGCAAGGAGCATAAAAATAGCTGTAATCAAAATTCTAGGTGCTTCTTTGACAGAGCTTACTAGTAAAAGAACACAAATTAGGCAAATTAAAGGGTGAAGTGTTAGCAACTTTAACTGAAGAAAGAAAAATTAGTATAATTCCATAAAAGTTTGCATCAGTTTTGAAACTGAATGTATAACAATAGATAAATCTGAAAACTCCAAACTTTAGACTAATTATATTCATAATAATGTAGATACAAATAAAGTACATTACAAAGCAGAGATATGTAGGATTTAAAAATTAGAGCACGGAAAGACTAAAAACAGTTTAAATTTCAGTCAAAAACTTGCAGTTTTTATGATTAGTTGATGAATAGATGAATATGAATAGATTGATGTGCTTTAGAATATGAATAACATTCCAACTAAACTTCATGCAGTAAATAGAGGACATAGTTTGCAACATGATTACTATTTTTAGAAAAATATTTGCTCTTAAAGAGCTTTGTAGATAGTTTAACTCACTAAAAATCAAAAATATAAAATAAATACCAGCCAAAAAATTATTATGTTTAACAAACTATATCTACATCTAATGTAATCCAAATATATCACCTGTTTTGGTGTAGTTTGTGTAACGACATCACCATGTCCTAATCTTCCATAATCTCCAAGACCCCAAGTAAAAAGTTCACCAGAAGAGCTTATTGCTGCACTGTGAGCACTGCCACAGGCCACATCACGTATGCGTTTTGAGCTTAAACTCAAAATCATGTGTGGTCGCTTATGATTTCTGAATATAAGAAATAAGTTTTAAATACACATTAACATAGAAAGAGTAGTTTAAATTTATGTTAAATAAAAAATTATTTATTTACTTTCAGTAAGATTTAATCTAAAGAATTCAAACAATGATATTCAAACTTAAAGTATTGAAGGTATTGTTTTCCAATAATAATGTGGAGAAAAGGTATTAATTTTTTTTTGTGAATATAGTTTATAACTACTTCATGCAACTGCAAAAGGGTACCTGCAATTCGTATCGTTTATAGGTCATTTTTTATCTCTCCTTCGGCAGGGTACATGTAATCGATATATTCTCCCTACCAATGAAAACATTCTTAGGCATTTTCAAAACTATGGGTAAAAGTAAAATTTTAAACTGTAAATTTTTAATTAGCATTTGCTTACATACTGTTGATCTTATCATTGATATTTGTATCTGTAATCACATTAGATATTACTTTAAATCTTTAAATATTTTAAAGTATTCACAAGATTATTTTTATTAAAAATAAATATTTTAAACAATTTAGGATATAATAATGATAAGTTTTAATTTTGAGTTTACATTTTTTAAAAGTTATAAGCTTTTATGATTATGAATCATAAATATTTAGAAAATGATAAAAGTATTTTTTAACATTCATCATACATACAATAGTTTGTGATTCCTGATCTTTTTACAATTTTAAAATATTTGTGCATAAAAAAAATCTAACCAGATTAGAAACTGTAGATATTAAATAAATGCTCTCTAACTAGGGAATTTGCTTAATATCTGGAATGACACAAAATTATACGACACAAATTGCAATTACATAGTAAAAAATCATAATTAATCAAATTATGTCAATTTATTTTTAGGAATATTAAATAACAAACATTAGGTAAAGGCGATTATAACTCTCCTTAGTTTTGCACTTACACTTCGAAATTACTTTTTTATGCTAATAAGCAATTCAAAACATTTGCATCTCTCAGTTATCACATTATTTATCTCTCAGTTATCACATTATTCAAATAGCATATTATAAACATAAAATTGCAGTGAGCTTGTATAAAAACATAAAGCCAAGTTCTTAACTTTTGGTCCCTATGATTTCTCTCTTGCAGGATGTAAACAGGTGCCATTAAACAAAAAGTACCTGCTTTGTGATTGGATACCAGATAGTTCGATCAAATTTTGTTTCACTTCAATAGGGGTTTTAGCTTACGAATTTATCATGACTTAAAATTTATTTCTAAAAAATGATTTATAATCCAAAAAGTGTCATGTGATACAGCGAAGAAAAATCAAAACATATTGACACTAAGAAAATAAAAGGCATATTTCATTCTGAGTTCAATAGAAGTAACATAACACTTAGCATTAATAATAATGCCACAAATATTACATTATAAAAAAGATTTAATCAATTTTAAAGAAGCAGGTAGGAAATGCCAATCAATGAATATCTGAGAGTCTGATGCTGCAGCGGACAACACAGTCCTCTAGCGACTCTCTGTAAGGTTACATCAAAAAGGTAAATAGAAGAAAACCCAACACAAACAAAGCTTAATTTGCCGAATATAGTCAATATAGTCAGTGAATTCGAACATTTTAATGATGACGACCTGTGGAATGTTTAAAGTTTCTGCATTTCTATCAAAAATATTAATGCCCATTATTCACCTAATTCAAAGCATTACATTCACATTTGACTGAATAATAAATAGGTTTCTGCCTATACTACAATGTGGAAAAAAAGCTTAAAGTAGAAATTTTTATTGGGGCATCGATAATTAAAGAAAAACAGTATTAATAAAATAAAGTATAATTGGTTTCTTTTATTATTACGCAGTTATTTACTTTAATGACTTAGTTTCGTAAATTATCTATACCTATATACTCGTACATAGGCATAGAAATATTAACGTTATTAAAAAAATTATTTGTGTAAAAAAACAGAACTTACACAGTATTTCCAAGTCCTAGCTTTCCATCATCTCCTTCTCCCCAAGAAAATACTTTTCCATCAACAGTTAAAGCAAGAGCATGTCGTCCACCTATATTAATAACAATTTTCAGCAAAAAGTTAAATATATGCAATTTTTTTCCTCCCAAACCACAGTTCACTATTTTTAAAGGGACCGCCTGAAACTTAATTATTGTTTATTCTTATTGTTATAAGTTTTACTTTATTATTTTCATAAATAGGAAGCTTTTTTTTAATAAATAATACTAATTGAATGCATAAACAAAGAAAATAACAAAAAGTAATAATTTTTTAAAAAAAAAGTTTTACAAAGTAGTTTTTCAGTAGCAAAAGGTCCATCTTCATAAAGCAAAATGGATGCGTAACTTCAGCAATACCAAGAAATGTTTGAATTCTTAAACTTTGATCTGATATTAAGTCATGTGACCTAAGTGACAAAAAGTTGTCAGAAAAATCAATATTAGAAGAAAAAAAATTAACATCTTTCTTAAATCATCATTAAAAAAAATTACAATCACATTTGTTACTACAAATAAATATTGTTCAACAGAAGAAAATTTAAACTTTTAAAATGCAATTTTTTATTCAGTGCCTAAATTTTTACGGAAACACTTACTGTTAAAATAATACAGCTGATTTATGTTCTCTTTGACTCTGCTGACATTATATCAATGCATACCATATCTAACTACGCAAATTTCACATTCACATATGTAATAAGATTATACAAGATGTCTCAATAATGTTCAGATAAACTTTCAGCTGAAATAGGATACAAAATAAAGATTGAGAATTACATAGTGACTGAAGGTCATTGTACCGATGGTATCCCTCTCCTTGATATCTTTCTGTTGGAAGATGCATTGTACCGATGGTATCCCTCCCCTTGATATCTTTCTGTTGGAAGCTTGCATTGCACTGATAGTATTCCTTCCCCTGATATCTTTCTGTTGGAAGCTTGCATTGTACCGATGGTATCCCTCCTCTTGATATCTTTCTGTTGGAAGCTATTCAAGCTATCATAGGAATGTGGATTTCACAATTGATCTTGTCGCAAGACTTACTTAGTCGCTGCTACACTCTAAAAAATTCCTGGTATATAACTAACTGTGCTCAGCAATCAATGCTCCATCAGTGTTAGCAGTGTCTAATGATGTAACCTTTAGGCATCTGTTATAACATTACAAACTGTATTCACCTGAACTCCCAATGTCCAATAACAATTTTGAATTAATCATTCATTCTTTTGAGTTCTTTTAGATCCTCTGTCTCTCCTATCATTTTTTTAAAACATTTTGTGTCATAAGTTGCAATTCCATTTTCAATCCTTACGATGAATCTAGTTATTCAAAACAGTTTGTGGCACCATTTTTGAGACATCCTGCACATGAGGGTTATAAAAAGAATCCAATAATAACTGAATTTTTCCTTCAGTTTAAATATTAAGCAGCCACCATATTATATATATATTAAGCAGCCACAGTTCAAATACAAAGTCTACGCTTAACAGGTAATTGCAAATAGAAATTCAATTTTTCAACTAAACTTTTTTAAGTTTTGGTAAATTTTGAAAAAATCTCATGCAAATAGATACAAAATAAAAATTTCACAATACCTGAATGAACTGCAACTTTTCGAACTATGTGACATTGCAGTCCCGTGATCAACTTGGGAGATGGAACAGTGACAAAACTACCGACACCAAGTCGACCATTTGTCCCCTCTCCACAGGCGTACACTTTTCCATCTTGGGAAACTAAGCAAAAATGTATGTTTTAAATCACATGAATATATATATATACTTTTTAAATTTAGTGAAAAATTTTTAAACTACAAAAAAATATTTAAAAAACATCAAGGTTAAATTTGGAAGAAAATTGCAAAGAAACATAATACCAAACAAAATTTAGGTCATATATATTACTCGTCACTCGCATTCTGCAATTTATTTTTTAGTTCATTGATTTCTATGATTGATATCATGTGTCTCTGATGTTTAAAATATTCTTAAGATTTAAATTAAAAGCTAATTTTTAAGATGCATTTAAAGTATACAAAAGAAAAAAATTAAACTATTTGAACTTTACATATTTTTTTCTCTCAAAATGCAATCATGTTAAGCCTAAAAATAAAAATTCAATACTAGAGCATACTGCAATAATTATATTAACATGTTTTAGGTGAAATCAATAATTTTATGTACCTATAAACAAACTTTTAGATCCTCCGGATATTGCCAAAGGCTTTAAGGAAGATAGAGTTTCAGAAAAAACAGGAAGTTTTATCTAGAGAAAAAAGAATAAGAATGTCACAATAAAGGAGTATTTTTTTTAAATACTAAGTACTTTTACATTTTTTTATTATTATTAAAAGATCAAGCAGAGGATATACATTTAAGTGTGCATCAGAAGACAGATAAGAAAAATTTGTAAGTACAAAATGATACATAAAAAACACAGAATAATACATAATTTCCCCTTAAATAACAATGAATTTAAAGATTCGTTATACTTAGTATCTCACTCAATAATCATTAAGCTGAAGATTAGATAAGATAATTATAATAATAAGATAATAATAAGATAATTATAATAATATATAGGATAAGATTATAATTGCATAGCTAAAATTGATGCCCAAAAGTTAAAAATAACTAAAACTAGCATTTCCCCATACTCTAATGTCATAAATCAAAAACAATGTGGAATTCTATTTTGATATCAAACTATGTTTTAAAACTAATCTTAGTGGCCCCACAGCCCAAGAAAGACTAATGCCTACAGTATTCCTCCCAGTTTTCTTGGCTGGGAGTTCAGCCAATTGCACTATTTAGTTCTCAAGCATGCTTAGTACTCATTTTATCAATCCACTGAAGAGATGAAAGGCTGAGTCAACCTTGCTCATTCCAAGGATAGAACCCAGAACCTGTGGAGCACAAGCATGAAGTGCTATCGCTCAGCTATGTTTAAAATATGTTTTACTAAATAAAAAATGTATTTCTGATTACAGTAAAAAATTAACTTTCAGTCTAATAACCTCCACAACTGTACTTTTAGTTCTCTTCAATAGTTGCTTCATAGTATTAAAATGTTCCATACTAAAATATACCGGTCGGAGAGAGATATTTCAAATTTATAAGTTTTAATCTTGTGAATGATGGTCTAATCAGTGAATAATCAATGAAATAAAATAATTGGCAATCGATATGGGCTTTAGGTGGCGTAGAGCATAACTCTTTACCTATGGCAACACTTCGCATGTTTTCACCATCAGCGTGTGGAGAGTTATAGAACAAGAAAGTACCACAGTTTATGTCTTTATTTTCAAATAGATTAAAAACTTTTAAGTTAAGAAACTATATGAAACTGAAAACTACATTGAACATAGCTCTAAAAGAAGGCGTTGTGGAAAATAATTTTTTTTTTTAACTAAATACAAAAAAATAAAAAAAGGGGGAAATATCATAGTACATTCCCATACAACTAAGAAGAGGAGGAAAAGGAATGGGTTAAGACATAGAACAAGTCTTCTCCCCAGATTGCGTATTCGAGAATTGCGATCGCGAATAATGGAGTAAGTAGCTTTGGAAAGAAGAAACGAACACAATTAAAAGGCACTCTTGGGTAAAATCTTTGAAGCAACTGCTGCTTCAAACGCTTAAAAAAATAGCTTATTCTAATATTTCTTTAGACTATTTAAACACTTACCTTTGAGCCCTGTAAGCCCCCTAGTTGATCTTTGTCATTCAGTCCCCAAACAAAAACTTTCGTCTGAAGGTCCTTTGGTGCTGCCTTGTCATCTTGCTCATCTGATATTAAGTAAGGAAAATTGGAGAAGTCTTCTTTTTCACTTCTCTTTTGACCAATGATAGTGAGTCCTTGGATTTTGCAATCAATACCTCTGTTCCTGCACTGTTTTATATTTATTTCTATAAACTGATAATACTGCAAACAAATTAAAGAAAATATTTATTGTCAGTAATCCTATAGAAGATCGGTCTGAAGCAAAAAAATTTTTTTAAAAGCTGTATGGTTTCATGTGCTAATGACAGTTCATTAATTTTAATTCATGAAACAAAATTAACTATTTAAATTAAAATTCTGAGCATGAAAAATAGAAAAGTCACTAGTCACATTATTGGATCTGCTGGTAAAAAAGTTTTAATTTCTTGAACATTACAAAGATAGTTTAAGGAATTAGAAAGAAAGTTGAAGGAAGCAGGAAAGTGATTGTCGTAACTTGTTGCAGGAACGCTGACAGAAAGCAGAATATAGACTGTTGCAAAATATAGAGAAATGTATAAAGAGGATCAGGAAGTGCACTTGTCTATGAGTGATTGTATTTAACTTTTAAAATATTAAAAGAAAAGTAATTTCTTCTATTGCTCAAAAAATATTGTTTAAAATTTTTTTTTTCCTAAGAAAAATATCCCGTGCTTGATTATAAATATTTTAACACTGCAATAAACTCCTTTTCACGAAATCAAAACTATAAATGCCTGTTTTGTGATTTATTCACATTGTTAAGCTTTAATCAGAAAAATATATATTTCTATGGGTAACAATTCTCTTTTATGAATTATTTTTTAAAAAATAAATTTGCAAACACAATTAAGTCCATATTCAAAACAGTTTAAATAACCCCTCAAGACTGGTAAATTTAGAAAATTATTAGGTGTTCAAATTGTGCTTCAAATTGTTCATAAACCAGTAATTTTCCCCATCCTGTTGGAAGCATATAAATTCTGCGTTAAAACAATTACAGGTTTTTTCAAGGATGTCCAATAGTTAACCTACATCAAATTTACTTTTCTGGAACAATTTAAGTTAGAACATAGTCATAAGTTAAAATTGATAAGCGTGTCACAAAGTTTATAAATGTCACACAGCAATAGCAAAAAATTACCCATATATACTTTATTTTTTTACCCATATATACTTATTTTTTTAAAAGTGACAGATTTGGAGTTAAAAGAATGTGTTATATGCTATTTACTATTTAACAAAATAATGAATGAAAAATGCACAGAACATGGTTAAATATATTGTTGAAGCTTACAATTTTTAAGTAGTTTTTAAAATTTTAAATTTAAATAGAGTGGTAAATCTTTTTTTAACTTTCGATTATCAATACTTTAATCTTTGCTATTTCTTCCTCACTACTCAACAACAAAATGCGATCAATTCATAAATGCTTTACTTAGGCTTGGTCAGTTGTCCATTATCTCATGCAACATTGTTTTTCTGTATTGAAGCATTTCTTTAAGGTGCGGCAATCCTAGACAAAGGATACAATAGATGAATAAAAGTTATTTTTGGTTTCGAGCCCAGAACATATCTAGAATTTCAGGTCTAAAGAAACAGGTTAAAATTTTCTTAAATTTTTAGCAACGATTAATAGTTTAATTCCCATAGTGACTTGAGTTTTATCAGTTTTTGCATTCAATATAATTCCAAATTTCGCCGTTTAATATTAACACTTTGCAGAATTTGAAAAAAAGTTAGTTTTGCAAAAATCTGAAACAAAAATGACTAAGTTAAATAAATAGAAATAACTATACCTCCGACTGCTCACATAGAAGATTAAGACTAAAATCGTTCAGTCCAGCATAAATGGTATGCAATTCTTTCATGTTATGTACAGATGGACCACCATTTACAACAACAATAGAAGGCATGCAGCTAATATCAGTTGGGTCTATAGCCATATGCAAATGCTGTATAATAATGTCTGGCTGCATTTCTAGTCGTATCCAATGCTAAAATAAGAACAAAAACACTGTAATGTAAATTAAACATTGGCATATGCCTTGGTTGTCAGTGTTCTTATAAATATAAACTCCTCAACCTATTTACAATATTTTTACTAAAAAAAGTGACAATTAAGAATATACACTGAAAGAGAGTTATGGATAGTTGACTGTGTATAGCTAAGTGCAGATGGCGCTAGAGGTTAAAATTCGCTGTAAGACTTCCGGAGTTACTACTTCCAACTGATTTTAACGCCTAAGCGTGTAAAAACGCACCATCCAATATTATTATACTTGTAGTGTTTTCAATAAAGCACATTCTTTAAATCTAACTTCAACGAAACAAACAACAAATGAATTTGGAAGATTCCGCAAGCTTGCTATGATGCTACTCAAAAAATAACAAATGGTGCTTTTTTTAAACAAATATAGCCAAATAAGAGATAACAATCAAAACATTACACTTTATTTATACTGTGATACAGTCGAACTCGTTTATAACGAGCTCGGATTTAACGAGGGAAGCGAGAATATTTGGTTGGATCAATGTTAAGTCTATGGAACAGAAGTCGCTTTTAACGAGCAAGACCCGGTTTTAGCGAGCAATATTTTTCTGTCTTGCAATCTTTTTTTCAAAATAAGAAATGCGCGCCAAAAAAAAAAAAAACCGCGAACTGAAACTTCAAAGTAAGCTAACAAACTACTATTTTAAATATGTAGATTAATGAAAAAAATAAATGTTTTGGTAAGAATCTTTTCCATTATTTTTCTTTCCATTTATATTTCCTTTCCTTTAAGACTGTAGCGCAACTAGAAATTTTTTGCTGGTTTGGGGGGAGGGGTTAGTTGTCACTAAATAAAGATAAATATTTAATTAAATTAATTAATGTAATTAAAGTAAGTAAGTATTAATTAAATTTTAAGTCAACTCAATCATTTAACCTCTTCTGGTTGCACGTCTGCCTTAAGGACCCGTTTATTACGAGCACTCGGATTTAACGAGTACATGTTACGGTCCCTTTGTGCTCGTTATAAACGAGTTCGACTGTATTAATTTTGTTAAATTTGTTATAGGCTCGTTGCCCAGTTAGAATTTATAAATTACAGAAAACTCATATAAATGGTAAAATCCATGCGTAAATTTAAACAAAAACCTCCAATAATAAAACTTCCTAGAATATTAAGCCTGTTCACACATCATCTCGTAAGCATAACATAAGTGGAAGGATAAACTGGAAGTTTTCTCAATATCTTCCAGTTTTAAGAAGTTTGTAATTGTTTACATTCAGTCAATCGTCCCTACTACACAGACGAGAACTATTTCCTTTTAAACCAAACGTGCACTTGCATTGAAGCAAAATGTTAGCTGTTATATTTATTTAGAATAGAAAACAGGAAATGAATTTAGAATTCAGAAATAAATGAAATTTAAAAAGCTAGGAAATATGTAATACTCATACTGGCATGACAACACATATAGTTCCATTTAACAGACAGAACAAAACTGATTGAAGATAACTAAATATATTAATATTTTTACAGTAATACTTTTAATGCAAATTGTTATGATAATCTTAAAGCAGCTCACAATTCATATGACACAATAGACATTTCATTTTCAGCAAAGTTTGAAAAGTCACTAGAAATAAAATTAAACAACACAGTATTAGAAGTTATCTCACTCACCTTGCCATGCTTCCCAGAGCCATGCCAAGAGTAAACAGATCCATCAGTTAGTCTGTATGCTAGATCCTCTCTGGAGGAGACAGTTACGGAATTCACACATGTTCTCCAACATTTTATAAATCCTTTATTTGATGCAAACAGATAGAGATCTAAAGAGAAATTCAGAGAAAAAGTAAAAGAATTGAAGATATTCAAACCATTATATTTCAAATACAAAAAAAATAAAAATAAATAAGCAACAATACCTGAATTTTTGACTAAATACATTTTGTGCATGTGAGTGTGCAAATCATTTTGACATTTGGAACAAATGAAGTAGAAGCTGCACATCCTACATGCATAATAAGGTCGGTTAAACAACTGCACCTGGCAAGCTGCACATCTAAAACAAAATTATTAAATAGAATTTGAATCACCAGTAGCATATCAATGCAAAATTTAATCAATAAAGAATATTTTATGTATACAACAACTATACTTTTGACAAGTATACATTTATAAAATCTATTCTTTATTTTATAATTTTATCAAACGGTCAATAACTATTGTAATTTAAGTTGATTAATAATTGGTGTAATTTTGCATTTTGAATCCAATTAAAAAGACAATGAGACTTCAAGCAAACAAGAATGCATCTGGGAACTTTTTTAGTAAACTCAAGCCAAGCAAGATATCTAATTGCATTTACCAAAGGAAATAGTGATAAAGCAAAATAAATACAATACTGCCGTGCAATTGAAAAAACAACAAAAGTGCTTTAAGATTGATTCCGAGAAAAGTGGCTAGACAACTTTTCTCCTTCTATTGCTAATGCTATGAATGTTAAAATACTGATAAAACAAAATTTATTTTTGATTTTATTTATTTACTTATTTTTTTTGCAATATGTAGCTTACCATATAAATATGCCAAATATACAAATATATAAAAATCTCAGTTTTGAATTTCTTGTTGATTATATTGATATTTGAATTGTATGGCAGAATAACTATAGCTTGAACTTGAATATAAGTTGTTATTTGTGGGAGAAGCACAGGCTATAATTTCTTCAGCTACTCCAGGAGCTCACATTCATATTTTGAGATTAATTTTGAATTAAATATGGTGAAAAATACCAGGAAATATTAAAATTTATAAAAAATTATTTATAAATAGTATACAACAAAATGAGCCACAATGGCACGGTGGTCCGACATTGTGTTGGAATGGTGTTCAATTACTTGTAGCAGTTTCATTCATTTGTAGATATTTGTGTGCAATGCTGAACTTCTACAATAATTCTCTCTCCCTCCCTCAGTCAAAAACTGATTGCTGAGTTAGTGCCTTAATTACATAACAATGTAATAATGGATCATTCAAGCCCGGGTGGTTCAGGGGATAGAGCGCTTAGCTTCTAATGAGGTGACCCAGATTCAAATCCCAGCGATGGCTGGTCAATATGGATTCTGCATCTGGCTCCGCACCAACCACAGTGCTGACGTAAAGTATCCTCAGTGCTATCATGGTTTAGAGTCCCTGTGCCGTCAGACTGACCGTGGGAGGTTTTCCTCTACATGTAACACAAATGAGGGATAGTTCTATCAAAAATTTCCCCACAAAGGCAAATTTCTCCCAATACTTGATCCAGGAGTTCTCCTCTTCTGGGTAGGGTTCAAAATTACAAGACTAGAGAGTTAAACATTGGTAGTCGTAAACTCAAAATTGGGTTGGCTGTTCAACTATGGTTACAAAATAAAATAATACATAATTATACAATTACCGTAGTTCAGGACAGGCAGTAACTTGCTCTAACTCTGATGCTAAGCATCTCCAAGACCTCTGGGTGGAAAAATCAACAATCACTTTCTTCCCATCAGATTTCAATGCTATAAATGCAAACAGTAATAAAATTACTCAGAATAGAAATAAATACAATAAACAGTTTCTAAGGAACAAAAATTTAACAACTATAATACAGTGAAACCTCTCGAGAACGACTCATCTCCGATCCCCAGTAAAATGGTCGATAATAGAGGTTGGTTGTTCTTAAGGTCTGGTTTCTTAGGACAAGCGCCTTATCTGGGCGTCAGCGGGACGTCAACGTCCCGCTGACACCAACAAAATACTGGTTTGTTAGCTTAAGGCCTGGTTTCTTAGAACTACCGCCTTATCTAGGGGTCAGCGGAAAGTTGCGGTAGAGCTGACGCCAAAAAAATACTTTTTTGTTAGCTCAGCGTGAGCAGAGTATGCAAAGCACGGATTANCCCTACTAATATAATTATGTGTAAAAACAAATTATCCAATTATGAATGATAGAACTATTTTAAATGATAAATAATTGTGCTTTTTTTATTTAAGTTTGCATTTAACTTAATATTATAATTAATTTACTTTAAAAAAATGAGAGGTTTGTTTGTTTGAGATGCTTAATTTTTTTAAAAAAAACTTTTTTTTCAAATTTAACTTTTAACTCTAAAAATAAATCATCGATAGTATTGTTTTTAGTGCACTCTGACTGTAACATGAGGTTGTCAATCTCTTTCAGAAATCAACAAAAAGATAAAAAGCCACTAAGTAAAAGCCACTCAAAAATATTTTGAATACATTTGAATCTACTTATTTGTTTCGTTAATATTTTTATTTCGATATTTTTTCGTGATTCCTCTTTTGACCTTTTCCACATTTGGTGTGGAGATTTGTCTGGTCCCTGAAAGAGGTTTTTAACCCACTGGCAGTTTAGCAAATGGGCAAAATTGGGAGAATGTTTCTTCTCAATACACTATTTTCCTATCTCATAACATTGAAAAACCGGTTTAGCTATGCAGAGAAAACTGCAAGTTAAAATACAACTTTTTATGCGCAGAACCGTCATTGGTTTAATGGTTTCTCCTAAAGATTATCTTAAATTCTATAGAAAATCCTCCAAAAAGTCATCAGAAATAGGAGGTCGCTACACAGGGGTGGTCTTTCCTGGAGGTTTCACTGTAATTTTAAATTTATAGCAATGATAATCTAATTTGTACCTCTAATAACACCAACAGAATCTGGAGTCACACTTCCCCATCCAAAAAATGGTACACTAACAGAGGCCTTTACTTTAACTAATTGTCCAATTTCAAATATGCTGGGATAAGGGACTGCTGTGCTTTTATTTGAACGACAAGAGATAATCTCCAGCACATAACATTTTGTCCAAGTTTTCTTTGCAGTGCGCTTCCATTCCACACGCACAAGAGAAGATGTATTAAGCTTCAAAAGAAATTTTCTATATATATACTTACATTAAAATATTGTACTATGTAATTTTATCTTTTTTATTTAGTATAGAGATTTATTGCTTATTGATAATTATAATAGAGAATCAAAATAGCAAAGAGGAAGATTATATTTCGAGACATTTTATTATTTTAGAGATTCAAGACTTTTCATACTCAAAGAGTTGTACGATATAAAAAGTAGGGAATACTTATATAAATAAACAATTTAGGTAAGAACTTTTAAATTTTTTGTAGAAAAATTATTTTTTTAGATTTAAACAAGAACGAAGTTATATGTTAGATTAAAATAATTTAATAAAAAAATAACTTGAAAAAATTATGACTCATTGCAGTTTACAAAAATGATAAATACAAGAAAAAATTTTAGTATGAAAAGGTTGAAATTCAATTAATGTGTCTTAAAATAAAAAATAACCAAATGAGCATTTTGATTCACATTGAAGGCTCAGAAATAAAGTTATATGTTTTCATTCAAGTTAAATAAAAGTAAGTTCAAGAATAGTATAATAAATCAAAACTTGCTGTAACTAATCAAAATGGTTTTGTAATGTGCTGCAAAAAATCTCCATTTTCTTTCAAAAAAAATAATTGCAAAAAGTTTTAAAATATAAATATGGCTAGTTATCACATTTATACCTACAGTATTTCTCACCAAATGAAAAAATGATAAATGTTAAAGTGATGATAAGTGATGATAAATGTTAAAGTGATGATAAGTGAAATGATAAGTGATCTTTCTAATCAAGTCTAACCCCTTTAAGACTGTCCTCGCATAACTGTGTGGGTTTGATGTAACCCAATATGTGGATATATGTGTATAATTTCAAATAAAGTTTAAATTAAGTAAAATTTTCTTCTTATAGCTATAGCTATCAGTTTAGTATTAAAAATATCTTAGCTGCTTTGTTACAAACAATAAAAAAAAAATTTAAATGTAATATTATATTCAAGTTTGCATGGATTATCTTAAATTTCTTAGAATAATGTTCATAATAAAATCATTTTCCGAGCACTTTTTATGTGTTAAGCTACTTATACTAAAAAAAAATAAGAACTTTCAAATTGCATCAGGTCATAAAAAGTTAATTAAGAATCCCCTAAACCATGGCAATATTTGACTAATAACACTAAAATAACTTATTGCATCGAACAACAAAAATAAAAATAATAATGCAAAATCGCATTTGAATAACATTTACCCGAAGAAAAACTTACATCAATAACAACACCAACATCGCCTTCTCTGAGTCCAGGAGTGTCTTGTATGCATCTTACCCAAAATCCTAATCTTAAGTGAGTCATCATGTATCTCAAATATTCCTGATCACTAGAAAAATTTTCTCTACTCAAATATTCACTATCCTGAAAGAAAAACCAGAACTAAAGATAAGACAGTGCAGCATTCAGTACAAAATTCAAAATTAATCATCTTGCATATCATTTAATGTTCAGATTATTTACAGAGTATCTGCTACATTTTAGATTTAATTCTTTCCATGGCTAATTCCAAAATTTTTCATGACTTAACGAAGTTACCGTTTACTCCGACAAAAACACAACAATAAAATTTAAAAAAGCACTATAATGACATCAATTGAAATGATAGATATAACCAAAACTGTTATGCTCTGCATCTTCATATTTGTAGATTTTAAATTTAAAAAACAGAGTAAAGAAAGAGTTGAAGCAACAAAATAGCTGAAAGAAAATATAAAAGCAAGTAATTATTTTTTCTCTTTTTCTGCAAATTATATTCTAAAGATACTTTTCGTGTTCATCAGAAATACATTTTTCCTCATTTTTCTGTTCACATTTCGGAATAAAAAAAATTCGCATATGACTGGCTTGCTTCAGCTAGAATTTTAAATTGATAAAATAAAATAAAAATAAGTAATAACAAAAATTCTGAAATCACAGTAGTTTAAAAGATAATTCACTCTAGAAATGTTTTTCTCTAATTTTTTGAAACACCATAATTTTTAAAGAACATGATAAAAATATTTTATATTTTAATAAAATATGACTATGAGAGGGGATTTAGTTACAAATTCAGATTTTTGGAACACCATGAAATTGGGGGGGGGGTGAATTCCAGTTTAAAAATTAGATTTTTTGGCGACTTAAATCCATGACTTTCCATGATTTTTTTTTTTAAAAATAGTTCAAATCATGACATTTCTGGACAAATTTTGTTCAATACCGAAATTCATGACTTTCCATGATTTCTCATGACTTTCCAGGTGCGCAGATAGCCTGTATTTACTTGAAACATTTTGAACTAATAGTTCTTGTTGAATTAGCAAAATTTATTAACAGAAAATATCAAACTATTTCAAAATAAAATCAGAATTTTATTAAATTGAAAACTTTAAAAGAATTTAAGATATAGTACAAAATTTGAAGTGATTGTTACATGCAAGTATATTAAAATACATACATAACGGTCAACATCAGCATCATCATCACATGTAAAAGAATCTGAATCAGAGTAAGCTTCAAAGGATGTTGAGCTATCATCATCAGATAAATCTGCAGATAAAGCTTCATGTTCCAACAACCAGGTAATTATAGCTTCTATTTTATGAGAAATGTTAACATCATCTTCTGAAATACCTATAAACACAATATAATATAAAAAATATTTTATAATAAAATAAACATTTGAAATANTCACTAATTTAAATATTTGGAACATCAAAACAATATGAAATTGGGAGGGAGGGTAAATTCCAGTTTAAAAATTAGACTTTTTGGCGACTTAAATCCATGACTTTCCATGATTTTTTTTTTAAAAAAAAATAGTTCAAATCATGACATTTCAGGACAAATTTTGTTCAATACCGAAATTCATGACTTTCCATGATTTCTCATAACTTTCCAGGTATGCAGATAGCCTGTATTTACTTGAACCATTTTGAACTAATAGTTCTTGTTGAATTAGCAAAATTTATAACAGAAAATATCAAACTATTTCAAAATGAAATCAGAATTTTATTAAATTAAAAACTTTAAAAGAATTTAAGATATAGTACAAAATTTGAAGTGATTGTTACATGCAAGTATATTAAAATACTTACATAACGGTCAACATCAGCATCATCATCACATGTAAAAGAATCTGAATCAGAGTAAGCTTCAAAGGATGTTGAGCTATCATCATCAGATAAATCTGCAGATAAAGCTTCATGTTCCAACAACCAGGTAATTATAGCTTCTATTTTATTAGAAATGTTAACATCATCTTCTGAAATACCTAAATAAACACAATAAAAAATATTTTATAATAAAATAAACATTTGAAATATTATAGTTTAATGAGTACTTAAAGATGTAAAAGAATTAGCTATACTATTTTTGTGGAGTGTATAGTTTATTGAAATTTTGTTTGTTTACTATTCTTATATAAATGAGTGTAAATGAGGGCAAATTTACTACATACAAAGAAAAGATACTTAAAATACCTGAATATGCAGAAGATGTTCCGCAAATTTAATTAAAAAAATAGTTACTTTTATCACCAAGTACAAATGTCTGATGATTAAAGTTAAAAATTTCAGAGCCTAATAAAAATCAATAATTTCAATCAATAATCAATAATAAAATAAAATATTTTTCTACTTAAATTTGTATACAAGCATCTTTTTCTTAACAAATATTATTTAAAAAAAGAAATATTATTTTAGTTACTTTAAAGAAATTTAAACAAGAATGCATGGAAGAAAAAAATAATAAAAAAACAACATTCAAATCACAATTAAAACTTTTTTAAGAATTCAAGATTTAAACCGAATTCATCTAAAAAATTTTTAAAAAAAATTTCCCACTCAAAACAAAATCTAGAATGAGTCATTCTGAATTAGTACAGAAATAAATTAGGAAGAAATTAGTTAGAAATAAATACAGTACAAAAGAGATAATCATTTTATAATTTTATATTTTATAACCGTCGTTGAAAGGCCGACCCAATTTTGGGTTTAGAACTACTAATGTTTAACTCATGTAATTTTGAACCCTAACCAGAAGACAAGGAAACTCCTGGATGAAGTTTTGGGAGAAATTTGCCTTTGTGGAGGACTTTTTGATGGAACTAACCAGCAATTTTGTTACATGGAGAGGAAAACCACAAAAACCTCCTACGGTTAGCCTGATGGAAAGGGGACTCTAACCCATGATCCACCACTGAGGATATTTTACATCAGCACAATGATCGGTGACAGCCAGGTGTGGAATTGGAATCTACCAGACATCGGTGGAATTCGAACCCGGTTCATCTCATTAGAAGGCAAGAGATAATTAGTAACAGACATAAATACAATTGACATTCATCATACATAAAAAAAAAATTACTGACCAAGAGCTCTGAATGCAGATTGTACAGTTCGCCTCGTGAATCCCATGTCATAAAACATCTGCATGCCATTAGGCTCGGATTTCGTATGAGTTCCATGCAGTTTGTTTGATGGCTGAATTAAAAATTGTGAGTGCTTAGGTTCTATGTTTATGGGACAACTGCAGCCACTACTGGTTGATGTGGTGATGTGAGATTCTTTCATGAAAGACACGCAATTAAGAGAAGTAACTCCCATAAGATATTGAGATACAGCCAATGCCCCATTCTGTAAAAAAGAAAAAAAGTCAACCATTTTTCGAGGCAATAAATATTTATAAATCAAATAATTTGATATGCAGTCTGATCTTTAGTATAACTCCCTAATTCAAATATTGGGAGAAATTCGTCTTCATGGAAAACTTTTCGATGAAACTAACCAGCATTTGCATTACATGAAGAGGAAAACCATTAAAACTGCCACTGTTAGTTTAACGGCAAAGGGATTCTAACCCATGATCCTACCGCAGAGAATATTTTACATCAGCACTGTGGTGGATGTGAGCCAGGGGTAAAATTTGATTTGACAAATCATTGCTGAGATTCGAACACGGTTCACAGCATTGGAAGGTGAGCACTCTATCCCCTGAGCCACCACGGCTTTCCTCTTTATAATGAAACCTAAAAAAAAACTAAACTCAGTGGCGCGACAGCCTATAAAGGGCCAAGGCTTACTGTGTCTATCTCAGTTTTCTTGACTTTGGGCTCTGGGGTGCAGGAACAGATGATCCGGTTAGGTGATCAGCCAAACGCAAAACCCTCCAGTGTTTAGTTCCCAAGCATGCTTGGTACTCATTTATCGACCCACTGAAGGGATGAATTATAATGAAACCATTTTATTTTATTTTATAAACGTCATTGTCCAATTGTCGCCGATCCAATTGTTTGGATTTATGACTTCTAATACTCAACTCTGTAGCCTTGTAATTTTGAACCCAATCCTGAAGATAAGCAAACTCCTGAATCAAATATTGGGAGAAATTTGCCTTTGAGGAGAACTTTATGATGGAACTAATCCTCATTTGCATTACGTGGAGAGGAAAACCACAAAGACCTCCTACGTTTAGTCTGACGGCAAGGACACTCTAACCCATGATCCATCTACCACTGAGGATATTTTAAGCCAACACTGTGGTTTGTGCGAGCTGGGTGCAGAGTTCATATCGATTAGCTATAGCTCGGGTTCGAACCCGGTTCATGTCATTAGAAGGCGAATGCTCTATCCCCTAAGCTACCACGAACATAAAGTCCCATTTGCAATTTCATCAATGCAATGTTATTTCAAAACCCATTAGAAACGGGATATAAAACATGCAGCCCTGTTGATGCGCTGCTCGAGATAGCTTCTATACACAATAATTTTTTTTGGAAATTTTTTTTAAAAATTTTGTCTGCGAAGGAAACAAAAAAATAATTTTGTAGCAACTCTCAGAAACTGCTAAGCATTTACAAGCAAGATGCTTTATTAAAATAAGAAAATGCAATCTAAACTAACCTCTATTTCCTCTTTTGAAAATGTTGATTTCAATGGAGACGGTTGATTAGCAGCAGCCATTAGACAATGCAACAATAGCATGTTATCACTTGACTCACCAGAACTTTTCATCGAGGAAGAAAACATAGTGGATAACAAGAAATCAGATTGAGATTTCAAGTTGCATGTTCGTATTAACACTTTGTGTAGAAATTGTTGATTTCCAAATAGAACTCGCACTGCTTTCATCAGATATAAAAGCAAATATTGTTGCTGCAGATAGTTAATATTTAATTCTAAAAGAAAAATATATTAAAAATTAAATATTCAATGTACAGAAAAGAAAGCTTAATAAAATAAGTACTGGAAAATTATTTAAAAAACAAACATGATTTATATTAGAAAAACAGTTTTATTTCTTTTTAAGACAGTTAGAAAACAGGCATGAGAATGAGAAAAAAACAATAAGTCTGAAAATACTGATAAGCTAAATGAAAAAAAAAANAAAAAAAAAAAAAAAAGAAATTAAAATATTTAAATTATCTACACACTTACTTTAAGTTTTATTTTCTTTATACAAAAAGTGTACACTGACAGTCCAACAGATAGTTGTGTTTTATTATAAATTATGATTAAAGAAACTATAATAATAATAAAGTTTAGAAACTTAATTCTTTCTAAAGTTTAGAAAGTTGAAAATTTCAGCAAAGTCGAAAAAATATTGTGCCAGAAAAAAATATACAAACTTCTGCAATTTTTCATTTAAAAAAAATTTTAAATGTTAGTCTGTATGTTTACCCAATAAACTGATATAAAAATTTTAAAAGTTCATAAAAGTTTCAAATAATTTTATAGATTAACGCTATTTTCTTTGTAAAAAAAGTCAAGTGATGTATACGTTATGGAGACTTACTTGGACTGTTTGAAGAAGGGGAAGTTAGAGAGTTCCCTTTGCTTCTTATTTCAAAGTTTTCATCAATGGCCAATCCAATAAGAAAAGCCCAAACATCTAGTATTTTGTCTGATACTAATTCATCAGCAAGCTGAAACTTTGAAGATGGAACCTACCAATATAGTTACAAACATTTAAACTATATTTGTATTTCAAGGAAATTCTATTAATAGTAAATATGAAAAGGAAGAAATACAAAATAAAGATGAAAATACATATATTTTTGAGAGAAGCAACAATAAATAACATCGAATTGCTGTATAATAATAATAATATTTATACAAACCCTTTATATAAACAAGTCTTTACAAATTATTTTATGTGTAAAAAAAATTCTAAAAAATGGAAGGTGTTTGATTCTGTTACAAAACTAAGTATCATATAAAATATCGACAGCATAAAATAAATTTCTCACCTTGAAAGAATAAAATCTGAAGTCTAAAATAACTACGAAAATTTTTTTTATTAGACTGTTGAACATCAATTATCTAGATTAATGAAGACAATACATAAACCAGATCATCAAATATACAAAAAAATTTATAATTAACCTTGGGGAGGTCATGCATGTAAAAAGTCCAAGTAAGTTGCAAAATTAGGTTTTTTATTTAACGGAAATGGTAGAAAGGAAAAAAAAACATTTGCCCAAATTTGCCTATTTGTGACACCGCAAAAGTGCACCATATGCAACACAGCTATTAAAGATTTCTATTACCTTTATTGATATTTGAGTTTACATGTGTATTGAATTTATCGTGAGTTCTCCATGGACACTTAAAACTTAACTACGATCTCCTTCTTAAAAACATTTTAGGTTTAAGTTTTGCATATTTAAATTTACCAATAAATGAGAGTATAAAATCAGTTGGATAAAATTTAGCATCTAGAGTATGTAAATAAAATGATAAAGATGATACTAGAACTAAACTTAATTTTATTGCAACTTTCGTCTTTCTATGGTTAAAGATTAAAAATCTACTATTCACTGTGAGTCAGGTATAACATAGTACCGCAGTAACCATACAAGCAACTATTCTCACTAAGTTGAATATTTTAACACTAGAATGCTAGATAAATTACTTAAATGACTAAAATGTCTGTTGTATCATTTTGTTACAGATTGTAAAAAGAGTATATAAAAAAACATATACACCACTAGCAAATTTATTATTTTGAAATATAATTATTGAACTAGTTTAGTATTATGGCTATAGTCATTATAAAATTATAACTTAACTTTAATATCCTTGAAGTAGAATTCAAAGCAGAGAGAGGAATGCGAACATTCAAAAAGCTAAATGCATCATTTCCAGTTAAAATATTTATAGTTTACTCATTTTATACACTTTTCAGACTTTAACAGACAAAAATAAACATTATTCGACATTCCTTTGTTAGATTTTACAAAGTTTTTTACTTTATTTTTATTTTCTTAAATTAGTTGCCACAATAATAATGTCTTCAAATTAGTCTGCAAAATCTCAAAATATTAAATAAGGGCATTTTTGGATAACTGATTAAATAGCACAGTCGATTGGAGCACAGTTCATACCTTTGATTAATGAATCAAGGCAGTTCATTAGTTCAATATAAAGTTTACTAAAGAACCTGCTTATATGCATATACCAAAGTTTAAGGAAATCTGCCGAGGCTGAATGCATTCTCCTTGTTCCAATGTGGAAGTTAAGATAAGGAGTGATAGACAATCACATCAGTTGACCAGGATTAAAATTAATATGAAACATAAATCCAGCCGTAAGAGTAACAAAGTTTTCATAAGTTGAAAATTTAATGAGTTTTCACCCATTGAATATCCAAAAAAAGTCTAAATTGTACAAATGAATAAACTTCATATTTTTATTTTTAAAAATTACAAAAAATTATTCAACAATTTTGTATAAATGTTTAAATGTAAAACTTCAGAAAGTAAAAAAATAATCCAAGCATCTTTATAAACTTGAAATAATATAAATAGGAAACAATAAAAAAAATTTAATTATGAAATCAATAAATTGAAAAGTGAATGAGTTGACATTTACTTAATATGGAAAAAATAGTTAAAAATAAATGGTAAACCTTAAACTGCCATAAAAATTTATTTTGAAAGTAAAAAAGGAATAGAATTATCATGTATTAAACATACAAAAATAATTTCAAATAAATCATACATTTTAAACTAATACAAAAGTTCATAAAAACTTACAAAAGAAACTTGATGAAAAAATTCCTCCATTGGTGTTTTACCAGAAGGGGAATGAAGATTAAGTTTTCCTCTTGGGAAAATACTAATTACAGAATTTATTGAGCCATCAGCACTGAGTACTTGTCCACCTAAGCGTATTCTTATGTCAACACCTCCAATAACAGATAATACAGCTAAGCAGCTACCATACTTCTTGGGATGCAAAGATCCACTCTGAAAAAAATATTAAATAATAAATAACAATTTGAAACTAAAAATATATATAAATCAACAGAGTAATTTTTTTTATCATGCAAATAATAAGGCAAAAATTATAGATAAATAAGCATATGACTTCACCAAATATTAAAAATTTTACCTTTACAAAATTAATATATGTGATTTAAAAAAACAGTAAAGATTGAGGAAAAGTACAAAATGTGTTTGTTTTTTCATTTGTCTTAACAACAAGAAAATCTAAAGACAAAATAAAAATCATCAAAAATAATTATCCATAAACAGTATTTACTTTTTTTTTTGCATTTAAATTAGGGATGTTTTGCACAGAGTTGTTGTAAAATTATTATTGTAAATTTTATTCCTAAATACCAAGCAGTTTTGTAAAAACATATATATATATATATATATATATATATAGGGCAATTCCACAGAAGTGTCAACTTTTAAGTGAAATTTTTTTTTATGAATTGCATATTTTAATCTTAAAAATATGTTCCAAAATAGCCAACATCTACATATTGCCGTTTCATTTTTGATAATTTTAAATTTTTTGAATCTGGCAGCATTCTAAAGTAATCACATGGCTGACAAGTGAATTGTTCACATTTGTGCTCAAATTGTTTTCTTGAAAAATACTTATAAAATGAAAGAAATGTATCTTTCTATTGCAATATTTTGATTAAAATATGCATATAGAACAGAATTTAAACATTTTAAGTTTAATATATGAAATAAAAGTAACTTCTTTTACGTCATTCGGTCACATGTCTTAATAATGCAAAAATTTCCTGAGAACGAAAATAAGATGTGACATTGGCAAGTTAGATATAAAACCTTTTCAGAGACAACCTAATTTTCAAACTGTTAAAATTTTTACTAATTCTTATATAAATATTAATCCTGTTTATCTGTTACATTCTGTTTATCATTTACACATTAATAAAACATTTTTAAAATGAAGGCTTTCTTCTACTAAACTTTTTGTCATTCCGTCACAGCAAATAGATGTTAATAACTGCAAGCCAACATGAGGTTAATTTTCCAAATTCACATTTTACATTGCTTACACATTATACTAAAAGTATAAAATAGTTCAGAAAAATAATAGCTGCAAAATTCGCAGAAGCTACTAGTTCTAAACGGCATGCCAAAAGCCTGGTTGCCAAAATGTCATTCCGTCACGCAAATAAAAAGTTCGTAAAATTAAAAGTGAAAACGATAGAGAATCCTGTTTTTTTAGTTTATGAAGCGCATTATGCCAATAATAATGATATGCATGAGAAAATTTTTTATTATTTGAAATTAGATACATAGAAACTTCAATTAATTGTTATTTTGCAAGTCAAAATGTCATTCCGTCACATATGGAATTGCCCNTAATTACAGAATTTATTGAGCCATCAGAACTGAGTACTTGTCCACCTAAGCGTATTCTTATGTCAACACCTCCAATAACAGATAATACAGCTAAGCAGCTACCATACTTCTTGGGATGCAAAGATCCACTCTGAAAAAAATATTAAATAATAAATAACAATTTGAAACTAAAAACATATATAAATCTACAGAGTAATTTTTTACCATGCACCCAATAAGCAAAAAATTATAGATAAATAAGTATATGACTTCACCAAATATTAAAAATTTTACCTTTACAAAATTTATATACGTGGTTAAAAAAAACAATAAAGCTTGAGGAAAAGTACAAAATGTGTTTGTTTTTTTATTTGTCTTAACGACAAGAAAATTTAAAGACAAAATAAAGCTTGAGGAAAAGTACAAAATGTGTTTGTTTTTTGATTTGTCTTAACGACAAGAAAATTTAAAGACAAAATAAAAATCATCAAAAATAATTATTCAGAAACAGTATTTATTTATTTTACATTTAAATTTGGGATATTTTGCACAGAGTTGCAGTAAAATTATTATTGTAAATTTTATTCCTAAATACTAAGCAGTTTTTGCAGAAAAAAAATATAAAATATATTTAAAAAATAACGAAAGATTAATTTGAATAATAGAATCTGAATTGACTAACCTCTGGTATAACGTTTTCATAAATTGTTTAAAAATAGTTCAAATTGTAGAGATAATTTAAATTTTTTTGCTATCTACTTTTTCAAATATTAAGTAATTGGCAAATTAAGTCCTATTATCAATTAAAATGTAGAAGAAATTTTCTTGCATCTAATCAAATTTTTCAATTAACACTGAATTGAACAAAAATAAAAAGTAAACAAAGCAAGCAATTACATATATACTGAAATTTACACATCCTATATAATTTTAAACTGGCATTATAAAAATATTTCATTTCTTACAAAAATATTCATTATATTAAAAACATGCCTTAATATGAATTCCAATGCCTTGATGATTAATTCAGAGAAATACTTACAAAGTCAAACAATTGTGATATCATTTCTGGCAGTGATTCCAGGTGATCTAATAAATATTTTATGATAAAAGTTTTCCATGCAGTAAGTGACTGAAGATGACGAATGAGAGATATAATCTCTTCAGCTAATGTACTGCAATGAGATGCAACTAATGACACTTTAGGACGAAATTCCCATTTCCCTCTCCAAGGGACTTCTAAAAGAATCAAATGATCAATTAATAAAAAAAAAACTTATAACCACAATTTACAAGCACATTAAAAAATACAACAATGGAGTCAGTAAAATAAAAGAAAGCTCTAAACTAAAATAAAGATTAGATTACTATTCATAAAAAAAACCCAAAATAAAAATTACAGTTGTTACAGCAATAATGCAACTAAAGTTCTAATTAAATAAAAATACACAGTAGCATGTTAAGGAATGGCATAATGTTACATAAATAAAAGACATATTTTATTTTTTACTTATCAATATACATACACAGCAAAATAAATACATTTTTTAGATCAAGTCTAGTACAATTTTGAAGGATTTTTTCAATAGAGAAGATTCGGCAACATTTACTGAAAATGTTGGTATTGAAGCACAGATAGATGAATTGAATTTGGATTAAAACATTTGGAGTAACTTAGTGAAAATGTCTGTTGTGGTGCAATTAAAGTGGATTCAGGCAGTTTAAAAGAAGTGCAGCAACAATCATGTTACAGTTGTCTGTCAGAAAATAATTGATTGAAGATATTTATTAAAGGTCTTAAGATTTGTAAAATGTGACAAATCAAAAGAATATGTTTCATTTTAAAGACATTAAACATCCAAATAATAATGAAATAGTATTAGGTCACGAGACAAATGGTAAAATTTTTCAAGTCCATTTACCAACTATTGGAACTAAATTATTTTTCATACACTAGTAAATAAAGAAGTTTTTTTTTTCCTTAAGAAAATGCGAAGTTTACCAAAAGTTATTTGCACATTGTTTTTCAATTAAGTGATAAAAAATTGGTTTGATGCATTGAAATTGAAAGAAAAAAATTAAAAAACAATACAGATAACATTTTATTAGTAACTTGTAATATTTTGTGAATTTCATCTCCAATTTAATAAATTTCATCTGCAGGTTCTTAATTGAAAAACATTTTACTTGGTCAATACACTGAAAGTATCTTCAATCTGACAATTCTGGAGTACTACTTTAAATTCATACAAAATGTCAATATGCAAATATTTTTTGCTGAAATTGGTGTTTTTTAGTTAATGTGCATGATTCAATTATATAATATCCAAAATTTCTTAGTTGCAAGAGTTGGCAAACAAAAAGTGTTTTTAAACAACTTTCAATGCTTTGCCCCATGTGGTCTATTTGATGAACTTTACCTTTAGGATGAAGAGATATGTCTTTAGAGGTATTTAAAAGTATATCTCCAAGTAAATCAAACAACCACTCCACAATTTCATTGAAGCGGTCATAGCAATAACTAGTTGACCAAAAGCAGATTATTCTTTTGAAGAGTCTTAAACTCTGCATCTAAAAAAGAAAGATTTTACTTTTTAAAGTTATTTAAATTTTAAGTTCAAAATGCTCATTACAGAACATCTAATATATGTCATTTTGTCATTGCACTCAAAAACAGGCATCCATTTTCAATACCAGGCAGATGTCAATGAGAAGAAATAGAGGTGATTAGAAATATAAAAAAAAAGTTGCCAGTGAAAAATGGAAAAATAAATATGAGAAATGAGAGGGAAAAAAGAACAAGAAAATAATCAGAGGCTGAGATAGAAATCTAAAATGCAGTTTCTATTTGACGGAAAGGTCGTAACATACTAATGTCGTTAACAAAGTAATAAGCATTCATATCAGAAATTTTTTATGCACTTTTGTTTTTTTCCTTTTATTTATCCATTTTCAAAGGGCAATATTTCAAATCACTTTTGTTTCTTCTCACTCATATCTTCCAAGCCTTGAAAATGGACGCCTGTTCTTGAGCAACTTGAAACATGTCAACTGTTTTTTTTAATTTAAATATTTTTGAAGCGAATGAAGTTTTCAATCAGGAAATATGTTACCTTTACAGTTCCTCGAGATTATTTTTTTAATTGCATACACTTACAACACTGAAATGAAAATACTAACACTATCTTGCAATAATTATATTCAGAGTTTAGTTAAGGATTATTATTTACAAAATGAAATGAAAAAATGTTTTGTAAATAAAAAACATATTTTTATTGTAGCTCATAGTGTTATTTTTTCAGGGTTCCCACTCAATTTCAGAAAAAAAATTCCCTGACTTTTCCAGGTATTCCAGGTAAATTTCAATGAAAATCCATACCATATTTTATCTATACTACGAAATTTTTCAATAGAAAATTTGGATTTTTTTATTTGTTATCCAAGTATTAGATTTTTTGTGTAAAATATATATCATTATAAGAGGAAAGATGCAATTCAGTATGTCTAAAATGTAAAATTTTTACAATAAATAATTGTAATAGATGTTAGAATTATTTAACTCGAATCTCAATAGCTGAGTATTGTTATAGACAATTTTAAGACTGGTTTTTTTCCAGGAATAATGAAGGAATTTTCCAGGTTTTCATAAGAAAATTGCAAATTTCCCTGACTATTCCCTGATTTTTAGAGTTGAAATAAATTTCCCTGACAATTCCAGGTTTTCCCTGTTCTCCCTGACCCATGGGAACCCTGTTTTTTCTATAGCATATGCCTCAAACCTCGTTCACCCTCTTCCAGTACCTCAGGGTTTGCAGGGTATCATTTCCCTTCTGCAAATTTAACCAAGTAAGAATGTGGCTTTTATCTTCACTTATGTAACTTAGTAACTTTTAGCTAAACTCAGAAACAAAACAACTTTAAAAAAAAGTGTAAAAATATGGGATAAACAAATTTAATGTTGATGATTTCAATAAAAAAATAATCATCTTAAAATACAGTGCTTTTAAAAAAATGCTACATTTGGATTTAGAAACTTCTATTTTACTAAAGCACAAACCAAGAAAACTCACATTATGATTAGCACAACAATTCACTTTTTTAAAAACCATTCTGCTTAATTTAGAATAAATAAGAAAAGGGAAAACACCCATAAATATTACCTTAGATATCATCAATTCTCCTGTCAAAAGCTGAGGATCAGATATAATTTTCATTAACAAATTAATCCAAGCTTGTGTACTCAATGCATTGCACATATCAGAAGTGCAAGCTATTGCTTGGATAAAATTCAAAGAAGCCCATGTTTTATGTTGCTCCATTGAAAGAGAATATGACATATTTCTTTGACCTGCAAGAAGGAAAAATATAGTAAAAATGAAAGTGCTCAAAGTATTAGGCCATTCTAGAGTTAGAAAAGAATAACCATATTAAGATAATTTTATTTTAGCAAGGCAATGGAACAAACCAAAATTTTTAAAAAGTTTCGTTATTTGTACAGCAAGTGAAGTGTAAGATTTCATTATTCTAAAGCAATAAATATAAAACCAAAATGTGGTTGCACAATAAGGTCGAGTTTTTTTCAAGTGTGCACACCAGAATTTTTAAGTTAAAATAGAAAACAGTTATATTTCAAATATTATGTACAAAAATATGCAGAATTTATAATTTTTTTTTCTTTGAATTTTTCAAAAATCAGAATAGTTTTGCACCATATTATTTACACCAAAAATCATTTCTTTAAATACAAACTTCATTCCCAAAAGAAACTCTGGAAAATTGCTTATAAAATTGCTGTGCAATGAAATGAACCAATCTGACTTAATTCAGTAAAGCATTTGAAGATGGAGTTCAAATTTTAAGTTAATTGTTGAAAATCCAACAAGTTGTGATTTTGATAAACTTGAAAAATGCAGTTTAGAGAAGGTTTTGAAGTTTTCTGGAAGTACATAATGAACCGTGTGGGTCTGCGTAAAATCTTATCATTCGGGCATTTAAATATATTTTTTGCTCTTACGACTTGGCTTAAATATTTGCTCTTAAACATTTTAAAACTTTGAGATATCTTTCCAAACAACTCTTAAAAATAATTATTTCAGAAACTAAGAGTGACGAAGCCCTTTAAGTTTATATTAAAGGAAATTATACAGTAAATATGCAATTAATTCTTCACAGGTTTCACTAATTGGTTTAAATTTTAACTTTGGTGCAAATCGAGTATAGAACATTATTGAGATTTTTCGCCTTATGTAATGTCTAATTAGTAAATTTTAATGGGGCCTTGTATCAACGAACCCGTTAAACTCGGGACTATTTACTCCGAATTTACAGTGCTGGGTTTTCAAAAAGCAGGGAACGGGCGAAATGACACGGGATCCTCAATGAATAATTAATGAATTTAAAGGGAGAAAAGCCAAGTTACTCTAAGACAGAACATACTATTTTATTTTGTAGAAAATGCTACTTATTAAAATCAACTTCTGTTTGCAAACTTTTTTTACCTTGGTTGTTATCATCATAAATAGAGTTTAAAATCTCTTTCAGAAGACCAGATAGAGAATTTAGGCAAAACTTTGGTACTTGATCAGCATAGAGACTCAGGTGGGCAGAAATGTATTTTGAAAGCAGAATACAAAGGTTCTTTAGAATTGCAGTAGGTGGGCAAGAGCAGGTTCGACAAACTAAAAGGAAAGTATATTTATGCACGTGAAATGCAACAATTCATGCACTGATAAATAAAAGACGTTTATCCTTTCATGTAAAAGAACATATTTTAAAGCAAAAAGTTCAGAGCACAGACATATAAACTTTTCTAACTATAAATTAAAATACCTTCAAATTTAAATGAAACAAGAAAAGATCTTAGGCACCAAAGAGCGTTCCTTGCTATTAATTGAGTATTTCAGTAAAAGTTCCAATAAATAAAGAATTTGAACATTAATGTTTGTTTTACAAATAAGGCAAAATGAAGATTAATATGATCATTATTTGGATCGAACATCAACATTATTTTTTTAAGTACATTAAAATGTAATTCCCTATTTCAGTTATTTCTGTGTTTAGCGTGGCTTAGTTTCATACTCCAGTTTTTCCATATCTTTATCTGTATGTGCATCTTCTATCAACTTTCTTTTCTTCCTTTACTTATCTCTAACAACGCATATAAACAATTCCATTATGAAGTACTTTACTATTAATCTCTACAGACCTAAAATCCAAAAATGCACAGAAACATCAACTCCTTATTCATAAGCAAAATTGAAAAATTTCTCTCTTTACAAGTTCCTACACACGACACGTTCGACACAATTATACAACCACTTAAGAATTTGTCTCCCTGACATATTATAAATCAATAGATTAAAAACTTGTTGACTAAATTGGTATAACAGATTGTTTCTATTACATGAGAGTCTATATTTTCAATTCATTTCCAATCTTCATTCCAAGTCATCACAGTATTTAAAATTATATTTAATACATGTATATAACATATAATTTAATATGCACAAAAATGTACTTTGTATGGAACCCATACTTAAGAAATACCCATACTTCTGCATGGAAATAGTTTCCTCCTCTTCAATTCAAGTCAAATATTGTGCTTTAATTAATTAATATATTTTTTGTACATATTGGCCTACGTAACAAGTCAGTGTAAAGGTAGATAATACAAATATAAATTTTAAGTTAAAAAGATTTGATTACAAAACTATAAGAAAGAAAAACTTTTGTTCTGTACTGCAAATCATATAAAAAACGAATAAAAAAGTTCGAGAGCACAATATTAGATCACAGACATCTCCAGTTAATGCTATGAATAAAAAATACTAGAAAATTACTAACAATAATTTTTGTTCTCTTCAAATTTTTTTTTCATAGAAAATAAATTTGTTTAGAAGGCAGAAAGGAATAAATATTGCATGCATTACCATCTCCTTCAATAGAGAGGGGTTTTGTTTCCTCTTGAGAAGGAGGAGGAGAATCAGCCAATTTCAGATCAAATTTTCCTTCTTTTCCCATTCTGTAAGAATTGGTTGTGCCAGTATCCCATTGCACTCTGATCCAACCATCATCCCCCAGTTCTCCAATCACAGTGCCAATACCCGGGGGAGGTCCATCCTAATTGAATAAATGGAATTATTATTTAATGATTGAAAAATGAACAAAACATACATGTGTTTAAAAGGGACAGTTCAATTCAGAGCTGTATAGATGGAGGGAAAAAATGTACGACTTAGACTCAAGGTCTGAGACTATATTGACAAAGAGCTGGATTCTGATTAATATCCTATTATAATGTTCACTAAATCCTAGGCAAGTGTCAAATAATAATTTATAATAATCAATTTTCTAAGCTCATTCAAACCAATATAGGCTCATAAATGTGCAAATAAAATGAAATTAATTCTGCGATAAGTAACAATTTAAATAATTGTCATATTTATTTGAGTAAAATTTTTGTTTAAATAATTATGAATACCTGTCTCAACACCTAATCGATGAAAGACTTATTGATTTAGTAAATGTTGACATTAGGACCTTATTTTAACTGGAGTCAGGGTTCGGAAAATTGTTCCAAACTCCCTGCTCCAATTTCACAGTCTTGGTTCACATATTACATGAAATACATGGGAGGATAGAAGTGATGCTTGTTATTGTTAACAAAAAGGCTCACAATGTGATTAAAGAAGATTTTAAAATGCTTCAAAACAGGTATCTTTAAATTTAATTTATATTAAAAAATCATGAAAAATAGTTCACATTATCAGTTTAAGAATGTCATTACCATAGCAAATGATTAGATAAATTTTTCAAAATACCTATTCGCATTAAAACAAAAGTGGAAATCATCAGTCCTTTGTCTTTCAAAGTTGAAATAAATTTTCTGTGGCATTTATTGATGCACAGGCACAACCCAGCAGCGCTCAGGGGCCCCCAGGCACTAAGAGGGTCAATGAGAATCCAACTTTTTATAAATTGTGTTTTTAAAAAAAACTAAGACTTAAAATACACATCAGCTTATAAATTTTTTTAAAAATAAAGTGTGTATTTTGTTGTTCTTTCTACAAATAGTAATTGGTTACCATATAAACACAAATTAGGAATAGATTATCAGGAACACTTAAAAAGTTGCCTGAAGTCTAATTTTTTTGCATTTAATTTAATTTTTAGGTACTAAACTCTCGTTTCCTTTTCAATTTGCTCCAGTCATATCCCACTTTGATTGTCCTTGCTCATAAAAACATAGCTAATTTTAAAATATATGAAGAAACTGAAATCTAGTTTACATTAAAAGAAATCACAAGAGGATTTACATATTTGAGGTTTAACTACATTATTAAAGAAAAAAATGTGTTCAGTCTTCGTTTTTTTCTTATTTTGTAAATATACATAATTTGCTGAATTTGGCCTTTTTATAGTTAAGATAAATTATTATTGTTTTCATTACACTATGCAAATAAGATAACGACATTTGTGTTATTAAAAGAGTAAAGATAGATCACTTGATTATCCCACTGCCAGTCGTCTCCTTTAACAACTCGAGTTCCAACCTTCATGACAGCAGCTAATTCAGGTCCTCTTAAAGGAGCTTGAAGAGGATTTTTGTCATAGATTTCTTCCAGAATAATGAATTGTTTGATGCTTCCTTTTGTTTGTTCAGCACTCACTGTTGGACCTTAAAAAAGAAAGAAAAAAAAACAGACAAAATTATTAAGAATAATAAAATAGGCCGAAAGAACAGCAAAATTTTGTCAAACCCTTTCTACTTTTATTATAAAATACTAAATTTTGTAAGGGCATATTATTTCATTTTAGATACTAGCATATTATTACAAAATTAAATAATGACAATTTGAATTTTTTAGTCTAAAAAATTAAAAGAAAAGTAAATAATTAAATTTTTTCAGTTTAATTTCTAACTGTGAATTAAATAATAAAAATTACATAGAGTTATTTTCACTATCAAAATTAGAAATAGTGAGGGATTAAAAATTGTTTTTGAGAAAAATTAAGTACATATACTGCATTTAATTTATACTTAATATTATCATTTCAACCAATCTATCAAATTGCAAAAGTTATGTTATTTTTCATTTCAAAATTTTTCTGAAAAATACTTCATTGTTAAGAGATTAAAACAATTTTTTTACAATTTTATATTGTAACAACTTAAATTTTCTTTTTATATATATTGTAACTTGTTACAATACACAAAAACAATGCTTTATTCAAAAAAATACATATATTTTAAATTTTAAAAAATATAATAAAATTCTAATATTTACCTATGATACGAAGAAGAGTTTGAACAAGTGCAAATACACCAGAACTTGATATGAGTCCAACTTGTAAAGAAGAAAGATTTCCAAACAGGACAGAAATATAAATAGATATGAAANTTAAGAATTAAAAAATAAAAACTACATGGAGTTATTTTTACTATCAAAATTAGAAATTGTGAGGGATTAAAAACTGTTTTTGAGAAAAATTAAGTACATATACTGCATTTCATTTATACTTAATATTATCATTTCAACCAATTTATCATATGCAAAAGTAATGTTATTTTTCATTTCAAAATTTTTCTGAAAAATACTTCATTGTGAAGAGATTAAAACACTTTTTTACATTTTTATATTGTAACAACTTAATTTTTTTTTTTATATTCTAATTTGTAACAATATGCAGAAAAACAATGTTATATTCAGAAAAATACATATATTTTAAATTTAAAAAAAATATCGAATTCTAATACTTACCTATGATACGAAGAAGAGTTTGAACAAGTGCAAATACACCAGAACTTGATATGAGTCCAACTTGTAAAGAAGAAAGATTTCCAAACAGGACAGAAATATAAATAGATATGAAACGAATTAAAGGTGAAAGATTTGAGTCTATGCTTTTATCATTTATCTCTTTAATTTGGTTTAAAATTGAAGTTTGATGTTTTGCACCAGCTTTCTCTTGGTTCTTCTTTTCCTTCGATGACAATTGAGAATTTAGCATTTCCATTTGGAAAACACAAGATCGTAGACTGATTATGACCCACGACAAAAATTCACTTTGTTGGGATTGAAGAACAGCTTTATAATATGGAGATATACAGTTAAGGTTTTCCAAGCAATGAGGTATAGGGTGACTAGGAAGAAAATACATAGATAATTAAACAATAAAGTAGGAAGTGAACAAAAAGACTCATATAAAGATTTATTTAAAAGTAAAATTTAAAAAATTTTTTTTTGATTATTTGTAAGACATTTTATTAGAAAAAAAAGTTTGCAAACTCGGATAACTTCTTTATCATTTGTTTACCTGAATGTTATCAGAAAATATAAAGAAATGAGATCAATCGGTTCCTAACAAACTTAAGAATTCACAATATTTTTAAAGTTGTTGTCACATCTTTTTATTTACTTATCACTGAAATTTGCACTCACTTTTAAGTGTTTTCTTCTGATAAAAATAAATTATTTCCTGTTCCTTATAGTATTCCTTTTTATTTTACTAATATGTCAGGTAGTTAGTTTTTTATTCCTGGCTCATTTAACTTTTTTTAAAGTTATTTATTGCCTAAATTTCAAATGGTTTATTTACATTTATCTCAAGAAATCTACTTAATACGCAATATTTCATATATTTTTGGATCTATTAAAGTTTTTTTCCTTCTAAATTGGGTTAAATTGCTGAAATGATTAATTTCTGTAGTAGAAAAGTTTATGGGAGTTTGTTTAGAAAGTTTAAACTCTAAATCTTTTAATGTGATTTAATTTAAGCATAAACATAAAAAATAAAAAGTATCCCAAATATTTTTAAAATTTTGTATATACTCATATTATATACTCATGGTATATTTTCTTTTCTTTACATAGTTTGAAACCGAGATTCAAATTGTTCAAGATCCTTAGGTTTTGCTAGAAAATTTTTTTAATTTGAAATGCGAAAACCTAGAGTTGCAGTCACAAATAACATCTTTGAAAAAGAAAATGCATTCTTTTCTTACACTTCAACAAATAGCAGTCTTAGGAGAGAATCCTCATTCTGTAGCTAATTGATATAAATAAAAGTCAATTAAGTACTTAAAACTACGATTTGCTTTGGGAAATCATGGTTATGAGTATTTAAAAAACTCTGGTTATCCTACTCCAGCTTATAGCACTTTGAGCAGAAGGATTTGAGGCATACAAATTAATTTTGAAATCTTAAGCAGTAAACTGGCTTCAAGCCAAAGTTCGTGCAATGGACGATTTAAACAAATACTGCTGCATTATTACTCTAGACAAATACGCATGTCTAAACGTCAATTTGTCTATGTGCTGCAATGTTTAAAGTAAAATTATAGTGCATTACTAAACAATAACATGCGTCAACATAAAAAAATCAGATGATAGAAAGGGTAGCTCATAAAAATTGTTTTAGTTCATAATCAGCAAAAAGTTAATAAATAAATGTTATAGAGTATGATGTTTATTTAAAAAATTAAAAAAATCATAAAACTCTAGTTTCTATTTAATAATAGGTAAAAATCTTAATTCATCTTTCTTTTTCATTTTTTAAAAAAAAATTTAATTTAATTGAAAACACTCATTTCAAAATAAATCTTGATTTTGAAACTAAATTTATTACTTCTCATGAATGTAGAACTTACATTTAGAATACTGCATTATAAATTTAATTATTTTGATCACAAAAACACACTTAAAAAATATTTCGGACCAAAACATCTTTTTTTTTTATTTTAATTTTGTTACAAACAAAACAAATTTGGAAAGAAATTGGAAAAACCCAGCTCTAACAGAAACATAAAATTTAGAGCCAAATTTTCTTTGAAATCATTGTTAAAAAAGATTGAAGTAATGTGGCTACATGTGGCACATACACAATTTTTAATTTAAAACTTTCAACCAACAATAAATTTTGCAAAAGTATAAAAAAAAGTTCCCAAAAAACAATGTAGTACACAAATACACTTTTCTTTACTGATTATCCTAGTTGAGGATCGCATTGCTTGCAGCAATAAGTTGTTAAAGCTTGTAGCTTTTTTGCATGGGTAGAAATGCCTTTGTTTCAAAATGACGGACAAGTCGGCTCCTAAATGATGGACTCTTGTCGTCCTCCAAAATGACAAGGAGGACTGAAGTACCCTAAACCAAGGGCTCTAGGGCACTTCAGTCCTCTTTTACAAGATTATCAGCCCATTTGTTTTGATAATTTATATAGTAAACCCTCACATAATGACAGAAGGTGAATAAGAACTACCTCAACAATTTTATGTAATAGTACCTAAAATAGCTAAGTTGTTTTACACATCACAGAAAAACATGAATTATAATTTTTCCACAATTTTTCCAAGTGCAAGAAGCCCCAATTTCTTATCAGTTTTTAGCAGTAGAAAATTTCAATAATGTTCAAGATTGTCAAGTAGTTATCTGAAAACAAACTAGCAAATTTAATTAAAATAAATAAATTGTATTTTAATTAATATTTATTGAATGTGGGGTTTAATGGCCAAAAAAGGACATGTTGAATCATAGCAACAAAATGGCAAAAGGCAATGAAGTGAAAATTTTTCTATAAAGAATGATAATAAGGATTAAGATTTCTTAATTAAAATAAATTACTTATATAATACCACATGTTCTTATATACTTGAAGAGGATATCAGGATAATATCAGACTGATTCTCAAAATGTAGATGAACAAGTTCAAGTTTTATGTTATGTTGTGTATTCACACACCGTCAAGTTATTTCAATATTTCTTCTGCTTCATTTCAGAAAAACTATGCTACAAAAAAAACTGCCATTTCCAATCTTTTCATCGATTGTTGCATATTTATTGCTTCTGAATCCACTCCCAGATAAGATTCAAGATATCAACGTCCTACTAGCATTTTCATTAAATTTAAAATCAAGACAAGGAACACTACAAAATATACACACTGCTTCTAGATTTGTCAGACAATCGAGAGCTACAGCTAGCAATCTTAAATTTCTCTTTGCAAGTGAGGAAACACCTAATCCATACATGATGCAAAAGGAAATATGATCTAAAAGGCAGTTAGGTTTAAATTAACACAATTTAGCGTTTCTTTTTTAGATTACAATAAAACTCCATTAAGTAATCAAAATCAAACTTTTCTGTTTGATGCATTTAAGGGTTGTTTGCTGTAAGAGGTAAATTTACATCGGAATTATGAAAATTCTGTAGTTTTCAAATGTATTGCATTACTTGTTTTAAGAAGTCAATATGGATTTTAATGCATATACCTTTTGATTTTCTAATTGCTTTAATGCGTGTTAATGCCTTTTTTGTGCTTTTGCTAGTTTCCTCTTCTTGGACAAAAACTTTACTTCAGCTAAGCTACATAACACAGCTTAGCTAACTTATTTCTTCCCGAAATTATTGCAAGTAGAATTTCGTCATGATATTCTCATCAACCACATTTATCTCTAGAGTTACTTTTCAATCTTAAATCTGAATTTTGCTGCACTAATACAAAATTTATAACATTATGTAATAATAATAATTTTAGTTCAATTAACTAATAAGAAAAATTACAATTATGCTGACCTTTTTTCAAAACCAATAACATTGAGTTCCAACAATCCACTTAATAGAGAATACTTCATGGAAGCAGTTTGATTATCATCTTTCAATAAGAAAAATAATGACTTGAAACCTTCTTGACGAACTTTAGCTCTTTTAATCTAGAAAACGAAAATAAAATATATAAGAAAGAAATTGTAAGCATTAAAACACAAATAAAAATTCCATCTTTCAAACCTACTTATTCTCCTTTACATGCACATTAAAATTTTTACATATTTTGAATAGTTCCAATTGTATGCTGCCCAACTATAATTTTTTATTTATTTACAATGATTGAGTTGAATGTTATAATCTGGTGTTGTCTACCAACACTTCATTTTCTATGAAAAATATCATAAAGGAGACAAGATGCATAGACTATACAGAAAGATTCTTTTTTTTTTTTAATCAAGAGTTCCATTTTAGTCTTCAAAGATTTGAGATATCAAGAACATACTATGATATTTTTGAATTTTAAAATCAAGAAAACAAAAGACATAATAAAATATACACTATGCCTTTAGATTTGCTACAAAATGCCAGACATAGTCAAGATTTCATTTTTGAGAGAATTCTAAGTATCACACTAATGTGGCATAGTTAAAAAAATATATAGTTCTCAAAACAAAAAATTATTATTAAAATTAAAAAAACTATTGAATATTGCTCTCCCATTGCTTCTTATCAAAATTTTATTTCAGATGGAGTTCAAAGCATACCTAAAATAATTAATTAATAGCATAAAATTTATAATTAAAATAAAACATTAAGATAGAATCTCCCAACTTGTAACTCTAAATTGTAACTTTTTAATGGTAATATTTACAATTATTTTTCATAATTTAAATTATCAGAAAAATTTTAAAGAATTACAAAATATGCATAAATATATGCAGTAATTTGCATTTTCTGCCAAGACAAATTTATTAATTGCTCAAATTTTACCTAATTTAATCAAAGAAACTATGAAATAAATATTTTGCAATAATGCATATAATTTTATGACAATTGGATAGTCAAATTTTTTTAACAGTTGATAATTGAGGAAGCACTTATCAAGTATAACATTCCAAAGACTTCAAATTTGATATTGATTTAACATTTGATAAATAAAATAATTTAATTATGTTAAAAAGAGTTTAAAAAAAAGCTTTTATTATTTCTTTTAGAAATTTTTTTTAATCAAACATTCTAGTTTAAGAAGAAGGGTATAATTTCTTACCTGTGAATAAAGAGCAGACCTTAATTCTTTTAGATCAATAGTATTATCAAAAAGAAAATCAACTAGTTCATTTGCAAGTTTTTCAATTCGGTCCATATTGTTGGAACAAGAAAGTCCCTAAAATTTAAAAAAGAAAAAAAATGTAAAAAAAAAAAAAGAATTATGTTTCTATCCTTAGAAAACAATTTTCAGGACATCAGAATAAATTGAATTTAATCTTATGATTGAATTGTAAATTCCCTATTCTCTCCTCCTAAAATCGCTAAAATTGTTTACATGAGAAATAAACACATAAAAATGTGATGGAAAATAAAATTTCCAAACAGATAATTCTAGAATAGAAAGAATATTTAATAAATAAATAAATAAAAAATTATCTTTATAGAGCATTAAAATTCTTTTATGAATCTAAGCAAAAAGCAAGCTTATGAATGAAAATCATATGAATTTGTTTAAATGCATAATTGATTGAGCAATATTACATAATTCCTAATATTTCATTTCATTTGATGCTGAAATAATGCATGACTAAACAAAATTAATTAAATAATTTTGAATTAACAAAAACTATAACAAAGCAATATAATAATCAACACATTAATTAAGTGAAAAATTTAAATAATCATACAGATTCAAAGACAATTCCTTACATTTGAATTTCAAAAATAAAGATGAAGGATTCTTTTAATATAAAAATATTATCTCAAAAATTATTTATAGATTGAAGTTAATTTCGGAATAAAAGCATGATCCATAATAAAATTTTAAAAAAATAAAACAGCTGGAAGTTAATGTAGTAGAAAATTAAGTTAGAATAAAGTATAAATCTAATTATAATTTGTATAAGTATAATTTTGTAGCTCCAGCTACTATTTAACTATATTAGAATAATAATAACGTTATGAAATAATAAATATTGATATAAGAAACTGAAGACAAAATTCAAGACCTATTTGAAATTACAATAAAATAAGGAGTACAGATCATTTGATTTTAAGACAATATTGTAGTTTAATAAAAAGAAACTCACTTTAGAATGTAATTCATTGACCTGCTTGAATTTGCTTTCTAGTTTTTCTAAGAAATGATTAACACTGTCCGATGCTTCTTTGGTAACTGTAATAAAGAGATTAAAAAAAAAATTTATTTCCAAAATTTTTTTGTGTTAACTTACCAGAACACAAACTAAAGAAAGTTCACGAACTCACTTTTTGATCGCCTTCGATTCTTAATTAGGGAATGAACTATTTGTTTCCACTTTATCCCAACAGAATAATTTTTAAACTTAGAAACAGCAAGAACTTCATAACTCATTGCAGGTCGGATTTCACTAATTAAAAATCTGCATCTTCTATAAATGTCTATGCAAACCTCTTTATAGGATGCATTATTATCTTGACGCATCTAGAAAGAAAAGATGAAAATCAGTTATAATTACTATAAAAAATATAACGTTAAATTTTCAATTATTTGCAAGAATGTAAAATAATTTCAATTTTCAGCTACAGTATCTAAAAAACATCGATAAATTAATAAAATTAATAACAGTTTCTACTATTCAGAAATAAAATATTTAATTTTAATTTATTACAAAATTTAAATTAATTTGATTTTCCAGTTACATTATCTATAAAGCATTTGAAAAAAAATATTAAAATCATTACACATTACTGTCCATAAAATGCAATGTTTGATTTCAATTTAAGAATATAGATCAAAGAATATAGATCTTTTAATCATATAATATTTAATTTTAATTTGTTGCAGAAGTATAAATTAATTTGATTTTTCAGCTATAGTAACTATTAAGAATCTGTAAAGAAAATATTAAAATCAGTGACAACTACTTTTATCCATAAATGCAATATTAAAGTTCAATTTGTTGCAAGAATATAGATATTTTTAGCAATAGTAAATTGCAAATGACGGTACCAAATTCACCAAAAAATGTAAAGAATATAAAACTATAATTTACAACTTTCTAACTGGAACAAAAAAAAGTCTAATTTCATAAAAAAAAGAATTGTAAAAAAAACATGATAATGATGATGAAAACATGATAGTGAATGATAATTATGAAATTGATTGAATTTTGATCATGGATCTTTTAAACATATGTACTTAAATAAAAACAAATTAAAGATATGAGTAAAATTTTTAAAAAAATAATAATTTTACTGGAAAACAAGCTTCCTAATAGCATTAATTTTTTTTTCAATTTAACTAATTCAAAATGCATCAAAAATTGCTTTTCATAAAAAAGTTACTTTATTTTTTAAATTTTTTTAGTAAGAATAATGAATGTAATTCATGTAAAATAGCATTTTTTTTTAAATTGCATAATCTTGTTTCTCATTATTGGAAATAAATTTCCCTGACATTTAGCACAATAAGATGCAATAGTTTTACATCAATAAAGCTACTAATGTTTTACATAAAGATCAATAGAAATTAATAAACTTTTTCAAAATTTTTCAATATAATTGTAAAAATACTTATAAAAGAAACTAAAAATGAAATAAACATATTCAGAAACAAAAATTCAGCCCAATTTTAAGATAAAATTACTGCAATAATATAAATTAGTTTGATTTTTCAGGTACAGTAAATTGCAAATGGTCATACAGAAGAATATACAGAAGGACCATTAAGATAAAAGATTTTCAACTTTTTAACTAGGCTTTTTCTAAATCAGGATTAATCAGAATTTTTTTATTTACAGAAGAAAATAGAAAGGAAAATAAAAATTATGGAAACTTAATGCATACTTTAATTATTCTATATTTTAGCTGATAGCACTTCCTCAAAACAAGTTGTAGCTCAGGAGGTAAGTCAGTAGAGTCCTTTTCAGAAAGTGACAGACAGACATCGACAATATTCAAATGTTTCAACAATAATGCAGTAACAAGGCTAAATAAAAATAAGTTTTGCACTCATTAAAAAAAACAATCAGAAAAATATAAGACAAAAGAGAAACTATAACACTGTCAGATTTTAATGTCTGTATACTTCTTACATAATTTACATGCTCATTTACAATTACACATGTATTAAAATTTTTTAAATCATTAGATCAGATTTTTCTGTACTAATATTGATAAAATATAATTAATAAAATCCTGAAATCTTATAAGGAAAAAAAAATTTTTTTTCCTCATAAGATTTCAGGATTTTTCTTTCTTTTTTGAAAGATGTTTACTTTACCATCATTTTAGAAATAATCATTAGTGTATTACTTCATCGTTTTTTCTTCTTTTTTAGATTATTTCTAAATATTTTTTTATTTTTAGTTGGGTTTAACAATAAAAAAAACGGCTTTTTGTAGCGATTCAGAAAACCGGAAAAATCAGTTATCCGGAATAGCGATGGTCCCCTACTGTACTTCTTTAAAAAATAGCAAAAATTTCGTTAGCTTTTATTGAATTGAAGAGAAAGAAAACAAAATAGAACAATTACGTACCGAGATATTTCCTCCAGTGGGTGATCAATAGGGAAATTTTGATGGAAATGGTAACACTTTTCTTTATAAAATTCCTGGGATAAATAGAAGAATTTTTTAACATGGGGATCACTTAGCCTGCTTTCCTCGATATTTCGAAGAAACTGCATTTGGCGATCAAAAGACGAAACTAAATCATTAGGTTTTTCTTTCACATTAGTTTCTTTAGAACTTGACTCTAAAAAATAAAAAGCATAAGGTAAAAAGTACAAGATAGAATAAATTCAGTTTGTTTATTTTTTCACCAAAATCATAATTAAGAAACTTACAATATATAAACACTTTAAAGTATTTCTCTTTGCAATAAGATATTAGTTTATAATTTAAGAATAATAAGGTATCTACTAGATTAGATATCCATCAGCATGGAAAGGTCACAATAAAAAACTGTCAACGTTCAAACATATTTCGGTTTGTCTCTAAGGAAACAAGTTATTCCCATTTATGGCAGTAGTGATGGGTAGCACAAACGGTAATTGGTGCTGAAACAAAACTGTTACAGATTGAAGATTACAAAATGAAGTAATATTTTTACTGCAAGTCTCCTCTATAACTATTTTTACCTACTTTCTATGGTCCTGTTTCATTATATCAGTGATTAGGGCGATGTTACAAAATTGGAATTTTGATGTAGCTTCACTCTAACATCACGATTTTTCGATATAATGTGATGTTCGGTTACATTCATGTTTAACATTTGTTATCGCTTAATTTCGAATTCATGCACTTTTTGATCAGTTATCAACAATAAATTGTACTTTTGTTTTGAAAATAACACATTGAAAATAAAAAAAGGCTGAACAACTTGAACAGGAGGAGAGGGTACAGCAGAAATTAACTTCCGACAGCCTATCTCATTACATAAGTAATAAAAAATATAATATCAAAATTAAAATGCACATTGAGCCAGCACTTATAAAAATATTGATAAGCAGAAAAATAAAAAATTTGCTGATGGATTGAGAAAGATTGAAAATTTAGAAACAGCTAACGCCAAAAGGCACTTAACTTCTGAGTCACCCTCCATCTTAAATTTAGTTCATTACTATCAATTTTCTTTTATTAAAAGAATGCATTACAAAGTAAAACGGATTGTTAAATAAAAATAAAATAATAAATAAACATTACATTTCTAATATTTTCTAGCAATTATTATTATTTCTCAAAAATTGAAGATGTACACCGAAGAGCCATTACATTATGACCACCCTGATAATAACATGTAGGACCACCTTTAGCCCTAAAACATGGCATTGATTCCACAAGGTGCTGATAGGTAGTCTGAGGTATCTGGTACCAAGCGCTCACCAACTGGTCCTGCAATTCCCTCACATTGCGAGGGGGTAGCGTGGCAGCACGAATTTGGTTTTCCAAGTAGGACCCCAAATACTCTATTAAATTAAGGTCAGGTGAATTTGGGGGTCAAGACATGACTTGAAAGTCACTGGAATGTTCCTCGAACCAATCCATGACGATTCGACCCATATGACATGAAGCATTATCCTGTTGCAAAACACCGTCCCCCGCAGGCAAAACTGTAGCCATGAATGGGTGAACCTGGTCTGCAACTATGCTCAAGTAGCTTACAGGCGTCAGGGATTGTTTCATGAGGAATATGGGTCCTAATGTGCCCCATGAAAACATTGTTCCTGGACGAGAAACCATGAAAACCTGTGCGAGCCCATTGTTATAGATGAAGGGTGGTCATAACGTAATGGCTGTTCGGTGTAGATGTCTTTGCATTAATAGCAGTGAAAATCGATAAATGGCTGGATTGATTGTAAAAAAAAGCAACATCAAAGGATTTGCACAATTAAAAGAAGGCGCATTTCCTTAACTAAGAGATTCAACAACACTTTGATTCTCCATCACATCAGAATTTATCATGTCAGCAAAAACATGAGTTACCATAGCAGAAACACGGGGAAAGACAGCGACCTTTGCCACAGCCATCACTGTTCATCTATGATCGGAGAAAAATACTCTTCACGCTAGCTAGGGGTCATTAATGTCATGATCGGGAGAAATGCTGTTCATGAAACCATCTATGTACAATTGGGTTCACTATTCTCCTCATCCCGCATATAGACATCGATGTCAACAATGCATAGAAATTTCTGATGCCTCGAAAAATTGCGGATACAAACATCGTATCAACGATGATTGCATAAAATCAGTATTTTCCCATGCATCGCCCAGTCCTATCGGTTATTTTGCACCAATGGAAAAATTTGCCCTCCATCCTACTTGCCATAAAATGGAAAAACCTGTTATCGTAGAAACCGATATTATTTGTCTGGTGGCAGGGGTTTTCCTTCTGATGGTAAGTCAATATTAGGATACATTGTTTACTTAACAACATATCACTTCACTGATAATTCAAGACTTCACTGTACTAGACTTCACTTTACCAAAGCTAGGCAACAGAATTTTCTTTGATAAAATCTGGCTGAATGATGGATATTGATCCCTTATTTTCTAGAGATAAATCTTGCAATATATATTTATGGTAATGATGTACAAGATATTGATAGACTAGGTTTTCTTAATTATGGAAAAGTTATGGAAAATTTTTTAAAAATTATATAATCACAGTTGAAATTAGCTGGACCATATTGCAAAATTGAAAATTAGTCTATGAGGGTAATGTAAGCTATCATCCTATTAATGTTATATAAACTACACGCTGCAATTCAGAATAATAGTTAAAATAACATGTTTTAATTAAATAATTATCTTTCGTTTCAGATGCAATGAAATAAAAAAATGAAAAACAAGTGGAATTTTAGTTTTAATTTGAAGAAAAAAAATGAAACTGAGCCGGTGAATGCTGTATATGTAATTTTACCTGAATGGTGAAAGAAATATAACGAAGCAACTATTTTAAGAACATTATAATGCATACCTATTGGTTTAATAGTAGGTAAATTACAGTCTTTGTTTAAATCTTGCCCAGTTAAGAGGCCACCTTGCATCAAAGTTGAGGTCATCCATTTCCAGTATTTTTTCTCACATTGTTTAATATCGCAGCTGATGATCGAATTTCTCACACCAAGTCCAAGGAGATAGCTCAGATTCCTTTCAACATCAACCAACCTTCCAGAGAAGTTCCAGCATCCCATTTTTTGGAAAGTTTTAGAATTATACTGAAAATATTAAAAGAGGAATTAAAAATATGCATGAATAGACAAAAACATAAAAGATCTTTTTATTTACAGTTCCTGTAAAATAAATACATTTACAGCACTACAAAATGAATAACCATCACGAAAGAACAAATTGGTGGCTAAAATAATGAGATAAAAAAGTCTAATGGGAATAAAAAATGATGGAAAACCAATTTACTGAGAAAATTCTACACATTATGAGCATTAATATTAAAAAAAAGTGTACAAAGAAGGTGCAATAAAAAATTAATAAGAATTGAATTTCATACATCACAGTATTTTCCAATACATTTTCCCTCTAAGAGCAATTTTTGTGAATCAGTTAGATCAGCTTTCTTAATAACCTCAGTAATATCAATACCTAAGAGAGAATAAATATATTTATTAAAGAAACACATTAAAGCATTATTCTATTTAAATGGCATTTTATACAAATCCCATAACTTATTACAGATATTTTTCACAAAGCATGTGTTAGTAATGCATAAAATTTGATAAACTTATTTCTTTTTGTATTAAGTTTTATATTTATTTATATGATAAATAAATGTATAACTTATATCATTTATGTTGAACTGTTTTTTAAAAACAATTGTAAATATCACATTTCAATGTTTAAAATAAGAGTTAAAGACTTACTTAAACAAAAACAAACAAAAAAAATACATAATAACAAACAAAAACATCATTATATAAAACTAATAAAATATAAACAAACTTGACTGCAGAACTTAAATTGAATTTTGCGATAAAATTTACAAAATTTTTAATTAAAATAATTGAAGTAAAGACAATCTTTACATTCATGCTTTGAAAAAAAAAAGAGAGAGATACATCTTAGAAAATTCTGTAAAATATTTGTCGATAAAGATGTGACTGGTTACAATATTTCATTTAAAAAAATAACAGAAACAAATGAGAAGAAAGGACAAAAACTGGTATTTTAAATTGGTAAATTCTTTTTATCCCAAAAAAAAGAAAGAGGGGAAAAAAACAAGAAAACTTTGATTTTTTTTTCACTTTAAATCTAATTGTATAAGATACTTTATAGGATACTTTTTACATAAAGTACGCCAAAAAAAAACGGATCACCTTGAATAACTTTTGATCTGATGATTGGATCATGATGTCCTAGGACTCAAATTTAATGGTTGGAGGAGGGGACCATGAATATACTAATTAATAAGTGGAGACGAAATTTTAAGCTACAAAAACAGACACAAAAACCAATCTGGGAAATATGGTCCCCATAGTTTGGTCTGGTGAGCGGTCCAAAGTTTGGATCTTTTAATGCTAATTTTACTTTTCGCTCATTTAGCCATATCTCAAGAACTTTTAAAGCAAATTGAAAAATTTTTGCACACAAATATAAAATTCGTTTTCCCAAAGATTATTCTACACAAAAAATAAATTTCAGTTAATATTTTTTACTATTTTATTTAATGATAGACGAAAAAAATTTGAATTGTAAGGTATACAATTTTTTACACCATTTTAAAGTATCTAGTTTTACATGGCAAAATACAAAACTTGACAGAAATCGGTTGTATAGTTTCTGAGACATCAAATTTTAAATATATGACTTTTTTAAAATCCCATTTCTCAGGAACTATTCAACCGATTTCGCTCAAATTTCGTATTTTGCCATGCAAAATTAGATAATTTAAAATGATGTAAAAATCTGTACACCTTAAAATTCAAAATTTTTTTGGTTATTATTAAATAAAACAATAAAAAATAATAAATATTTACTGAAATGTATTTTTTGCATGGAATTATGTTTGGCAAAGCAAATTTTATAATTGTGTGCAAAAATTCTTCAATTTGCTTCAAAATTCTCGAGATGTGGCGAATTACAAAAAAGCAAAATTAACATTAAGTAATCCAAACTTTGTACCACTCTCCTGACCAAACTATGGGAACCATATTTCCCAGATTTCGGTTACCAATATATTTTGGGTGTCCGAAAGTCGAATCAGCCAATCAAAAAAAGATATGTTTATTCAGAGAAAGTACATTTTTGTGTCTGATTTCGTAACTTAAATTATCGTCTGCATTATTAATTAGCATATTCAAGCCCAACCTCTTGAGTCATTTAGATTGAGTACTAGAACATGAAGATCCAATCATTAGCTCAAAAGTTATTCAGAGTGGTCTGTTTTTTTCTTTGATCCACTGAACATTGCACTTCAAAAGCACTCAGGTATCTTATGGTGGACTCTAAATTGATAACAGTTAAAAAAAATTAGTATGAAAAACAGTGAAAACTAAATTTTATTAAAAACTAAAACAAAATATAACATAAAAATTAACATTATAGTAAAACACATCCAATATACTACCTGAGAAATCCTTAAAATTGATGTTAGAATTAGGTAAGGAAAATTGTTGAAGGTCATAAACTTTTCCTTCTAAAACCCTCCAAAATCCACCACTTTTGTTGTGATTGTCAAGATCAGATTTAAAAATTAAGTCTTGTTCACCATTTGTTTCTTTTGTTTGTTGATATAGATATGTAGCTAAAAAGAGGTAAAAAAAATCTAAATAAATTTAACAATACTTATATGCAATGAATGAGTACAAACTTCAATTTTTTTTTTTTTTTTTTTTTTTTTTTTTTTTTTTTTTNTTTTTTTTTTTTTTTTTTTTTTTTTTTTTTGCCTACACATTTGAAAATTAATAATGTAAAAAAAAAGTTTTCAACGTTTTTTAAAAAATTGCACTGAATTGTAACTGCAAATACAATAAGCATAAGACGACATAGGAAAAAAAAAAGATTTTCAAATTTCTAAGCTGTAGATATAGTTATTTTGAATTAGTCAAAGAGGATTAATCTCTTATGTTTCAATTTCTGAATCATTCTTTCAAGGAACATTTTCAAAACTGACATGAACTCAAATCATTGCTTTGAAATTTATTGAACATAGCAGTGTTTTCACTACAGCGCGAGAACGCAAGAATCTCGCATATTTTTTTCTTTTCTCGCATTAAAAAATGATTACCGCGAGAAATTCGCGCATTCTATAAATCAATTTCAAAATTCGCGAATTTCTCGCATTTTGGAAAAAGCTTCGAATTACGTCATTTAGAATAAAATCCGTTTCACTTTTCTTCCTGGATCTTCATTATTTTCAACTCTTGCCCCGTTATCTAGCTTCCCTATTTACCAGTAGGTATTGTTCAGAACCTTTTCGAACAACAGAACACAACCCCTCCGAACCTCGGAACCCCTTTTAGAACACATTACTCTGCAACCACGTGTTTACTGTAGGTATGGTTTTTCATGTAAGACGTTCAAACTTTTTTATGCACTTATGTAAGATGGACAAATACCTTGTAAAGGCAAAATCTTCTAAAAAATATTCAATGCTTTAAAAAATAGAAGACGTTAAAAATGTATTATAATAAAAGTAATTTTTTTTCCAAGTCTATTTGTATTTTTTCAGTTTTTAGAAATCTCACTTAACTTTCTGAAATCTTACCCTGTTTTTGAGAAAGGGTGAGAAATTCTCACCCATTTTTTTTTTCTATGATGAAAACACTGATATGAACATGTGGTACTCTTCTAAATCTACAATGTTCAGTTGCAAGAAACTAATAAATTATTTTATATTAAGTAAAACTTCAAAATAAAGTCAATTAGATTAGAATAGTTTTATTTCATAGTAATTTCTCCGTTTTACAGTTCAGTTTTTTTACTATTAATTAACTCACTTTTCTAAACAAGCTAATAATAATTTTAATTTGAAACTTACATTAAAATATAATGAAAATTTATCTGGTGAATGTAAAATTTTATTAAATTGATATATTTTTGTATCAATTTAACATTGCAATTGTTATATTTTGTTACTTTTTTTCATTGAGTTCATTATTATTTCCTTAGACGCTGTGATATCAAGATTCGACAGTAAAGTATTTAATTTTAAAAAAAAATGAATTTTGTTTCCAGCAATTAAATAAATTATTATATACCAATCTCTAGACCAAAACTGACAAAAAATTTTGCTGAATCGAGTAATATCGCTTCACAGTTTCAAAATTACCATCATATAGTTCCCTCATACAATATGAAAAACATTCTCTATTATTATACCTTTCCTTAAAAAGTTTTAATAATTATAACAATTTTTTTAATAATTGAATTTTAATACTCAAAAGGCAATTTGAAAAAGCACTGGTTTTTAATTTGTAGTCAGAAAGCAGCCTTAGTCTCATGGAAGAGCACTCTTAAAAGTGCGCAGATAAAGGCACATTATAAAATGGACATAATTTTCAATACAGTACAGAACCCATTATCCGGAAATCAGAAAACCGGAAAACCAAAAAACCGAAACGAAATTCAATAATTTTCTCGCCATTTTTTTAAAAAAAAAATTTTTTTTTCCTCATAAGATTTTACGATTTTTCTTTCTTTTTTTATAGATGTTTACCTTACCATCATTTTGGAAATAATCGTTAGTGTATTACTTCATCGTTTTTTTTTATTTTTATGATTATTTCTAAATTTTTTTTTTTTTTTTTAGTTGGGTTTAACTATAAAAAAACGGCTTTTTGTAGCGATTCAGAAAACCGGAAAAATCAGTTATCCGGAATAGCGATGGTCCCGACCGTTCCGGATAATCGGTTCCCTACTGTATTAATAGAAATAATAATGAGCTTTAAGCAACTTACCAAACGTTTTCCCCATCAATAAATCAGCCACATTTTCTTTGTCTAATCCAGGAGCTAAACGGTTAAACTTCCCTAAATTACTATGCAATTGTGTAAGAATCGGCAGCAATAATGATTTCTGAATTAAATTTGGGTGTAGCAATTCCAGTTGAATTAAACAAATCAGCAACTCATGTAAAAGAACTCCTAAAAATGCATATACATTTTATAATATTATTGAAAATCAGACAAATGTATAAATGGATAATGCATAATGAAAATATTATTTAATATGGAAAATTAAAGACGATATCAATTTCAATAAAAATATTTTAACATTATTATCACTCAAGGGGCAAAATCATATTATAGTATTACTCTTCTGCAACTAGCTGTATGGTTTTAGGAAAACTTCTGATTGGTACAACAATGCGTTTTAATTTTGAATATAAAATTTTAAAAATAAATAAATAAACATAACTATAGAAGTACTAGAAGGTATTTAAGAATTCACAAGAAGGAGCATTAAGCAACTCTAAACCTAACAGTAACGTGCCACAATATTTTCCCCAGTGAGTGAGCATTATGGAAAATTCGTACTAAGAAGTTTTAATGGATTCACATAAGAGAGCATTATTAAAAAAAAACTACATTAAACATGAAGAAAACAAACTGAAAGAAGGCAGTTATGTACCCAGATATTTCCTCATGTGGGTGCCCAGTAAGGAAATTTTGATGAAACTGGTAAGGCATTACACAACACCAAATACTAACTTAACCATCTATTTCATTAAAGTGTCAACACAAGCTTTATTTTTTTGTATGTCTAATTTTGTAATAAGATGCAGACAACTTATCCAATAAATAAATGGCATATTTATGCTGTAGTATTAAAAAAGCAAAATAACAATATATAAGAGCACATTACCCAACATATATGAACAAAAATAATGTAGTTATCTGTTTTTATATGTAATTGTTCAACTATATTAAATGCAAACAACAAATTTTTTGAGCTTCAAGATATGTTGACTTGCTTGCATTGAAATATCCTAACAGGAAACTTTAATTTTCTATGTCCATTTCTTTCTTTTTTTTAAAAAAAGTATCTAAAGGCTTCAAATTGATATGTGAGTCCTATGGGGGTCCATTGGTTCTAATATCTGAGTACAAGCTTAATAAGTTTAACAAAATAAGTAATTTTGACACCTAAGATCAAAAAATGAATCCTTTGCAGATGCAGAAGGGGAGACGTCAATAAATTTGCGACAAATGCAGGAAGAATTTGAAGAAATGTATGGAGTCTTTAAAAAACAATTTAGTTACCCCTTAAAGTTATGAGAATAGTTTAAGAGCAAAGAAAACTTATTACCAAGTCAATTAAAACCAAGAGATTTGAAAAGGAGATTAGAAGTACTAACATATTATAACCTGCCCCACATGTTGCATTTTCCAGGCATTGCTTCGTTCAATTACCACTCAATTAGATCTAAGATTCATAAGCTATATGAGCAGAACTTTGGCTTTTAGGCTAAATAGACAAACTGAGTCAATAATAAAATCACCTTAAAAGACTAACGGATTTACAACATGGAATNTAAGTACTTTTTACAAACGCTACACACCCTGTATATGAGCAGAACTTTGGCTTTTAGGCTAAATAGACAAACTGAGTCAATAATAAAATCACCTTAAAAGACTAACAGATTTACAACATGGAATTTATATGAGACCAGAAAAATCTGGGAAAACCAATGAATTTGCTATTAATTTATCAGTTAAGATTTTTGATAATGAATGTACCTTTCTTTTGGCACAATAAAGAGTCCATTTTCAGAAAAATCATTTCAAACTTATTCACAATACAACATAATACAAATATTTCTTAAACTTCCTATGTGTTTGTTTACTTAATATACAAGTTTAATAAAACATTTTATTCAATAAATGCATAAGCTAACTATTGTGCAATTTATAGTTCTATTTTAAGGTTATGACTATGAAAATAAACATATTGGAGCAGTAAAACTGCTTAGTTAAAACAATCCCTTATAAAAATTGAGCTAAAAAATAAGTTTTTTGTGCAAGATAATTTTAACATTTTAATGTTCTTTTTAAATATAAAAACCAAAAAAAATTTTTTTTTCAACTTAATAAAAAATTGAAAAATACACAATAAAATCCATTAAAATAAAATAAAATAAATAAAACAATAAATAAATAACGCAATAAATAACTAAAATAAAAAATAAATAAATAAATAAAGGATAGATTAAAATTTGAATAATGAAAACTTACATGAAAAAAATAAGCAGTAAGAATAAAGAAATCTAAAATTAAGACAAAAACTTATAAAATTTCAAAAAGCAATTCCATAATAATGAAATATTAAAAAGAAATACAAAAATTATCATTTAAAAATTAATACTTTTTTTTTACACAAACCTGAGATATCGCTCTCTAAAATAGTAGAGACATTTATGAAGCGATGAAGATCATAACCAGCTACGGAATGAGCCAATACAATTGTCTTATTCACAATAGAAATTAGTGAACTAACATATTTCTTGATGAGGGAAGTCAAAGCTAAGAACTGCGCATTACAAATTCTGGATTCTTCCTCTAAAAAATGAAAATAAAAAACATATAATCTGAAAGTTAGTAAAAAGGAAAAACAAAATAAATTGGAAGATTTAAATTCAAAAGAGGTTCAACTTGGTGAAATAAATGTAGCAGAGTTTAAGAAAAAAACAAAAAATGTCTGATCAAGGTCAGTTAACAAAATTTTTCCTCTTCATGTATCAAGTTTTAAACATAATCTTACTTTTTTAACAACTACAACTGTTATAATATAATGACTATTTAAAGAACGTTTATATTAATGTCTTTGTGTTCATAATAAAATACCGCTGTTACACATTTAAAGTTATAACACTTGGCATAACTCCAGAACACTGCAGTTCTGAGCAGAATTAGATAGAATTTTCTTAATAACAGATATCTTTCCTATTGGGAAATCGGAATTTTGCTATAGAAAAGCTATTTGCCTTAAATTCAAAACAAGTCCGAAGCAAAATTCAAATGGGTAAAATAAAAGCTCCATCTGGAATAATTTAATAAATTCCATTTTTCAAATACACTTTTTTAGCAGTTAATATCATATCTTTTTAATAAGATAAGTTTATGTCTTCGGCATTTTGCAGTTGAGCAAATTTTAAAGATTCTACCCAATGCAATTTTCCCTTCTCTAATAATGAAAAATAGGTTTGCAATGAAACTTTCCACATGCAAGACTGATACCCACTCTCAAACTACTACAGAACTTCCATAGTTTCAGAAACGATATTAATAGTTTTTATTACATTTCAGTAATAAATTGACATTTAATAATGTGTAATTATTGATATTTGATTCCTCACTGAGTAATAATCACTATTTAAAAATAAAATAAAAAGTTGAACAAACAAACGATCTAGTTCTTCAATACTGACACAAGTTTCGTAAAATTCTATTTCTTTTTAAGATTTCTGTCAAAGTTCACTACCATTTAAATAAAAATTATTTCACAAAAACTTCGAATGTTGGAAGGCATGCTGATGCATAAGTAAAAAAAAATGCTTGAAAATTGTTAACATTGAACAAAGCGATAAAAAAATATTATGGAAATAAATTTTTCACACTGACTGATTCATTGTTAGAAGCTACATCTGCTACATTTTAGATTTTCAAATTCATGACTAATTCCAAGAATTTTTCACGACTTAATGAAGTTACTATTTTCTCCGACAAAAACACAACAATAAATTTAAAAAAACATTATAATAATATCCATTGAAATGATAGGTATAACCAAAAACTGTCATACTCTGTATCTTCATATTTATAGATTTTAAATTTAAAAAACAGAGAAAGAGTTGAAGCAATAAAATAGCTGAAAAAATGCAAAAGCAAGTATTTTTTATCCTTTTTTTCTGCAGAATTACATTCTTAAGACACTTTTCTTGTTCACTGGAAAGGAAAGAAATACTCCTGATTTTTCTGTTCACATTTGGGAATACTTTTCGAATATGACTGTGAGTGGGAATTTTGTTACAAATTCAGATATTCGGAACACCATGAAATTGGGGGGAGGGGGGTAAATTCCATTTTAATAATTTGATTTTTCGGCGACCTAAATCCATGACTTTTCATGATTTTTTTTAAAAAAAATAGTTAAAATCATGACAAATTTTGTTCGATTCCAAAATCTATGACTTATCATGATTTTTCATGACTTTCTAGGTGCGCAGATACTCTGTACATAAAGTTAGAAAAAAATGATTTTTTTTTAAAGAAAGAACTGAAATTTTCAAAATGATTTTTGTTATTCTTATAGAGCAAATAGAAATTAAAAATATATACAAATAAAGCAAAATAAATAGATACATGAAGACTATAATATACAATAGAGTAAAATAAATTCTAGCTTTTTTTAAAGGGCTATCATGTGTATGCAAAGTAATTAAAACAAAAATATTCCTTTCATTATTGATACGTAATTAAACTTTTGAGATGAAATAATATTTTTAATATTCAATTACTATTCTGAATTTATAAGAATATATAGAAATCATTCTATACCTTTTTCAGGTTTAATATCACAAAAAAACTCTGATAAGACATAGAATTGAAAGACTAAAAGTCTTTGAAACTTTAAAAGCAGTTGTATGGATGATGAACTGCCAGATAAACTCTCAGCCCATTTAGAACAGCTTTCTTCTAATTTCTTTTCAGTATGAAATGAAATATTTCTGGAAAAAAATAACCATATGTCACAATCATTCAAAAAATTAACAACTAAACTTCAAAAATTAATAAAATAAATAATAAGATATTTGTTTAACAGTTCAGAAAACTAATTGTTAAATTTGCATGATCTCCAAAAATCTTCAATTTCAATACAAATTTTGTTAATATAGTATTTCTATTATATAAAAAAAATTAACGTTTGCGTAGATATTATCTCATACTTGTATGAAATTGTTCAAGGATAAAACAGACATCATAACAAATAAATATAAAAATAGTTTCTGATTGATTGTTTCCAGTTGAAGAAATCAAAGCTAGAAAAACACTTTCTAACAGTAATTTTTTTTGTCAAAAATAAAAATTTATGAAGTAAACATGATTATAAATACATGAAGTGTACTTTAATGAGAAAACACTTATTTTTAAATTCTAATATAAAATTCAATCGCAAAGAGGTGGAGAAACAGAGAAAAATTATATATATATGCTTTTAAACACTTTTATTTAATTTCCACAAACAAACTAATGATATTTGGCAGTATCTTTCAATGCATGTAAAAGACAAGGGCATAACCCAATCACAATGCGCGATATAAAGCGTGTGTATATCAGATTCTACCTAAATTTTTTCTTATAAAATTAAGCCAATACAATTCTGCAATCAACAGTTTTTCGATAGACAATTAAATATTATACAATCAAATGATATAAGATTTTTGATAAGTATCTTTATTTTTAAGCAATTACAGTTAGAGGAATTTTTTAGAGTACATACATTTTATTAGTTAAAATAATTATGTTTCAAATAAAATTAAATATTTATTTAAGGAGTGTGTAGGAAAAAGTCAAATTTAAATTTGGTGTCTGCTTATAATGTACGTACTTTGTATAATACCTCCCCCCCCTCCCCATCGTACAAAACCGTACAAAATAGCAAATCCCCTCCCCCCCTTCGGGATGTACGTACCTTTTCAACGGCCCCTTTTCCATGTAGATTTCTTTTATGGCTAAGATTTATAAAATAAATAGTAGATACTAGTTTACAAGATAAAGGTGTATCAATTTCTTTTTTAATCATGTCTAATGTTTTTGAATTTAAAAACTGTTTTGTGTAGTTTAAGCCTTTTTTAAAGGGCGATTTTCTATTTAACAAATTTTCCTACGTGCGGCGCACAACCTACATCAACCAGGGTTTTCCCTGGAGTTGCTTCTGCCACCCTTGCCCATTTTTCCGACGTGTTGCCATGAATCGCCACCAAGCCTACCTTTTTTAATCCTCGTTTTCTTTTGCTGAGAGGTCACTAGCGCACACTTAGAGTCAACAGTAATCTCCGGATGCCCCTTTACGAGGGTGGGACGGGGTTAAGCAATATTTTTAGATGCATACACAATTATTTTTATAGAAAATTTAAGTCATGAATCATCTTAGGAAATCAAAACAGGAGTAAGAAAAAATTCATATATATTACACATATAAAGTTTTCTTTCAATCAAAATTTTAAAAAACAATTTCAAGTATAACGTTATTATTGAGGTAATATGAAAATGCGTTTTTATTTAAATGTAACTTTAAAAAAAAACACATTGTTTTAACATGAATTTATGCAAAATCAACTTTATGCAAATCAGTATTCACATTAGTGAAAGTTCCGTCGAATGCAACAACATATTGAGGCAGTAAAATTATGCAATATAACTAAAATTGTTTTGGAACACAAACATTAAAGAATAAAGTTTAAGTCACAAAAGGCATTATATTAATTTGCTATGCTTTTTTTGAGAGGATTAAATTCAACACAATACCTCATTAGTTGTTGAAGAAGATGTAAAAGAGGAAACTTTGATGAAGAGTTTAAGTAATTATCAGAAGATGTATTATCACACATGGTTTCCAATTGACTAGAATCAACTTCTGACTTTATTAAATTGTTAATTTCTTTCTTGAGAGTAACACTGCTGTCCTGTTTTTGGAACAAAAAATATATACATTAACAATGCACAAAAAAAACATGAACTCAAAGATAAATTTAAAATTATAATTATATGAACCTTTCAGATAAAAAAAAATAACTCATCAATAACTCCACAAAAAAAATTTAAAAAAAATATTTTTAATGACAAAGCCTCTATTTAAAAAACAATTATATACATTTAAAACAATAAAATGCATACATTGTAAAAATAACAAATCAATGAAATTTCCATAACATTTTTTGATAATTTTATAATTTAAAAGTAAATTTTATGATCTTTATAGTTAAATAATTATAAATTGTTTTAAATTGGAGTGACATGAGTTGCAATAACGATTGTTTTTTCTCTCTAGAAGTTATAAATGTAAATCAATTTATATGAAATAGTAAACAATACAAAAGATAATAACTGATTAATTATTTTTTCTTACCATGTTTATGAATTCTGCTTCTTCCAATTCAGATCTTATTGCATTACAAAATGCTGATTCTAATCCTCCATCTTCTAATAAACCTTCTAATAATAGTTCACACACAGAATAATGTCCACAATCTGAGTTGAATTTTGAGACATCTAAAAAGAAAGTTATTTACATACAACTTTTCTCCTTTAAACACTTATATTTCTATAGTAATAGCAGAATAAAACCACCTGATATTTTTGTTAATTTGAGTAAGATTTGTAATTTAAAAATATCAAAATTATTTCATTTAAATGCAATAAATTATAATTGTTCACATTGCCAAAAATTGTTGTAATTGTTCTCATTGCTAAAAACACACAAAAAAAATCTTTTATTTACATAATTTAATTTTTTGCGATGATTTACATATATATCAAAATGTCATTTAAAAAAGATTGAATAAATTAAAGGAATTAAAAAAAATGCAAACACAAAATATAAATAACTATTATTGATAAATATATTTTTTTAAATATTTTCATATCTTAATCAAATCTTCCATGACTTTAAAAAGTTTAAAAAATAAATTTATAAAATAAATAAATTAATAAAATAAATATTTAATAGTATATAAAATTTTATATTTTAGAAGAAAAAAAACAGCTACAAGAACTGAAAACTTGTAGCAGTTGTTTATTTATGTTTTCAGAAACACAATAAATAAATTTTTTAGTCAAATAATACTTGATAATATGAAAAGTAGAATGCATTGAACGGATTTTGCATCACTGTACCAAATCTGAAACTAATGAACTTTGATCTACCAATTAATAAACTTTTCTGAATATAAAACCAGTGCTATAAAAAACATAAATGTCGTTAGAAAATCAAAATCACAAAATTTACATCAACTGTTTTTTTCCAAAATTGGGTACTTGCACTTCAAGAAGAAGATCATTGATACACAATCATGTGACCTATGACTTCAGCATCACAGCTGATCATTCATAAACAAGATGGTCAAGATGCTAAGTCAGCCTACATAAATTAGAATGTTAATTAACGTGAAGTTAATTAAATACAAGGCCGTATCGCACATCAAATTCATTAAAATATAATTATTTCCTTGCAACGTTTTTTACTTAACTTAGATTTATTATTTGTTTATATATTTTATAGTAACTGATATATTTTTGCTTTGTGAACCTGGCAACTTTAATGCATAATTATTTGTTTAGGTTCTACATGACTTCATGCCTCTCTTTGTGTTAAGTAATAAAATATTCAGTGAAAGAATTGAAATCTTTGTGAAAGAAAAGAAAATGTGTCACTTAGGAGGACTGATTCTTGACGGGCTTGGTTTACTCAAAACAGAACAAAAAGAACAGCTGCTAACGTAAACAAATGCCATGTTTCAACAACCAATCAGGATCGAGATGCCCACACATGCAGGTATCCCAATAAACAGTACAAGTATAGCTTTAAGGTTAAAAGGAAAACATCTGCTTACCAGATAAAAGAAGAGAAAGTTCTTTAACATGTTCTTCTGCAGTGGGTATCAGAGCATTCCAACCAACTTTCAAAACATTCAGTGCAACCTTTTGGACTGTGTGAGGAACATTAGGCTTTACAATGAAGTCAATGATTTGTTGTTTTAAGCTGCACAAAACTGCTGAGTCACCATAAATCTCACTATGAACTTTATTATTGATGGCAGAATGAAGCTAAACAAAACAATTTTTAAAAAAAGTTATTATTTAAACAGGGTGTATAGCCAAATCTTTCAACAAAAAATAAGCACCTTTTAAGCACTCAAAGAATATTTTTAAGCACTATATATTAAAAAAAATGCAAAACAATTTTCAAAAACTTTACATGATCATGATAAAATAATGTAAAACACGCAAAATGATTGGTGCTTTCACACGCTATGGACCTACAATACGCCGAAATGAATTGCGGTTCAATGAATTGTAAAAACGCTGAATAGAGCAATATGAAAAGCACGCTTTTTCATAATGCATAGCGAAAATCAACAAAGAATTAAAACATCATTTTCGAAAAGGGAAAATTAAGCACTTTTTAAAAACACCCAATGAAAAAAAAGCACCTTTAAGGGCTTTTAAAAATCTAAAAAAAGCACCTTTAAGCACTTTTTAAAAACGATACGCACCATGTTAAAAATAGAATGTTAATAAAATTACAGGAAAAATGTACTTTTATTTATGAAATATATGTTTAAGCATTATCCAAAGAGGAGATAGATGCAACATACTACCAGAGGCATAGCTATACGGTTTACAGGCCCAGGAACAAATTCAATTTTCAAACCACCCTGTATATTGAAATTAGACTTTAAGGTGGCTTTACAGGAACATTTGATGTTTTGAATTTTTATTTTTAACTGTTTTTTCACTTTTATAGTTAATTAATTGAATGAAAAGCATTTATTCTACAAACATTGTGCAATTAATAAGTTGCCACTTTGTTAAAAACATCCCGTTAAAAGTTTCAGATAAATCGGATTAAATATTAATTCATGGTCCCATAATTAGTAAATGAATGAGTAGTATTGAATTTATATCTGAAATTAATTTTTAATTATGTATTATGAGTTTGGCACCCCTCTAAGATTCACTTGGGAGCAGGTGTCCCCCCCCTACCTTATCTCCTATACTTATCATAAAGGTTTACAAAAAAAAAAATTTAAATTATTAATGTTTGAGAGCTCCAGCTAAAAAATATTTTCTATTCTACCAAGTATTGAAAATATTAAAAATACTAGTATTGATAACTACTCTGGAAAATGTATACCTAAAATTTTTAAAAGGACATTCTCATGACTATGTTCATTAAGTGATATTTGCTCTATCTTTTGATGAAAACAAAAGACAATTTCAAATAATGAGAACATGAATAATTAACACGAATTGATTAACTCCATAAAACAAAAAGTAGAAAATGGTATGTACATCATTACCTTTATGATATAAATTTTTACTAAACAATTTTGCCATTTAAAGGTGTTACTGTTTATTATTATGTAGCAAACTTATTAGAAATATAAAAAGCAATGACTGAACCAAGTACTCAGAAACTTAAACTTAAGATAACTCAAAAAGTAAAAAAGTGGGGAAAATAGACTTGTGCAATGATATTGTTTCTATGTTTTCATCAAAAACAATAAGAGGTTTTATTAATTTTGTGAAAAAAGGAGGATTGATTCGTTTTGATTTTAAATGTCTCTTCTGACCAACCTCACGTAATTACTTAGTGGACCAACCTATGTATATTAAATTTTTATGAATTGTTAAAAGACTATGTAATGAAGCATATAGCAATGTAATGAAACTTTACAACTGCTTTATCTTTATGTGGTTTGAAATGCACATTTAAGATTTCAAATCTCTTCAAATTTACACATATTGTTCAGGTGGGTAAATGTATGTTACTCACACCACATTGAAAAAATAGTTTAAATGTTGTGTTTACCAGAGTAGATAAAATTTATTATTAGTTTGATGAAACTTGTAAGTGAAATATGTTAATCAAGCATCCATCATAGAAGGCTCCAATCTTTAGTGCCAGAAAGCAATGTTAATAAATACTGAAAATTCCACATATCTGTTGTACACTTTAACATAAACAAAGAAATTCATTTTCAGTAAAAGATAAAAGCTGATTTTTCAAAAATAACAGATGATAGGTTACTAAGTTTAATTATTTCTAACATGGCTAAAATACAAAATAAAATCAGACTAGAATTGATTTTATTCATCTGTGATCAATTAATTTTATTTCACTGACGTTGCATTACCTCTCTCTTTATCTAATAGTCATTACATTGCATTACCTCTAACCCTTATTTCAAAACCTTCCTATGTAGGATAAATACTTGAATCTAACTTTTATTTAATATCATAAATGGTACAAAATAAAAATTGTCATACCTAAAAAGAAAAAAATCACAAGTCTCACCTGAAGTTTTAAAAGATTTAGGCAGGATACAGCAATGCACTCTTTTTCAAATGCATTTCTTATAACACTCTCAGTGAGCTCATTATAAGACACAAACTGAAGAAGCTCATTAAGAAGTTTAAATGTAATTGGAGATACATCTATGCTATAAGGAACTTTCAGCTGTAGAATTCCAAGCTCGTCTGAGCACCAAAAGATAGTCTAAAAAAAGATGTATGTAATAATAATGTTAAGACAAAAGTGAGGCTTCATATAGTTATAAAAACTAATCATTAAATAATTTTATACATATTAGTCTTTGTTTTAATTACACTAACTTTTTAGCTACACAACCTTTGTATAGTTCGTTCACCAGGTGTTGGCACTTGGCTCCACCCCTCGGACACAGACTTCATTTCAGCGCGGGAGTAAGAGGAGAAACATCTCCAAGCTTAAAATAGAGACAACCCTTAATGCACGCCAAACACAAACAGTGAATTCTTTTTCAGTCACTTACTTCGCTTTATTATCTGCTATTATACCTTTCATTACTCTAGCTAATTAAATATATTTTAAATTTAAAAACTGCTTCCCCAGCAAAATTTCTCAAAAAAGGACAAACTATTTACTCAAAAGAGAGAAATATCATCAAATTTATGAAATATTTAATGTTAAAAAAAAGCACATAAAGATTGTGAAATAAATATTTTTGTCATACGTTAGCCAAATAGCAAACTTGTTCAAGATTGTTCACATCCTTCTCCCAAAAATAGACAAATAGTATCGTCGGATGCCTCGTGAAGGAGGTGCCAAGTGCCAACTCCTGGTGAACGAACTACACTATCTGCCCAAGAAAGAAAAATATAAATAATGGAACCATAAGTTAGAGTGATGAAGTAATCATCAATACATTTTAACACTAGTCTTTAATTTTTCCCATTTGTTAGTTTATAAATAGATAGTGAGAATTTAACATACATATTTTGCATTAACAATTTATTTAAAAATGAATTATCTTAAAATGAATTATCCTAAAATGAATAATTATCATAAACTGAATCTATTTTTCTGAACATGAATTAGACATTAGACAAATAAAAAAAAACATAAATGATGGAATCATAAACTTGTAAAACTCACCATGGGTGATGGAGGAAAAAGAAAAAAAGAAATGCTGAAGTAATCGTCAATACATTTGGACTCTAGTCCTAATTTTTCCCATTTGTTAGTTTATTAATAGAAATTGAGAACTTTACATTAATATTTTGCACTAATAATTTATATTAAAATGAATTATCCTAAAATAAATAATGATCTTTAACTGAATTTGTTTTGTTTTTTTAAAAATAAATTAGACATTAGGCAAAAAAAAACATAAATAATGGAATCATAAGTTTGCAAAACTTGCTATGGGTGACGGAGGAAAAAGAAAAAAAAAGGAAATGCTGAAGTAATCGTCAATTGTTAGTTTATTAATACGAATTGAAAATTTTACATTAATATTTTGCATTAATAATTTATCTGAAAATGAATTATCCTAAAATGAATAATTATCTTAAACTGAATCTATTTTTTTTAAAAATGAATTCAACAAAAAAAACACGAATAATGAAACCATAAATTTGTATAACTCGTGATGGAGGAAAAAGAAAGGCCGGAGTAATAGTTAATACATTTTGACACTAGTTTTAAGTTTTACCAGTTGTTAGTTTATTAATAGACATTGAGAATTTTGCATTAACATTTTGCATTACTCATTTATAATAAAATGTATAACATGTGTTTTTTTTAATAACGTTGGAGAAGTGGTATAAAGTAGAACTTCATCTGATCTGGCTGTTTTGTTATCTAATCTTCCACGAAATTAAATTGGGCAGTTGAGAGCCTACTGTATTAATAAGGTAAAGTACTTGTGAACAACTGTTTGAGAAGAATCTTGCGTATCAAATTATTTCATAAAATTTGTATTACAGAAATCTTCAGAAAAGCAAAACAGAAATCGATTGAGCTGGAAATTAAAAAACGTAAATGGACTGGTCATCTACTAAGCAAACCTGAAAAATTTAAATTAAATCAAGTTTTTGATTAGAATCCTCAGGGCTAGAGGAAAAGAGGAAGAACTAAAAATATTTTGCCCAGGACAATTGCAAATGAATTGAAAACAATAGGAAAGACATGGAGAGAGGCAATATATCTGGCCACAAATAGAGCGAGATTGAGCACTATGATAGAAGCCCACTGTTCCAATTTAGAGTGAAAAGGAAAATGCATGAATTAATAAGGAAATTTATAATCTGTTTATGGTAACTGAAATCTGTTATGAACATTCTTAATTCTAAACTTTCTATTCAGCAGAAGTTTCTAGCATCGATTGTTGTCACACGGTGTGTTACTGATTTGCAAGCAATTATTTAATAACAAAATAAAAAAAAACTAACTTCTTTAATATGCATTTTTTTCATCTGCATAAAAATGATCAGAAACTAAACATTTTAAATAAATGATAATGAGCTCAGTTCATTAAAACAACTGAACATTATTGAATTATTGGCTATATTCTTATCTCAAGCATAGTTATCAAATATAACCACCTTTTAAAAGATTACGAAGAAATTTCAGAAAATGTTACTTTATTAAACTATCACAATGTTCTTTCTCGATCAATATAAACATTCACAAAAGAAAATAAAAGATATAAAACAATAAACTAAGAAATTATGAAAAACAGAAAAGTTTTTTTTTTTACTTTTTTATTCCCGGCACAAGCCTGTATGTTTTTTCCTGGAAAGGTAGCAATTAACTTAAATTCAGAAGAACAACTTCCCAGTTGACCTTTGTCATTTTGCCCCCAACCATAAACATTGCCTTCTGCAGTAACAGCTATGAAATGACTAGAACTGACAGATATATGTGAGATTTTCTTTCCTGCTAGACCATCGACTAGTTTAAGGATTCTGTGTTGGTCCTCACTAGAAAGAACAAGTCGATTTCCGTTTACACTCCTGAAAGAGAAAGGAAGTAAAGATAAAATGAGTTAACAATAATATTTCTGAGGAAAAAAAAATACTGTCAACTAGTAATAACTCGAATCTGACAAGACCAAAAAAAATTTACCATATTAGAAGTTTGACCTGAAGTTAATGTCGGCTTTTCACTTTAAAATAATAAGAACTGTATTTTCTGTTGAAAGATTCAAAGATTCACACTATTTAAGGATATTCTTTTTCTCTTAATGATATCAAAGAACTCAGGTGGCTCAGAGGAAAGAGCATTCACCTCCCAATGAGGAGGCTCAATGAGGTCTCCATGTAATGCAATTGTGAGTTCCATTAAAAAGTCTTCCACAAAGGTTAGTTTGTTCCAATGCTTCATCGAGGAGTTCCCTTGTCTTCTGGATCAGGTTTAAAATTACAAGGCCACGGATTTGAACATTGATAACTACAAACTCAGAATTGCTCCAGTTTATTATGTCAAACAAGTATTCAGAAGAATTCCATGCTAAAATGCAAAATCCCTTATCTTCATGTTTTTTTTTTTTCTTTCCTTATCTACATTGATGCCAACTTTCCAAACTAGCTATCTGCTATTTTTGTAAATATTAAGCTTATAAAGTAAATATTAATATTATAAAGCAAATATTAATATAATTAAAAATAAAAGAAGTAATTTTTTTTCTTTTATTTTTAAATCTTTACTGCTTTACATTTGAAAAAAAAATGCAAAATTTAAAATTTGACAGCAAATTTTATAACTGTTGTGAAGTTTAAAAATCAACATACCATGTATGCCATACATGCACAGAACCATTTTGTGATAAGGCTACATTCAAAAGACCACCACTATATACATTAGTAATATTAACATTCTTTAATTTTTCAAAAACTCTGGGTTGCATATCACAGGAATTTTGAGAATCCTCTTCTCCCCACACGTAAACAGTGCCTGCATAAAAGAAGGAAAGTCAAAATAACTATACAAATTGAAAATAATACTAATAAAATAAAAGCAACAAAGTAAACATGGAGAATTGCAGGGTGAAATTGATAAATATTTAACAAGTGAAAGTTTTTAATAGTTTTAAATCATTAATTAAACTATCATGTTAAAAAATGCTTCGCCAAATACCTCCCAAGAGAATCAAAAATCTCAGGATCAGTTATAACATTTTGTAATATCTTAAATTTAAATATTTAACGAAATTAGTTTTAGTTACATATTCAGCTTAATATATTTAAGGTTTTAAGCTACAAAACTATCATATTTTTTTAATACTCATTTCCCATTTATGACATCACACTTGGCAGTTGTCGTGCCAAACACTAGTTTATTACTTCTGACGCCAAAAAAGAGAAACATGGTTTTTTTTAGATACTCTGTACAGTCTAAAAAATCTTTTGTCGAATACCCGCCATAAGAGTCAAAAATCGCAGGTTTTGTAATATCTTAAATTTATATACAGTACAGAACCCGTTATCCGGAAATCAGAAAACCAAAGAACCGAAACGAAATTCGATAAATTTTCCGGCCATTTTTAAAAAAAAAAAATTTTTTCCCTCATAAGATTTTAGGATTTTTCTTTCTTTTTTGAAAGGTGTTTACCTTACCATCATTTTGGAAATAATCATTAGTGTATTACTTCATTGTTTTTTTTTCTTTTTAAGATTATTTCCAAATATTTTTTTTTTAGTTGTGTTTAACAATAAAAAAACGGCTTTATGTAGCGATTCAGAAAACCGGAAAAATCAGTTATCCGCAATAGCGATGGTCCCGATCGTTCCGGATAATCGGTTCCCTACTGTATTTAACAAAATTAGTGTTAGTTACACATTCAGTTTAATATATTTAAGGTTTTAAGCTATAAAACGACATTAATATTTTTGTAATACAAATTTTCCATTTTTAACAACACTCTAGGCTTTTAGTGACTTAAAATAGTTCAACAGTTTAAACCAGCTTTTGGCAGTTGCCGTGTCAAAAGCTAGTTTTTAACTTTTGGCACGGTCCAAATACAAAAGGGGGCAATAACAAAAGGGGGAGCATAAAACAAAAATTAGAAGAGCAAAGGAGGGCAGTAAAATAAATCCTTGTTGTCCAAAGAAAAACAAATATTATAACAAAAAGTCAATACCTGATGAGTATACAAAAAATAATATCCAAAATATTTACTCTTAACTAATTAATAATGGGTTAATTTAAAAAAAAACAAAACATGATATACTTAAAAAACTGTAACGAATAGTTAATTCCTAGCAACAGATGGCGCTACCTCTCTATTTGCAAAAACAATACCAATAGTCTTCGTTCTGACTTACTAAGTGAGATGAAGCAAGATGAGGTACCCTAACCTACCATGGTTCCCTTTTTCCCCAATCAGTTTGGGTAAAACTTTAAAATACTTTCGATTTTAGGAGATTTTATGTTATTACTCATTATTGTAAAACGGATGCGTGAATGTATATAAAATACTGAGCTCTTCGTGATGGTGCTTATTTCCATCCTCTTGTGTCCTTACAAAACTGATTAAATAATTGATAAATTTCTGTTATGTTGATAGATACATGCATACATAGAGTAACTACTTAAATTAATTTATTAAAAATAATGTAATGGTTGTAACCTGCCATTTTTGCTAATTGATAAAGATGTAACAGACAGCAAAAGTTAAGAAAAACGCACACAAAAAAAATAGTGCATAGCATGTTTGACTGAAAAATTAACCAGCCATGCATTGTCAAGGTTTCATATAAAAAAAGAATGAAATTTTCAAGAAAGAAAAAAATGATTGATAAATTTATTACATCCTTTGAAAGGAGAAATTTACTAAAATGTGACTGTAACAAAATCTTTCATTTTAACATAACAAAAGAGATTTATGAGAAACATCATGGAGATTTCTGTGTTACAATGCAATATCCTTTTCTCATCATGAATAATGTACAGTAATCTATATTTCCTCAACTTTTTCACTGTAGATGACCTGCATAAAATAAGAACCTATGGAGTACTGTCTCTTCTAGCAAACAAAAAGACTTCGAGATGATCTGTATTTAATCTGAGGTAACATCAAAATAATAGGATCTTACTTTGGATCAATTATTACTATTAATAACAGTATGTCTCCTGAAATAAAAAATCGACTCTATCTGTCAAATAGGAATGTCTATGGGCTGAGAAGATTTATTAAAACTACCATATATTCCGGCGCATAACGCGCTCCCGTAATTTCTAATAACTTTTTTTAAATTTTAAGATATACTCTTCGGATAACGAGCACGAAAATTTGGATTGTACATGTGCAGTATCTCGTCTAGTATCTATAGAAAACCAGAAAGCCTTTAAGTGTGGGACATGCTTAGGTCCCACCTTACAGATAATACAAAATTTTTTTTGAAAGAATGTAACACCGATATGGCAGTTATTCCGGGCGGATTGACACCATTAGTTTAGCCATTGGACGTCTGCTTTTAAAGCCAATTTAAAAAAACAGTGGAAAACTTGGATGTTGGAGGGCGAGAAAACCTTTACGAAAGGAGGACATATGCGCCGCAAGTTTGGAAACAGTGTGTGAATGGATATTAAAAGCATGGGATGAAATTAAGCCTGAGATGGTTAGAAAATCATTCAAAAAATGCAGCATTTCAAATAATCTGGACGGATCAGAAGATGACTGTTTATTTATGGATGAGGGTAACACAGATGATGAAGACGAAACAGATTGTGATGACGTGCCTGAAGAAATAACAGAAGACGAATATAATGAACTATTTATGTAATAACGAAAATCAATAAAGTATATAGGTAAAGGTATGTTATTTCTTTAAAATAAAAGTATTTTTCTATATTTAAATTTTTTTAATCTGTAATTTTTTATATTCGGCGTATACCGCGCACCCGTAAATTCCAATGTTATTTTTTGTGTTAAAAGTGCACGTTATACGCCGGAATATACGGTAGGTTTCTTTCTAGAAAAACGAACTTTTAAATTTACAAAACTCTTGTCAGGCTTGTCTTGACATATGCTTCTGAAGCTTGGACAATGAGAAAACTAGAGGAAAGTTGTATTGCAATATTTGAGAAAAAAATTTTTGAGGAGTATACTTGGTTATGTAAAAGAAAACAATAACGGGAGAAAACTTTGAACCGTATAAGATTTATAAACAACCTGATATTATTAAGTACATAAAAATATATACATGGCCCATGTGTTTCGAATGAGTGATGTTATTTAATTTTCACAAATAGTTGATAATGTATATCTGTTGCCCTTAGAGTAACTTTGGAAACACATAAAATATTTACAGTGCACTCAGAGTAACTTATGATCTAATGATTATATTGCCATGTACTCAGACTCAATCTGTATTCAAGGAGGACTCAATCAATTCAAGGAGTTGTAACAGGCCAACGTATTTGTGGAAATGTAAGTTATTTTTAGGTAACAAGTTACAAAATAAATACTAATAATTTATGGTAATAACAAAGTCATAATAAAAAACTCTATACCTTGTGTAACACTTTTAATATTAATTCCATTGTTCATACAACAACTTCTAGAAACGTTTTTTTTTAAATATTTGTAAATAATCAGAAAATTAGGATAGCTAGTTTTGAAAAGAATTAATATCTGATGCTAGCTTATTAGATAATAGAACACAAATTCTGTTCTATTTCACTTTATATTGCAAAATTGACAGAAAAAGTTTAAGAACAAAATAATATTAGCATAATAATTATTGTCATATGTTTAAAATTGTTTCCAAGACTATAACACATTTTTTTAAATAATTTTACACATAGTAATTACAACATTAATTACTTTTATTCATTTATTAGTAAAATCTGGGGAACACTTTCTCTTTTAGATTGCAATAGCTATCTTTGATAATGATTAAAAAAAAAGCTTTAAGACAATAGTAAAAATTATTATTAAAAAAAAGAGAGAGTGAACAATAAAACAAAATAATGTACTGATACAATATAATTCACTGACCTGTACAATTGACAGCAATAACTGAATCTCGCCCAAAGCACATATCAACAATGCAACATTCTTTAAACGCAGTTACTAAAGTAGGCAAAAGACAATCTTCATTTGTGCCTGAATAGTAAAAGATTTATATTAGTAAATAATATAAGCATTAGCTGTTTATTCAATTGGTATAAATATCATACAAAAAAAGAAGCTTAAAAGTTTATCAACCAAACCATAATATACTATAAAAACTTAGGTAAAATAGTTAAGTAATTCTAAAAGTAGTTGTGGCATAACTACCACTACAATTATTAAATACCAATTCACTAGTATATACGACATGTTAACTTGCTTTTTAAGGGTACCTTTTAATAGATGGGGGTTGGCATAGTCGAACGATCCTTTCCCCACATTGGTGACCTCCGGAGGTGATGCCCACTTTGATGGCTGGACCACAGTTAAAGAATTAAATTACCATTTGTGACTGCGTCATCGTCTCCTCGCATTGTTGCTTCTCGGTCTCATTAACACGCAACGGGATCCTGCACATACTCAACAAATAACACAGGAGAAAACATGAACTTAACATAGCTCTCCCAGTTTTTTTTCAAATACAGGGCAACAAGTAGCATCCGTAGATAATTCTAACGCTGATAAAATTCTAGTGGGGAAGTATTGTGACATAACTACCACTACAATTATTAAATACCAATTGGCTAGTATATAAAACAGAGACTTAACATATGTTAACCCCTGCTTCACCCTTCCCATCCTCCTTTTCAGATTTTTAACTTAGATGAAGGAGCAGATATCCCCTTAGGATAGGCACTCCGTTAAAACTGTATCAGTCAGTTTGATCTTGGGGTACCTTTATATATGAGGGTTGACATAGTCAAAAGATTCTTTCCCACTTATTAAAATAATTTAAAAACTTAAATAGTTTAGATCTCAAATATTAAATAATTAATAAATATAAATTTTACCATGTCCCAGACGACCATTTTTGCCTTTTCCCCAAGTGTATAATTCGCCTGATGAGCTTAAAGCAGCACTTTGACTAGCTCCACAAAATATCTTTCTAATGTGTTTATTATATAAGGAACTTATTAATTTAGGAAAGGGTGAGGACCTAGAAAGAGAAACAGATAAATGTAATAAAATTGATTACATATTCAACTATTACGTTTCAGCAAGAAAAAGTTCTGACATATGAAATTAATACATTTTTAAAAAGTTAATATGTATAGTTATTAAAAAAATTCAATAAATTACTTTTAATAATTCGATAATTACTTTGATTACTTTTAATAATTCAATTGCTTTTTGCAATCTACAACTAATATTTTTCTGAGAAAACACGATTTGCAATTGTAATTGAATTCATTAGATTTGTATAAAATTATTATTACTATTTTTTTTTAGAAACCCAACAAAATAATTAACATTTAATTTGAGAAAAAGAACCTAGCATTTAGTAAATAAAGAAAATTAGTAGAAATAATAAAAAATTGGAAGCAGAAATCATGTAACATTTCATTGGACATGCAACATTGCATGTTGGTCACTCAGGCCCAAAGTATTTAATTTAAAATTTATTCACCCTTTGCACTTGAACTACTTTAAGCATCTAATAAATTGAAAAAGTAAAAACACTTAAAAATTTAAGATAGAAAAAACTTCAATTTACTTTCTACATAAAAGATAAAAATAAGTTTACTAAACATTAAGAAGTAAAAATTTTAAAAAATGGAGGCAGGTATATTACAAGCTTAGCCTCAGCTGTAATTCACAGACACCTTACATGAAAAAATTCTTTAAAAAACTTAAAAGTTTCAAAGATGTTAAATTTTTAGTATCATTAATTAAACCTCTTGAATAACACAACTTATAAAATCTTCTTCAAAATGAGACATTTAAAGGATGAAAAAATTCATGCATGGAAAAATACAAAAAAGTTTTTTTTAAAAAAATATATACAAACTTGTTATCTCCATGGCCAAGTCGACCACCATCACCAAGTCCCCATGAATAGACACTGCCATCGCATGTTAATGCCAGATAATGTCTAGAATCTAAATTGGTAGCGATTTCTACAACTTTTTTGCCATCAAAGCCTTTCACTAATAAGGGAATCTTAGGAACCTTAAGAAAATAAATAAATGTTGACACATTAATATTGATTAACACATACAACACTTCAAAATTAAAATCAAAGATACAGTAGCACAGGGATGGCGAACCAATGGCACGTGACACAATATTTTGGACACGCCACCGATCACAAAGTTCACTATGAAGCATTAAATTTCACAAAGAACAAAAAAATAGGCAATTATTGACAAAAAATGTAACAATTAATGTCAAAAAATAATTAATAACCATAAAAAACAAGCTAACNTTCTTCAAAAACAAAAATTATTTTCAAGAAAATAGGTATTCATCTTCAGATTTTCTAATAAATGTTGATAAATTGCTTAATTTTTTTCCCTTGGTGGCCTTAGAAATAGGTTCCAATAGTAAAAATTTTTGGTATTGAGTGAAAATGCGAAGAAATTCATTTTTAAATTTTAAAATTTGTTTGAATCTGAAAATCAGGAAGAAAAATCTTGATAAACTATTTTTTTCTTCTTTCCTTGGTGTCTTTAGAAAGAGGGTCTAAAGTTGTTGGCATTGAGTTAAAATGCAAAGAAATTCATTTTGAAATTTAAAAATTTGTTTGAACCTAATAATCAGGATGAAAAATTTTGATAAACTATTTTTTTTTCCTTCTTTCCTTGGTGTCCTTAGAAAGAGGGTCTAAAGTTGTTGGCATTGAGTGAAAATGCAAAGAAATTCAGAAATTTAATTGAATCCAAAAATCAAGATGAAAAATGTTGATAAATTGTTTTTTTTCTTCCTCCCTTTGAAGATCTTAGAAAGAGGGTCCAATGGGAAAAATTGTTGGCATTGAATGAAAATGCATAAAAAAACCATCAAAAATTTAATTGAATCCAAAAATCGTAATGAGAAGTTCATTGAGGGTGAAAATGAACTTACTACAATTGCCAGTCCTCAGATAGGAATAAATGTGCAGAAAACATTACCTTAACACATTGCCATAACTGTTTATAAAAGTTGACGAATTATCTGGATTTTTCACTAACAAAATCGAACTCTGTATCAAATATCCAGATAATCATCACTCCTCTGTATTTTTATTAAGAACAAAATTAACTAGAAAGTTGAGTTGAATGTAGTTTATAATGGTACAATAGCTAAAATCAAATATAATATTAAGGACATTAAAGTGTCAAAATTTTGAGACCTACAGCATAATATTAAAAATGTGGTCAACTACCTTTACTTCCTAGACAAGCGCTGTTACCTATTGATCTAAAGCTGACTAGTGAGCGACCTGTGATTATACATCGACTATCTCAACAACAGCTGAGTGTCTTAAGTACATTACCATCAAGGCTAACTGTTAGGGACATTGCAATTTTGAAACCTACAGCATAATTTTAAAAGTGTGGTCAGCAATGGGTGCCAACTGCCTTTACTTCCCAGACAAGCACTGTTACCTATTGATCTAAAGCTGACTAGTGACCCACGTGTGATTAGACATCGCCTATTTCAACAACAACTTAATGTCTTAAGTACATTACCATCAAGGCTAACTGGTAAGGACATCGCAATTTTGAGACCTACAGCATAATTTTAAGTGGGGTCAGCAATGAGTGCCAACTACCTTTACTTCCTAGACAAGCCCTGTTAACTATTGATCTAAGGCTGACTAGTGACCCACATGTGATTAGACATCGTCCATCTCAACAACAGCTGAATATCTTAAGTACAGTAACATCAAGGCTAAAACAACATTATCTACTTCAGGTTTTCTAATCAAACAATATTCTAAACTAACCCTAGCACAAAAATCAAGAGAAAAGAAGAAAATATCACTAGAGTACTTTTGGGGGTCTACCTATCATTACAAAAAAAGAGGACAAACGTGAGACGAAAGTAACAAACGTATTCAGAATATTTCAAATTGAATAGAGATTTTTCATCCTTTAGTAACAGGAATATAATTGTTTTATTAACCCTCCAAGTGTTGAGGAGCTGGGTGAGATTTCAGTGAAACTTCCATGTTATGCACTACTTTCCAAAAGAAAAACATGACAAAAAATGATTTTTAGATGCAGGATAACAATAAGATCGGAAAAAGCGATGCCTTACCCTCAGTGGGATAAGAACAGGAATGTAGCTAGATCTCGAACTATTTTATTTCTTAAACTATTCACAATTATTAAATTCTTTTTTCATAATAAATTCTATTAAAATTAGGATATTTTTTAAGTTCTTAGACTTTACCTATACTTTTTACAGAGTAAAATAAAAAAAAATACATAAAACAAATATAAATTTTAAATACTTTCAAATAAAATTTTATTAAACTCAAATAGATACGTCCTTGGGAACTAAACACTGGGGGTTTTGTGTTCGGCTGATCACCTAACCGGAACATCTGCTCCTGCACCCCAGAGCCCAATGGTCAAGAAAACTGAGATGGGCACAGTAGGCCTTGACCCTCGATGGGCTGTCGCGCCGCTGAGTTTAGTTTTAGATACGTCCTTATCATGTTCTTATCAAAAAAATCACTTCACATCCTGTATTAAAGGAATATGGTCATTGTTCAAAATATTAATAGAATAGCAAAGTTTATACAAATAACACACGAACAGCAATATTATTAATTATCCAATCAAGAATTTAAAATTATAACAAAAGAAACTAAAATATATTAATCTAAGTTTATTAAAATAAAACAGGATCATAAATGCTGATACCTCAGTTGTAGCATTTCTCATCAAATAAACTTTTCCAAATTTTGTCAAAATAAGTAGGCAGGCATTTGAGCAAGCTATTTGACATATATTCATCTCTGATAATTTTTTACATTTGTGAATCTCATAACTATCATGACTCCATTCTAAGTCTCCAAGGCAGTATATATCAGGTGGGGAATTGATGGCCTAAAAATAATGTTTCTCGTAAATATTAAATTTATTAATGTTTAAACAAAACTGAAATAAATTAAGCACAATAATTTAACTATTTACAGTTGAACTATGTTAATAATTTAGGATTTAATAAAAGTCTAAGACAATTTAAGTTTGATAATACATGATAAATTCATTAGTATTCAATTACATAAAAGAGCATTGCAAAATGTAAACAATGCTTGTAATTTTACTTTGAATTTAAATTCAGCAACTTCCCAGTCGTGCGAAGGATAATCAAATTTTTTAATTTACACAGCTTAAGGCTGAAATAAAAATTTATAAAACTATTTTCATCTATTTAAATATCCGTTTCAACTAAAATATTCATTAATTTGCAGATGTGTACCGAACTTAAAGTGGAATTGATACTCTAATTTTCCAAATATGTGTAGTAAATAAAAGAAAAAGTAACAAGTATAAAACATGTAGGCAAAATTTTTATAAATAAACATTTTAATAGGCAATTTAAAAAATTAAACTTGCAAGTACTAAATCAACATTTCTAAATACCATAAATACAAAGGAAATTGAAATAAAATTAATTTTTCAAAATAATCGCTCTAGGCAATCAAATAGAAGAAAAAAGTAAAAGTTCTAGTTATCAAAAAATAAGTGCATTAAAATACTGCAAAATGGAAAAATATGAAAATGCTTTAGAACAATTCTTATTTAAGATAATGACTGAAATCTTGGCATGCATGCAAACTCTAAGCAAATATCGATAGCTTATTAGACAGTTATATTAAAAAAATTTTCAAAAAATACTTTCTAATACAATATTACTATAAAATCTATATACTTTACTATGTATACAGAATATATTCAGTTATATATTCTGTGTTTTAGTACATGAAATGATAGTAAACATACATAACATAAAAACAAAATTAGATTCAAAAATAAAATAAAAATTTGGGTAATAAAAATGCCTACTACCTCTTTTTCTTGAATAGGAGAATTTATTAATGAATATTGTTCTAAAGTACACAATATATAAATAGCAATTTCCAGCATATTTAACTGATCATCATCTTCTTCAGAAATTGATAAAAAATTTAAGAATAATTCTGTTGGACTACATTGAACATCAGATTCCTAAAAATATAAAGCCCACAGTATTATTATTAGCATCTTAAATAATATTTTTAATAAAACAATAGATTTTGAATAAAAGCACACAATTAATAAACAATTGGGATTAGGTAAATAATTTCAACAGAGATTGAACAGATTTCCAAGTTCGCAAATTTTTCTCTTGAGATTTAAGGTAAACGCGTTTTTAACTATATAT